GCAAATTCGCGCACCAGCTCGCTCGGAGCCGCGCGTGGCGGCCGCTTGGTACCCGTGAACGAGACTGTACTTCTCGCTCTTTCGGTTCATCATCGTGGAAGGAGAAGTACGAAAGAGAGAGAAAGAGACCAAGTTTGCCTGCCGATCCGTTGTCCCGGTTGTCCCGGTTGTCCTGGTTGCGGACACTTTTTGAGCAGAGCGCGTAGAGAACTCGCGTGTGTGTGTGTGTGTGTGTCCGCCGATAATGAATGAAGAGGACTTTGGCAGCAATTAAACTTGAATAAGAATTAAACGCCGGACACACCAGAAAGCTGAATCGAAGTCATATCAACCGCGCGGACGAAGAGGAATGCCGCGAAATGACATAATCGATCGCTGTCTCTCTCTCTCTCCCGTGAAGAAATTTCGCGAGTGGGAGACCTGCCGATATTCATCATGCAACGATATCGATCGAAACTGATCTCGCCGAACTGACATTTTGTCCTGACGTTGGAAACCTGTTTAACTTCCAGTGATAATTATGCAGCCGCGACAAAAATAGAAAGGCGGGTTCCCGCTCGCTCGCTCGCATTTCGCGCACAACGCAACGGCGAACGTGTCTATGAGAGAAGTGCATCAACTTATTATCGCGAGCCGACATTACCGGCTTTTTATTGTATCTCGCTCTCGCGGCCGGGTCCTTGAGGGTAGTGCCAGCCAGGAGACAATTAAAAGTTCATTCGAACGGTTGAGCGCGCGTGTGATTCACAGTTGGAAGTGGAAATAATGCGAGTTACTTAAACCGCGGCAGTTAATGTGGACCCGCGTAGGTGAACGGTGGCACGCTCATGTTACTGGAAAAGTGATGAACACAGGTGTTATTACGCCGCACGCAGGGATGACATAATCCGCAGTTGCGAAAGATTAGCGAGGGGGGGAGTGCAGCACGCGGGTAATAAACGGGCAACCACGCTATTGTTTCCGCGGCTTTTTTCCCCCCTAATGTCAGTCGCGCGCCGCGGTCTCGCGGGGAAACCGGAGGCCAGAAATGTTCATCGACTGCGCATCGTGGCTGACGTGCATGGGATCGCGCTCGGACACGGAGCCGGATAATGTGATCACGATAAGAATTACGTGAGTTTTCACAGGGCATGTTTGTTATTATCTCTCTGGCGATTATACTGCGAAACGGTGTGTGGTGATAACTCGAGGAAAATCCTGAGACGAGCGGAATTCTATCGAAACGTAATCGTTACGCGACGAGATTGCGTGGAATCAATTGCCGCCATCGATTCTCGATACGATCCTCGCTTCATTTCCCTTCATTTACTTTCATTTTCCAAAAATATCGCACAGTGTACACCGAGCTTTTTATCAGAGAGAGATGTTACACGTCGATGGCATCGAAAATTGGCTGCCAGTCGCAGCGCTTCGGGCGGAAAAGTAGTAATTGACCGCGCCCGACAGGCGGAATTTCAAATCGGAAAAAACTCCCACTTCACGACTCGCGAATAAATCTTGTTAAGTCCGACCGTGTTGTTGCTCCGGGGAAAAGTTTCGCTCCGCCTTCGTGCTTTTTCTCGTCTCTCGCTAAATTCGCTTTATAGAAAAACACAATTACGCAACGGCGCAAATAAGAGTGCGCGATAACGCCTCAAGTTTTGTACTTAATTAAGACCGGTTACGTGATCCTCCGCTAATTAGGAATTCCTATACGCCACCGACTTTTACCAGGCCGGTCGATTCTCTAGAGTTACGCGGCTGAGAGAGGGAGAGAATGAGGCGGGAAAAAGATTATTAAAGATTGTAGAAAGCATTGTTCTCGTCATGCCAACTATCGGTCTATTCTTTGTAGCTGAGCTGGCTGCACTATACTGCGAATCTATGTGCATAATTTAGCATGTAGTCACTTTTTACGCACTTGTACGTGTGTTAAAACTATGATTTCACACACAAAAGTCAAGTAAAAATTACGCACTCGGATCTGTCGTGTGATTTTTACTTATATTTACGTGTGTAAAATTACACTAGTAACACAGTATTAATTGCAAATGCGTGAAAAGTGATTGGGTAAAGTGTGTAAAATTACACACTTGGATTTGCAGTGCAGCTCAAGAAATTTACGTACACATCGAGGCGTGTAAAGTTTACGTAAGTGGGAGATTCTCATAACGCTTCAGTGCGCGGTAAATTTCTTGAACTAGTGCAGCTAGTTCGGCTATAAAGAACAGACCACATGTAACACCACCTGGGTGCTTCTCGTGTGCATTGTAGGTTGCTCGAGTTGAGCCCGGCGCTGGGACAACGGGTGCATTTCGCGGAAGGCACGAACTTAAGATGTCGCGAAGACCCTAAACCGTCCGATTCGGAGAAAAGGTTAGCAGTTAACCTTCTGCACTGCAGATTCAAGTGTGCCATTTTGCGCACTTCGTGCAGTCACTTTTTACGTTATTTATTCGTGTTATCAGTGTAATTTTATACACGTAAGTTACACGACGGATCTAAGTGTGTAATTTTTATACATCTGTGTGTGTAAAATCGTAGTGTTAACACGAACGCGTAAAAAGTGACTGACATGTAAAATTGCACACTTGGATGTGCAGTGTAATCACAGGTTCGAGTAGTGAATTAATTTAACGAAAGGCGCGTTTAGGATCGATCACGGATTAAAAAAAAAGTATTAAAGTGAAAATAAAACTGGACACGTACCTCACTGTGGTCAGTTTTGTTGTTTCAGTTTTTCAATAAATGTTTAATCTTTGAACATAATACATATATATGAATTTAGTATATATATATATATATATATATATATGTATATTCTATGTCAAAAGTTTGAATATTCGTATCTAAAAACCGAAATAACAAGAATGTGTGTCTAGAGTTAGGCATGTGTTTGGTACTTTTACTTTAATCTAATTTAATCGCGCTTTCACGCGCGAGTTCGCATGTTATACGTGAACAATATGTAACGTGTGATCTCGCGGATTTGGTAATCTCTACGTAATTGTCTGACGCCGTTTGCCAGATTAAGTAATACCTTGGGTGGATCACACTAAATTACCATCAGCGATACGCGTTATTAATCCGCAACCTACATAGCGCCTGCGTCTTACATAACGCTTCATAGGAGGTGAAACCGAACGTTCATACCGAATACATTATCTTCACGTAATTTTCACGTTTGCCTCTATCTCTCATTAGACTGACCCGTTGTCCTTGACCGCTAGAGTCACCTCTCGTTTCAGGATACCGACGTCCCCTCCGATGAATTTTTCATTCCTCGCGAGTTAAATTCCACCCTCTTCGCTTTAAACGAAAGAATTATAGATGAACTCTCTGGCCGAGCACACACCGAAAATGAGTTTCCCATCGCGAGGGTCACCCATTTGCGACCCAAAGAGAGAAATCCGCACGGCAAGTCTCCGTTTCGAATCTTGAGGAACGATCCTCGCGATAACGAGCGACAGAGCGGAATAATCCCGTCGGCGAAAATTCAACTTTTCCTCATTAAGCGGAGGAGGGAGCGCTAATCTCGGAGCGATCGAAAACTCATTAAGGGAGACGATGGTACTTACCACCGAGATACGTATCCGTATTCCGTTTTTCAAGCCGTGCGAGCCCGAATTTCAGGTCGCACGTTCCCTTTATTGCGCCCACTCCGCGCGAGGAGGAATGGCGCATGTGCGAGCGACACGGTGGTGGACGCGAGCAGGTAGAAGGAGGATAAAGAAGGACAGAGGCGTATATACAACCCTTGCGCGCACTCACCCTCTTCGACATCGCTCATCGACGAGCCCTGGCCGTTAGTCCGACCGGTTACTCTCGTCACGCCGCGTCGCGCCGCGTGTGCCTCGCGCGATTCGCGAAGATCTCCGCGTGCAGGAGGAGAGATGACGACGAAAGCGATAAATGATCGCGTTTCACTCACGTATGGTGCGTAGGTTCGATTGCTACCATTTGTCCGCAGGATTAACATTGGGAGAGATAAGAGAGAGAGAGAGAGAGAGGGAATTTATTCTCGAGGAGTCTCGAGTAGTTTCTTCGAGAGCGGCGCGGTGTTTTATCATTGATCGAGAATATGGATCGATCGACGTGGCGAAGGTCGACCGGTCTCGCCGTGCCTTGTCGCTGAATATTTGTCCCACGAAAACGCCGGTCACGCGATATCGGGGCGAACGTCCCAATCGATGCTACGTGATTTAATCCACCAGCGTGCTCTCTCTCGGCGCCGAAAACCACTCGACCGTGTCGCGAGGCCAGCACTCTCAGCCTTCGCGTTATTGGAAGGCCGTGACACTTGGTTGATATCCTTCACGAAAAAGGAATGCTCGATGACGTCGTGAGCGCTGAACCTTGAAGACGCTGGAAACGTCTCGGCGAGACGGAGATCAATCGATCTCAGAGAGCCGCCGAGTGTCGCGCCAGCGATGGCTTCCTATCGACGAGCATCGACGATGTTATCACGCGTCACCGTGAAAATAAATTCCGGTGCTGGAAAGCTCGATCGATGCTGCTAGTCACTCAAGAGGAGAGAGCCGGGAGGGCGGCAGAGAGGAGAAGGGGAAGAGAGAGAGAATAGGCGAGGGTGGTAGCCGTGTTGAGGGTAGGTGGATATGAGAAAGGAGGGGAAGGAAAAAATATAGAAAAGAAATCGGGGAAACGATAAAAGTTCGCCGCAACCTTGTAACACCATCGAGTTTGCCGAGGTTGTTTCCGCGTGTGACCTTCCCATTTGCGCGTCATTGGTCGATGCACTCGATGAGCTGAATGACCCTTAAAGTTCACGCGATTCAAACGATTTCGGAACACGTGGAAAGAACGGAGCACACGGATGGATTCATTCCAGCCAAATAGCGTCATTTGATTTGAACGAGACCGGATCGAGCGGATTCGGAGAACGACGTTTCCGACCCGTGTAACACCGGCGGCACCTAGGATGGGCTGCAAATCGGCAGCTGAGTCCAAGCTGGAGGAAGAGACGACCGTGCCGTCGTCGTCGGTCGAGCGGAAGGCGATCCGGAGCACCAACGGCATGCCCGACGACGGGGGAGAGGAGGAAGAGAGTAACGCGGCTACGCGACTCGTCCCGTCGTTCCTGTCAGCCAGCGGGACGTCCGAGAGCGCTACCGGAAATAGCGTCACCAGGTAGCTGCCCGGCGAGGATGCAGAGGCTGCGCACGACCTTCAAAAGGTCGCGTACTCCCACGGGAGCAGAGATGAAGTCCCAGTCTAGCCTCGAGGTGCCGAAGCAGGTCCGGTCGGCCTCCTTCGACGAGATACAGCTGCGGCAGGACGATGGCCGGCCGGCCTCCTCCCCTTCGAGACAGGACTCGACGCGCGGCCGGAGATCGTCCACCCTGAAAGTGCCGCAGACCGGCCAACGCTCCAAGAGCTTCGATGCGTACTCCGCGAGTTCCGGCTCGTCCTCCGGCAGCCAGCTGCTTCCCGTCGGATTCGACCGACCGGAAACGCCGACCATCCAGGTCTCCGGCTGCTACCACTGTGCCTGCGTCGAGGAGTTCAAGAGGCTGGCGTCCAAGGACGAGGCCGGCGAGATCGACAACAGCACGGATATATCCGAGAACGAGTCGGACCACGAGGACGAGCCCAAACGAGAAGGTAGCCCGGAAATTTTGGTCACCCTGACGTCCGACGACCTGGAGGACGTGCCGCGATGCGTGCCCGAGGTCAGGATGGAGTTCCCGGAGAGACAGCGCAGACTGTCCAGGCAGGAGGCCCTGACTTGCTTCCCCCTGGAGTTACCGCTCAGCGATGAGAGGGCGAGGATATTCGTCGCCGAGACGGAGGATGACGACGACGACGACGAGAACTACGTGGACGAGGCGTGCAAGTCCAAGTTCATCGTGCGGGATATTTTCCTGACTGTGCCGGAACTGAAGAGGGATCGCGCCGCCTCCGTGGACTCGTGCTTCAATAACAATAAGAACAGCAGCGGCGTCGCCGACCCGGACCTGCTGGCGGTGCCGCAGCAGAGCATCAGGTCGAAGAGCGTCGACATCGTGCTGCCGACGGACGTGCGGACGAGGTACACGGCCCTGCTGCCGGGGAAAGAACGGCGACCTTCGATAGGGTGGGTACGTCTGATTGATGGAGCACCGCGGCCGGGGGGGAGTGCAGCGCATCGCGTTAATAACTGCAATTTAATTTCCTTTATTGTGCACCGGCTTCGTCCGTGCGCTCGGTCTGTTATTAATTCCAGGATACACAAGTCAGGGTTTCACGACGTCATTTGTCCTCACGATCTGCTTCTCCTTGTTTAGGCCTTTTAAAGCGGTGTCCACAATGGGAATTTGAAACTTAAACTTTAAATTTTAAAAGGATGCTACAGCCGTTGACGATGAGCGTACTCGATAACGTAAAGACGATCGTCGTTGTTACGCAAACATTGACACGATCACAATACTCTATTTGCATTCCTCGTACATATAGGTTTTATGTAAATATTAGGGCAATATAATTCTGAATGAAACGAATGCGCGCTACTTTGTTTTACCGTGTCTAACGGAGGACTGGGATGTGTGAAATTTTTCTGCAAACTTCTCGTATCTCTTCAGGCTTTTATGCACGTACAATTGTAAAGATACAGAAATGTTCTCTGAAATTTTCCTCATCGAAGCAAACACAATCTATATGCACAAGTTGTAAAATTTCTGTTTTAAGTAAATGTTTATTCTACTCTCTTGACAGATCGAGATTTCAGTTTTGCAATTTTTCGTCGTTTTCGTCACATATTGGATACAATGCTTCAGTTCATTTTCGCTCGCTATGTAGAAGCATTCTCTAATTCTGTGCAACCGATAAGACGTAAACTTTGCAGAAAAAATCAGTATTCTGTCGGTAAAGTTTGCAAGTGTAGCATCTCTTCAAGCCGTAAGAAATTGATTAATCGCAATCGATTATTCTTCTCACATTTGACTGGTCAATTTCTTGCGGCTTAAAGCTTAAGTTTGACGTCTTAAATTCTCAGTAGACAATCCCGTTTTAAATAATCGGGCTAAGTTTGAATTACAAATCCCACAACGTTCAAACTGAATTTGTCGAAACTTATGTTTTTTTAATTTTAATTTTCGCCTTTCTTCCGAAATCCAATGTCATGTATCTTAGATTTAATTATACATTTATTGTTAAAGAAGGCAGAAGTATGTGTATGAGCAGGGATAAATAATTAGAATAGGCCGCTTTTGAGTGTACGACGGTCTGCACAGTTTGGTTTTATGTCACCGTGACGCGCGTAAAATATCGTCGCTGCCGTGGAAAAACCTTCTTTGTGCATTTTTTCGTGAATTCAAGATAGATCCGTGTCACCGTATGCGGAGTTCGTTCTGAATATGATGACGTAAATATCTTTAATTCACAAAAATATGCACGTAGAAGCTTTTCTCCGCGACAATGACGATATGACGTATGAATATAGATGTTGTACATAATGAAACGTTGACTCTTAAAATAATCGCCAACGTCCTCAAAGCGTAGCAGGCATATCTATATATACTTCTACCTTCTTCTCTATTAATTCTTTATTTGTCGTTTATTTATAAATATTAATTTCATAATCGATACTCAACAGGACTTTTCTTTGTTTCTCCTAGACCTGTAATTTCTCATCTGTGTTGATCACGTATACTCCTACTCTAATCGGTTATTAATAAACAATTGTGTTTCATTTTATAAGGTATGTATTTATAGAGATTTTATTGAGGAAAATAAACTCTCTGATTTTTTATCGCTCCATTTATAATCCGATGAGCGTACTCGATATCGAATTATTCCATGTATATGATAATTTTAAGTTCAAAAGAGAAATCGTCTTTCCTCTATTTACGGCTCCGCGCAATCCTACGTTGCATAAATCACTACTCGGAACATTTATACGAACTGAAACGGTGAGACCAGGTCCTTTTTAAAACCATATATTTCGGTGGCTGCTACCGTTCTTCGTTTTTTACTACACGTGCTAGCATATTTCATCTCGGGAAGGCTCGTTCCTAAAAGCGACTGTGTTCATCAAATTTTTATGCCCGAGTCGCGAATATACACTTTTTGCGGAGGAAAGCTCGACTTTAATCATTCAAAACAACGTATATATTTTATGCTGCTTCTATGTGCTTTAACGGTACAGAACGATTAATATTTCCTATTCGCCCTCGTCGGGTCTTCGCTGTAAAACAGCACGCGTACGAGGAATTTTAATTACGTTCGTAGGTATACATATAGTGTTCTCCATTCTACGTTACCTCTACGACGAGAATGAATATCGTTATTAAAGCTATCGGAAATATTTTATGTGATAATTAAATCATAAAGCTCTCCTTCATAGCGGAATATTACATTATATTTCATCGAAGTATAGCGCGTGTGCACGATAGAAAATTAAATTGCCAGTGTACCTCCGCGATAACTTCTCAATTAGAAGCAGTAGAGCATGCGCTAACACGAGAAAGTTAATTCGTCGACATGAAGGTTCTATGAGCCTTTGATGATTCTAGAGGGAGAGAAGAAGGTGACACCAGCAGTGATCAACGCCAGCCGCGGTCGACACCAGATTGGGGTCCACATGCGTGTAATGAAGAACACCTTTGGGTACCAACCGCCACATCCGGCGATTTTTGTTATGTCAACGATTGTTCCGTAAGTTTGTGTCGGAAAGTCAGTAAAACGAAAGACAAATATTACAATTATAATGTTGATTATCCTAGAAAAATATATCTCTAGAAATAATAATAAGCACACGTAGTTAAAAGAAAAACAAAATAAGTATCTTCTAATAAATAATTAAGAAATAGGTATCCGAATATTTGCACAGAAAAAAAGATTCAAGTAAACAAAATTACTGCTTAGCTAATTTTTATTCGGATCAAGTAAATATTACTTGAATGTAGAAAAAAGCGCTGCATTGAAATTATAATATATATTTAATCCAAAGAAAAATTTGCTAGAGAATATTGGGACAGTTATTTATTCGAATGTGGCTAATATATTTGGCCGTCGCTGTTACGTCTTCCGCAGAAACACGGACCCCGGCTGAAGTGTCCGGTTTGTCACATAGTGACCCATGCCTGCTGCATCACAAGTTTGGAGTTTCCGTGCAAACCGAGCTTCCACGATGTAAGCGTGCGCCAGTATCGCGAGCAAACAACCACCCACCACCACTGGGTTCACCGGCGATCCCAGAAGGGCAAATGCGCCAATTGCGGCAAATCCTTTCAATCGAAGCTCAGCTTCGGCTCCAAGGAGATTGTCGCAGTGAACTGCAGTTGGTGCAAGACCGCTTATCACAACAAAGAGGCGTGCTTCAACGTCGACAAGATCGGCGAAGATTGCGAATTAGGCAGCTACGCGTCGATCATAGTACCACCTTCGTGGATCGTAAAACTTCCTCGAAAGGGTACGTTCAAGAGCAGCCTGAAGAAATCCCCGAGGAAGAAGAAATCCATCGACGGCTCCTCCGAGCGACGGAAAAGGAAAGACGGCGAGAAGGAGGAGGAGAAGGAAAAGGGTCAGGGGATGCTGTGGATCATCAAGCCTATACCTACGGCCACGGCGAAGCCGGTCCTCGTCTTCATAAATCCGAAATCCGGCGGCAATCAGGGTGCGAAGTTACTGCAGAAGTTTCAGTGGTTGCTTAATCCGAGACAGGTCTTCGATCTGACGCAGGGCGGCCCGAAAATGGGGTGAGTGAATCATTATCTCTAAATGGGGTGCACACGAACAGTATTAAGAACTGTATTAACACGATGGCCGCCGAGGGTGAAATTGATCTTTGCCCCAATAGGCCAGCCATCCTCCCGACTGTCAAAATGATCATTTCCTATTAAAGTATTTAAACGAAAAAAAATATCGAAGACTCTGAAAGTAAACAAGTACGAAAGAAAGAGAGAGAGAGATTGGCCGTAGCAGCCATCGCTGGATGTCGGGCGCGCAATAATTTTAATTTTCAAATCTTAGCGGGGGGATAAAATTGTCTGACAGTGATAGATTCTTTTTCCAGACATCTATCACGCGCTATGGATACTGTATAATAATCAAATCTAAAATAATTTAGGTTCAATGATCCTTACAAGAAAGTTATTACTGGCTGTGATAAATTGGCCGGTGATAAATTACTGTTGCTCAGTAGTTTTAATAAATAATAAAACTTACTGAGCATCAGTAATTTATTACCGGCGAATCTATCACAGTCAGTAATGCTTTTCTGTAAGGGAAAGCTACGAAATTAGGACATATAATGAAGAGCCAAGGGTAAATCTTCTAGTCCTATATAATTGTACATACATTTCTACCGAAGAGAATCCTGTTAAGGACAGAAACGTTTGGAATATTATAATAATAAACTACACCAGAAATTTTCTAGACACGAGCTTTCAACATTGATTATACTGATTATAATAACCATTTCTCCACGTCGAACTGACATTTTAAACTCGCAATTAATGTTCTATTAATTAATATCTCACTAAACATCGCTCGAAACATAGAAATATTATTTATAGAAATTTTCATTATAAACGTTGCGAGAAATGAAGCATTTAATTACTTTCAAATCAATCCAATTAATTGACTAATTAAATTGTTGAGTTTGAGATTAATTTTAAATTTAAATTTAAATTAAATTCAAATTTAACTGAAGACGTTCAATATGTAGCTCTTTAGCTGTGAATGGTGGGAAAAGAAGAGAGACAGTTGAACGAGTGTTGTTCTTACAGACTGGACCTTTTCAAGAAAGTCCCGAATTTACGCGTTTTGGCTTGTGGCGGCGACGGTACCGTCGGTTGGGTTCTGTCGATCCTGGATCAAATCGGCGCATATCCATCGCCAGCGGTCGGCGTTCTTCCTCTGGGCACGGGGAACGACCTGGCGAGAGCATTAGGATGGGGAGGCGGTTACACAGACGAGCCGATCGGGAAGATCCTGTCGAGTATAGGTGACAGTGAGACCATCTTATTAGATAGATGGCAACTGGAAGTCGAGAGAAACAACAATGCTCAGAACGATGACGACGGCAACAAGGGCAAGGATAACTTGCCGCTTAATGTTGTTAACAATTACTTCTCCCTCGGCGTGGACGCTCACATCGCCTTGGAGTTTCACGAAGCCCGAGGTGAGGCTTGACCTTAATTTCTACCGCATGACTCCGTTGAAACCAACAAACGGCAAGCCGTTTATGTTGATACTCTGATTCGAGTTGGAAAAGTCGATATATTAAAGTCGTTGTTGTATCGAAGTTTCTCGAAGTTTCCTCCTACTATTTTAAAGAAATGTGAGAGTTAGTATAGTGTAAAAAGAACAATCTTATTTTTTCTTGTTTTCTCAACGAGATCACTTGAAATATCAAACGTATGTTTAATTAATTATTATTAATATTCAAATTAAAAATATAACATTATTAAAAATTATATATCTCAGTTATAAAATATAGAACTACGAAATTTATGTAATAACTTCTAATCGAAATCTTTTCGCGTAATTAGTAAAATTGTTTTATTTTTTGTGTAAATAACAATCTACTGAAATTTTTGTGTTATTTTAACATGGTGAATATGTTAAAAAGTAATATGTTAACAAGGTTAATTTAACATATATTTTGTACTTTTTAACATATTAAAGTAACACAAAAATTTCCGTTATTTATACAAAATTTTTTATTGTGTATTGTGATCGTTCGTAGAGGCCCACCCGGAGAAATTTAACTCCAGACTGAGGAACAAGATGTTCTACGGTCAGATGGGCGGCAAGGACTTATTACGTAGAAAATGGAAGGACCTCTCGGAGTTCGTCACGCTGGAGTGCGACGGCCAAGACATGACGCCGAAATTGAAGGAGCACCGAGTCCACGCGATCGTCTTCTTGAATATCGCCTCTTACGGCGGCGGGACGCGTCCTTGGGGTGCGGGTAGCGGCACCAGGGAACCCGCCATGGACGACGGCCTGATCGAGGTGGTTGGTTTGACCACGTACCAGCTGCCTCTTTTGCAAGCGGGTGGACATGGCACCTCCATAGCGCAATGCAGCAAGGCCAAGCTGGTGACAACGAGGACTATACCGATGCAGGTAAGCATATTATTTTTAGACATAACATTGTATGAAAGCGTGTATTATTTTCGAAGTAACATGCCATTCATACGCAAAATATCATGGAATTATTTATACAAAGATTCTTCTCTTAATTTGAAGTCGTTTTTCCTTGAGAAGAAGTTCTGCTAAGTTGATTAAATAACGAACGATAGACTTCTCGATACAAATTCTTTTTTAAAATATTGATCTGATATGGAATAATTTATATATATGTACATAAATAAGAGATAAGTGCCGGTCTCGAAATATAAATGTAGATTAGTTCATTCTGAATAAGAAATTCATCTATCATTTTGTCAACAACTACGCAATAAAACGTAATTTCTTCCTCGGAATAACCTAATTTACATATATATTTCGCGATCGATCGTCAGACATCCTGCATAAATATATATAAATACAAATATATAAATAGAAATAAATAACTATATATATACATATGTGTATTTATTATGTCCAAATATATCAAATGTTTTCCGGAGTATGATTTCCAATCTGGAAAAAGGATGTGAATTCTGCTAAATACATAAATTAGAATAATAATCAAGATTTTTTATCGCATTAAAGGTGGACGGCGAGGCTTGTCGCCTGCTGCCAGCTACCATAACTTTAAGCCTGCTGAACAAGGCGACGATGTTGGTCAAGAGGAGAAACACGGGGAAGCCGCGTCAGGACACAGCGAGATTGGAGAGACTAAAGTTGCCCGTGATGAAAATAAAGATGTCGGATTACAAGACGTATCATCACGATAAGGTCAGGTTGAAAGATATAGCGGAGCAGTTGCTGGCGGAACCGCTCGACCTTGACGCCACGACTGATCTGGAGATGCTGAGGAAGCTCTTGGCGAAAGATTACAACATGGATTCTTGTTGCTTCGTCGATTGTGAGTGTTATGTTCGCGATAGCGCTCTCAAATCGAGCGAGTACGTGAGAATCGATCGTTTTCCAGCGTGTACCGCGGAAAGATTCTTCAGGATCGATCGCGCCCAGGAGCAGTTGCATTACGTGACGGACGTCGCCGCGGATGCTGTATACGTTCTCGAGGAAGACGCTGGCCAACAATGCGAGGGTCAAATCATCGCGGACCAGGAGCAGGAAGCAACTCAAACCAGGTACGTCAACCAGCGCGAAGATCATTTGACAATATTCGCGATAAATGAGATGAAATTGAAGAGTATTCCCGTGAAGGTTCCACGATAATTCACTACCCCTAATTCTGAAACACGTTCAGGCGAAAATTCCAAGCAAGGGCAATCGTTAGATTAATAGATGGAACGTGTGATACAGCGACGAAGGATCGAAGGTGATGCCAGCCGTGACCGAGGAGGAGGATCGGCCGATCTCGGATGGTACCAAAGGCTTCCAGGAACGTAGTCCCTCCCCGGAGCAACTCGGGAGCAGCCTGTCCGTGGAGGGAGGGATCGCGGTCAAGCCGTCGACCACGACGAGTCGGAGGAACTCCTTCTTGCTGATGAGCGGAGTGCCCAACAAGGATAAGGACATCGAACTCTCCTGCCCAACAAGGATAAAGACATCGGATTCTCCTGTAAACGGCGAGCCCTGCAAGCGGGATTCCCCGGAGAATCAGGCCGATCGACCCATCACTTTCATCAGGTAAAACTGTGCCTCGCTTCTTGCGAAACATCCTGACTATAATCTCTCGATTTCTCTTCAGTCCTCGCGACAGACTCTTCGGGCTGAGCTCGGGGGTTCATCGGTTCAGCACCGGGCTGCTCGAGAAAACCTGCGACGGGATACTGACAGCGGCGAAGATCGGCGATCTTCTCACGTTGAAGCAGCTTCACGAGCAGGGCTACTCGCTCTTGTCGATCGACGCCAATGGCCAAACGGCGCTCCACCTCGCGTCCAAGCACGGTCACAAAGAGATCGTCAGGTATCTCATCGCCTGCGCCCCACCGACAATCTTAAACATGGTCGATAATGACAAGTGAGTGTTACTCGGATATTGCTTTCCAACCGAAATCACAATCATCCCTCGCATTACAGAGGGCAAACTGCTTTGCACAAAGCGGCCCAGAACAAACGTCGTTCCATTTGTTGCGTGCTCGTGGCGGGTGGCGCGGCATTGATGATCAAAGATCGGCTCGGTCGCACGCCGCGAGATCTCGCGTTGATCGCGGAAGACTGCGACTTGGCAGCGTATCTGTACAGTAAGTAAGACTTTTCCGCGTGACTGTGAAAACGTAAGCAAGTGTACGTTGTTCGCCAGGTCAGGAACAGTTTCAATTGGTGACGGACGAGCACATGGAGAGCATTCTTTGACCGACAGCGTTGATCGCCACGGCCTGAATCGCCCCTGAAGCACGAGAGAAGAAGAACTCGATCGATCCGTTGTCAGTCTTTTCGCAGCATTTTCTCCCGGCGACGTTACGTAAGTCCCTCGCCCGTGATAATCTAATTATTGTCGCTCGATGTGTATGTGTGCGCGCGCGCGTGTACACGTCGACGCAACTTACGTGTTTGCCAAACGCCTGTAATCTTACTTTTACTCTCGGCTTTTTTTCTCGTCGATTACTACGAAGTCTCTCTTTACGACGAGCGTATATACACACATCCAATCCTATTGCATATATATATATATATATATATTTATATTTATATATATATATAATTACGGTGCGTGCTAGAGTTATATATACATATATACGATAATGGCGCACGTAGCGATTTTTAATCGAACATAATAATAACAACAAGCCCTTATTTTTCTCACTCACGTGAACTTGTCTGGCTCCATACTTGCGTGTATCCGGCATGTATATGTGGACCACAATCAGGAGCCGGGGAGCTCTTGAGAGAATGCTCCTGAGGGGGGCGAATTTATTTTTCTCGCGCGACATTTAATGTCCGTGGTCCCAAATGAGATAGTTGATTTTTTATGTGTATACACATATATACATATACATATATATATATATATATATATATACATGCCGCAAATTTTTAAGAGAACGTTACGACGTCAGGCTAAAAGTGAAACAAGGACAATGATAAGAAAAAAGAAGACGAGTGTCACGGGCGCGAGACCATTCAAATATTCTGTGCCAACTGGCTGAAGAGAGGACATTAATGATGCCAAACGAGGATTAACTATCTCATTTCGGAGCATGTGCGGAAACTATACACTTTTACGATCTCTCCACTCGAGATGGGTGCTACGAGCGCGTATCGATCGATAATCCGCTAAATAGTTTTAAAAATTGTGAGAGGATAATCTTAGAGGAAGAAAACGATAAGGAAAACGAAGATGAACATTCTATAAACGATACCAAAATGTAAAAAGGGATCAACGTACGAACACCAATTAGTAGTTAGATGCGGTCTATCGCGCTACTCTATTGTACTGTTACTATACTGTTACAATTATTTTTCTGTCGAGACGCGCGTTATCTGTACAGGATGTCCCAGATCTGAGCTCGCATAGCGTCACGTTTCAGCCGTTTAAGACGACGAAAATCAGGGGAACGGGGCGTCAGCCACGTCGTTAGGCAAAGATCTCGAGGAATTTTGGCGAATTATTTATTACGAATTATACACAATGCTATTTCTAGCGCGCGATCTTCGATTCTCGCCAAGGGAGAAATCCGATCTCGAAGGGTTTACCGAAGAAGAGTTTTTGTAGATGCCGAAATATGACGCGATGTTGGAACATCCTGTACACACACATACATCAAGTCTATATACATATGTGTAGAATTTTTGAAAAAAAAAACGCTCATCTTGCTTGGACTTGCGTATGTTCTAAGAGAGGACGCCGCTCATAGGTCAATACGATCGTACACGCAACGAGTAAGTCTCCCCTTCATGCGTCTTAATCGAGCCCTTTTACTTATTGATACGATGCGTCTGATTCCCTGGAATCTCGGTTCACGTTAAATCGTACTTCGAACACACGTGTCAAAACACTCGGGCGAGTTGCCACCGTATATCTCCGTTCCTCTTCTCCGTTATTCAAGATTATTATGTGTATACTGGCGCTCAATAGTTTGACTACACTCTATTTTCTGAAAGAGGTTTTCAATTCTATAAATGTTCTTTCATTGGTGGTAAGTGACACTGTGAAGTGACACTACTTATTATTAAAGAAGAAAAACAACACGGACGAAGATTAGTCTCAAAATCAATAATAAATATTCTCATACATAAGCAAGAATACTACAATCTTCTTAGAAGAGACTTTTAGTCCCGATTGAGTTTGTACTGATGCAAATTACTTGCACTCAATTCAAAAGACTAAAGATCTTCTAAGAATATTATAATATTCCTGCTTTTATATATATATATATATATATATATATATATATGAGAATATCTATTATCGACTTAAGATTATATTTTTCTGTGAAGAATAAATTATATCGAATATTTGACAAGTTCATTTGTATGTTAAGAGCTTAGTGTTGAGCGCAAAATAATACGCTAAAAGTGATCGTTAAAAATGTCCAGGATGTGTCAAGAGAGGTGATTGATAAAAGTATAAATCCATATTCAATTCAATCTCAAGCAGAGAGTCCTCGAGACTCTAAAATATACGTACTCCTGATAAATGAACTTTTGCCTCTCAGATGAAACGATCTTCGCGGTCTCTTCATCGAAATCGATGAGTGCTTGACATTTCGAGGTGAAGCACGTAATAGTGTACTGAAACTATCGAGTGTTAGTATCCCATTCGTCGCGCGCTCTCTCAGGATCACACATGCCGAGGACCTTCATATTATTATGTAAATAGCTAACAAAATCGTCGTCTCTGAGTGTCTTTGAGAAGAGCTTATTTTAATAGCGGCTTTACACCCTCGGGCTTAATTACCGAGATATCGAACGTTAGAAATTACGAGCGAATGGCCTCCGATTCGATTTTCGTTGAGAGAGATTGACTTCGCGCACGTTGAAAAGAGAGAGAGAACACGACGTGATGGGATACCCAACGTATATCTTTACCGCTATTTTGAAGTATTAAGAGAGAAATGCCTTTCGTGGTCTGTACCTGTTGCACCATTGTCGATTATCGGATAAAAAGGATATTGAATTTAAAGCAGAACATATGTATAATTAAGGGCCGTTGTAGGCGCGTGCGTGAGGTACGTTTCACGCACGCACGCACGTTTTCCTACGCGAGTATACGCGTGTATCGTATGTCGAAGAAAAGAAACAAAGAATAAAGGAAGATAAATAATGTTAGTTTTAACATCCGGTAATATCGGGTGTCGAAGCCGGTATAATTTCACAGAGTCCTCAGAACTTTCGGTGCTGCAGATGAAACGAGGAAACACGTGTACCACCCATACTGAGTCGCTCTTCGTTGCGAATCACTTTCGCTTGCTCGCAGCATCGAAACTCCCCTCACTCGCCGAAATTGTACCAGTTTCAGTCCTCGGAGGTTACATTAGGCCCGATGTAGGAGGGAAAGGAGGAAATTAATAGAATTTCCCGGTTATGTAGCGATGCTTCTCGCGGTGAGACGGTCGCGCCGACTCGCGCCGCAAATCTCAATTTAAGTTTTAGAGCAATAAATTGACGACAATCACGACATTTCGGCGTGAGCCGGCGCTCGCACCGCGACTATTTACTTCCTTCCCGTCCGTTCCTTTCTATTCCGTTTCCTCTTTCTCTTTCACTTTCTCTTTCTCCCTCTTGTTCGAGATTGCGTCTCGTTTGTTCTTGTGCGAACGAATAAGTCCTTAATGTTCAATTCTCTCTGTACTTCCCGAGTAAAAGTTACAAAGTCGTATAGATAATTTAATTATAATCGATATTATGATAGAGAGTCTTGTTATTCCGTGTTTGTGATTTAAAAAGTTCGTTGTATTTGTCTATACTGGACGACGAAACACGATTTGCTCTTACACCACGTATGAAAATGGCGATTATATTTTAGATTAATTTTCGAAAGATGATTTCAGATCTTCTCATCGTCTCAGCGATATAAGTTTTAATGGAATGTAAACTTATCTTTAGTTCCTTCAACTTTAGTATTAAATATCATTAATAATTAGATAAGTTCGTTCGATACGTTAAAACTCTTACACATTAATAATCAATGGCTACTTTTGCTTTCATTGATTCCGTTCATTCGGCATAAATCGCGAACTTGGAAGCATCAGGACGTTCAATGTGTCGTCCAGTGTTATTAAGAGAGGTTACGAAATGTTAAAAATAATATAGATTCAAATTACGATAATTCGATGAAAATCTGTCCATTCGCCTGTTCGTCCCTCCGTCAGATAAAACTCACCGAATGTTTTTATATGTATAAAAAGAAGATATGCAGAGAGGTTCGGTCACTGCTAAGTTGTTAGAAACACGAGATCTACCGATATCACGAATTTTATTTGATGCCGAATAAAAACTGGTACAGCTTTATGTGAACATCGATATATATATANATGCAACCCGCGAGTTTTGTGCAACATGCAAAACATCGCTTAAACATTGAGAATCTCTAAGTCGAAGAATAGGCTTAGGCGGACCAACCAATGACCATTTTATTTTATTAAAACAACTGATACTATGCTGTATTATCTGTAATTTTAGATCTATTAAAACAAAACCACCAAATTGAACTGTTCTTGTAACATCCCGTGTAATGCACCAAAGCGGAACTAAAGAGAATTCGCAAATAAGATTCGGCGCGATAGCGACGGAATACCTTGTATAAGATTATCTTTCAACAGATTCCCGACATATCTCTCTATGTATTTTTAATAATAATGAACGTATTAAAATTGTTCAATTCACGCTTTTGATCCATTGACATGTGGTATGTACTTTTCTCCCTCATCTGTTGTCCAACTAAAGAAACTAACTAAAAGATATATTGAGAAATAATAAAGAAAAGAATAATAAATAAATAAATAAATTACTACAATAAATAATTTCAAATTTTATACAGATTAGGAACTTACGTTTCTCACGAAGAATGTCTCATAATATATGTAAATAATATGCTGTAATAATTTCGTTTCGAGTTATTCACTCTTTACACGAAGTGATTCGTAATTATTGCCCGAGCGATACGGTTATTTAAATTTAAAAAATGTTTAAAAGAAAATCCTTACAGACGAACGTCGAGAGGCTATATTTTTCAAATTCAACGTTATATATCTCATTAATTAAATCTGATATAAATCTGATAAAAATTTCATCGATTTTTATCATCTGTAATCCCAGAACTATTCACACTTCGACGTTCTCCTCTACAACGCTTTTCATCCGAAATCTTAATAAGTGATCTACTTTAACGTTTCATAAGTGCCCGGTCGCGATTCATCCTGTATCTTCATCGTTGGCTCCGAGATTGGAGATGATTGTGCTAAGATCTCAGATACAGAATGACGCCACGACGTAACCACGCGTCGTGCTCTTCTCTCGGGCACGCTATCGGTAACGAGCAGATTAGGGCTTCCCGTTGAACGCTTGCGTAAACGGGTATATTCAGATGATCTTTCCGATGCGTGTCCTCGAGAGCGTTGAGATTATCATCGCCGGACTTAGTTTTCGAATATTCGTCGAGCATAAACGCCACTTGACACGTCGGAGCGACCGCGACTGCCGGCGAATTTGCGTCCAAGTCCCTCAGCACACCTTCCTGGATGGATGCTCCTGCGAAGAAAAGTTGTCGTCCGGTTAATCCTCGAGGGAAAAGAAGAACGTATTTTTCAAGCTTACCGATGCATGCACATGAAAATTCTCTCTTCAGCTAACATTACCTGATATAAGTAAACCTTCGAGCGAAAGCGACACCTTCCAGTCCCTGTTCGCGCGATTCTCGGTCCAATTTGCGCGGAGCTGGAGTATTTCCAGCGGATGACCGAGTTCTCGCGCGGTGTATTGTTTCAGTGCAGTTAGAAGAGCACGCGGCCGGGACAATTGAGACAGATCGACCCGACGTGGTATACTCATCGGTGAGGATTTCAGCGCCTCGTACTTCGACAAAAGTGCCTTCACGAATTGAACGGCATTCCTCGGCCCCGCCCGCCACTCCGTAAGCCAGTGCTTAGGAGTCTGTGGATAACACAATTCGAAATCGTTGTTGCGATTAATTTTATAATGATGGCAAAATAATGTCACAGTATTAATTTAATTATAGTATCGCAGTAAGCAGATATTCTATTTAAATTAACGATTGATATCATTGCTTTAACGTGATATTAATGAAAAGTGTAATAATTATTAGAGAGAAATATACACGTGAATGTATAATTTAAAATTAAACAAAGAACGGTCTGCCAGTGTTTGGCATTAATCGAATAAGATTTTTGTTGTTGATTCAAATCTATTAATTAATAATCGAAGTTAATCATAGATGTAATCATGAGTAATTTAATCGATCTTAATGATATCAATTAACGTAAAATTAATCGAAGCAAAGTAATTGATGAACGCTTGATTTTAATCAACTAAAATTTTAATCAATTAAGGCCCGACACTGGGTATCCTTACCTCGGTATCTTCGAAAGATAACGCGTCCATGTCCATTCGTATAACATTCAATAACTTTTTCATATGATCAATCTCGTCGACGAAAAAGTCCTGCAATGGATCTCTCTTGTTGTCGCGCACCGTACCCGTGTCATACGTGAACGTCGACGAACATTGCCGATCGATGATTTCCTTCAGGTCCTGCTGAGCTCTCGATTTTTCCATCTTGTCGCTGCTCCCCTCGTTGCTGCTGAGATGTTTCATCAAGATGCCTGGACAGTCATTTAGAAGACATATTAATTAGGAAAAGTGTAATGTAAAAAATAGAAGGTAAAATATTAGTCACTTAAACTCATCTAAAGGGTTGAAATACCTTTGAGATACGTCAGGACTTTCTCCGCGGCAGCCCTTTCCCATGCTCTGTGAGCGTTAGCCGGGAGACCGAAGTACTCCTTCGGTGAGTCGGTATCGTCCAGGTTCTCCAGCGATTTAATCGGATCGACGAGCGTCACGTCGGTGATCTTCAACACGCCTCCCAGCTTCCGGCGACCCTCGAAGATATCCTTCGACCATACGTCGCGTATCATCGAGCGTAAAGCTCTCACGTCGTAGTCATCCTGAAGACGACCGCCGTAAACTGCGACGTCGAGTAAACCTCTGCCGACTTGCCAGTCACCTGATTGATGACCAAAAAGTTGCATCGTAAAGTACTAAACTAAATCATAAATGATTAAAGAAATAGTAAATATATGCATTTACCGACAAACGCAGATTGTCCTGCATAAAATGATACTATTAACAAACTGTCACTAATAAATGCTGTGAATTCGAGAAGAATTGGAAAATCTATACCTTGCTGTGATCGCTTCTCCCTCGTCATTTCCTTGATCACCAGCTCGTAGGCTGCCTCAAGATCCGAATCGTTCCACTCGTACGATCTGATCCAGCCCTGGGGAACGAAATTCCGTCGTTCTTGCAGTGTCGCGTGCAGCCAAGAGAGGACTATTACAGCGACCGCGCCGTCGTCGTTGGGTTGCGTCTGTCGAAGTTGCTGGAGCGACTTCCTCATGTTCCTCTTCACACCCTCGGGAGGTTCATACGCCAGTTTCAGGCAGAGCGCCGCTAAGCCCGGATAGAATCCCGAGCACTCCTCGGTGGTCAGCCAAATCCTCGTGGAAGGATTCTTGCTCGTGGTGCACATCGGCGAACGAAGCAGGCTTTCCAATCGCGGCAACCAATTCAGAGCGAGCTGCAGGTTGCTCAACAGTATCCAGCTGCCGTTTCTGCGAAGAAGAACGTGTGATTGCTGCGATAATGAAGAGATCGTCGTTTTACCTGCACGCTGCCTCCAGCGCTGATTCGGCCTGACTGATGTGTCCTTGGCCCAGGGAGATCTCGGTGAATCCGGAGGACGACGAAGCGTGCTTCGCAGCGAGCGCACTCAATTCGGGACCGGGATCGGCGCCGGGTGATAACAGCAACAGCACAGGATACGAGCCTTCTTTCTCTTGGGCTATGCTACCCAGTGTCCACAAGGGCGGCGCCAGATCCTTCACACCTTAAGTCCATTCGCAAAGTTCGAATTATTTAGCGCATTAATACACAAGGAAACATTTTTGGTTAGCGCGGTAAATTATTTCCTACCACAGTGACAGCGAAAAGATTTGTTGACACGGAAAAAAGAATTTTGCTGTTGTAGCGGAACGTCTTTGCGACGAAAATTTAGTTGGCATAATTAACAATTAATATTCCTGACAAATCATTTTGTTGTTACTGTAGTGACAATTCGCTACGCCAGCAAGAATTTTCTTTATGGGCGTGTCGTGATACCTAATTGATTCGCAGCCAGTTTCGAGAGAGCGGTGTGCAAGTAGTCGGGTCGCAGAGCCTGCACGACCAAGACTTTCTGGAAGGCGCTGAGTCCATTGTCCGCGTAAATGTTGGAAATATCCTTCAGCCAGGAAGATTTCATTCTAACGGCAACCTGTAATGAAGAAAAATGATTCGTCAGCGAAATTTTAATCTTCGGATTTTGCGAAGAATTTTCAGATCGACGATATCAATGAGTGACAGTCTCGTACATCAGGTAGAGAAGAACTTAAGGCTTGCGCAGCCCCACGTCGCTCGTCCGGCACCCAATCGGGCAATTCGAAGTCCGAGTTATCGCCGTTGCTGATCGCACCGTTGTCGAACAGGAGATTCCTCTCGGCGTCCGAAACCGGATTCAAGGATAATGCCATGTGCAGAGCCAAAGGAAGCCTGTGCTTCCTGTAGATCGCCTTGGCACAATGATGGAACGTCAGAGTTATCAATCTGGAATGTGGTACGATCAATTACACAGTAATAAATGAATTCATTGCATTTAAATATTGGGTTGATGTAAAAGTTCGTTCCGCTTTTTAATCAACTGGTATAACATTTTAAACTTTAAAATACAATCAAGTATGCGCCGATTGGCTCAATGACCCGCCATCTCGCATTCGTAGAAATTCTAAGATTTAATTAGAAGACGCAAAGAGTTAATTAGAAAACGGAACGAACTTTCACATCGACCTAACACGTACCGTTTTTCGATCACTCTCTGCGATTCCTTCTTCCGCCTGTCTTCACCTGCCACAGTGTAGTCACCCTGTACGGCTTTCAAGCAGATGTCCGTGTAGGCTTCTGTAGAGACGACGTATAAGGAGCTGAGAAGAGTTAGCCCGCTGACAGTCTCGTAAATGTTAGCTGCGAACTGCGCGAACTTCTCGTGATCTTTGGCTCGTCTGAGAAAAAATAAAGTGACAATATATAATTGTTCAGATTGAATATCAGCGCGTTTCTAATCTGAGTTTAATATATGTAAACTTAAAACTTCAGAAGCCATCAGCATACTTCGTAACTTCGCTCAAGCTTTGTCTGCTTCCCTCGAGCGCGAGGGCTATCTCCTTCGCCTTGGACTGCGTCGCCTCCAACGAAGACAGGAGTCCACCTTGTCTTTGTCCCTGAGACTCTTGCAAGAGATCCTGGCCTCTGGCCGTAGCTAATTGACTCAGTAGATCTAACCTGGCCGCGTCTCGTTCTCCGGACAATTTCTCTTCCCTTTCCAGAGCTTCTCTCCTTTGCGCTTCGAGCTCCGGAGTCTCGTTCAGCAAAAGCTTGAAGAAGAGTATCGTTAATTATCCAAACGTAAGTCGGAGCAAGTTGTAATGCAAGTTAGACATGATTAGATTTATAATTTTGAAGGCTCGGGAAAACCGACCTTTTCCCATTTTTCTGCGAATTTTTTCGGCTCTTTTATCTTTTCTTATTCATTTTTATACCTTTTCCACGAATCTCTCCGCCAAGCTCTTCGTGCCAGTGCCGAGCGTGATCTCGCATAATACAGCGTCGGCTTCCTTCGGAATATCTTCCAATCTATCCTTCCTGGTGGCTAAGAAGAGCTCGAAGCCTTGCTGAGCCGGCAAAACGCGATCGCCGAGTCTGAGCGGTCTCCGGCGAAGAAGGGGTAGCAATGTCGACGGGAAATCGACCAGTTCCTCGACCAGGAGGGGTTTCCCGAAACGCACCGCTAGTTCCAGAGCCGTGAGGAACTTGGGGCTTTCAGGTTGTGTGACCTCGAGTCTGGAGCCAATACTGCGTTTAATCCAGGACACAGCTACGCCCGAAGGATCGAGGAGAATAGGCACCAGGGGACCTTTTAAGACGCGAGAGGCCGCGACCAAGCTGCTCGTGTCCGCCGGTAATCCTTGCGCCCTCCATAGTAATCCCTCGCGTTCAGTAACTAGCAATTTCACGGCCGATTTCTTCCAACTATCGTCCTTTCCGGGATCCTGTGCGAATAGTTAAACGTCTGGAATTATTAAGCATTAAGAAGCGATCACGTTATGTTGAGTTAGAAGAGAGGTACATTTTACCATTCGATATTCTAACAAAATCAATTTTTTTTTAATTTATTTAGAAGAGAGCCACTCCTGTTCCTTTTCGGCCGATTATGTAATGTCGTCACATTTTCATAAAAATCATGTCTTAATATAATTATTAGGTTTTCAATTAAAAATATAAATTGAGAGCCATAACACCATCTTCTCCTCCATTAATATTAAGAATTTTAAAGATCTTAATTGCGAGGAGAGAATTTTTACGAAACAACCGATTATGTAAATCTTTCAAAATGCACAAGTAAAAAGATATTTGCCTGATACACGAGCAGAGCCGCCGCATTAGCCGCCTCAACGTCCAGTTTTTCTTTCCTGACTGTCAGCTCCTGGAATTGAGTTTGCCAATCGCGATGCTCGGTATCGAGCTTCTTCAAAAGAGCTCGTGCCGTTGATAGACTGGCCTCGGTGGATTCGGTTCGCAGCTGCAGCTCGGCTGCACCCCTCGTGCGCTCGGCAAGTTCTTGCTGCAGCTGCGCCACGCGGCTCTCCACCGTGTTTAATCCAGCGGCCAGCTTGTCCAATTGTGCCTCGGCCGCCGCCAATCCCCTTGAAAGTCATACAAATCAAAGAGAGCGACTAATAAAAGGATTAAACGCTGAATATATTGGAGAGAGTTTTACCGTCGAGGAGGAGATTACTCAAGGGATAAATATAAAATAGCTTTTCTCGCGAATTTCTCTAGAGAAATTAACCAAAATTGGTTCGTTACAACTGGAACGAAGAGGACACGCACTCAGCTAATTGTCGTTGTTCCCGTTCCAGAGGGGCGACTTGCTGCAATATCTGACCGTACTGGAGATTAGCGAGCACCCAATCCGCCAGAGGAGCGGCCGCTACCGACGCTCTCTTCGCCGTTTTCTCCTCGAAACTCTCCGGACGTTCCTTCACCAGCTTGGCGACCGCTTCCAAGCTGGTGGGCGTGCTGCGCCTCGCGTCCCAATTTCTGCGCATTACGAAGGAACAGAGAAAAGTTAATCACAGGACTTATCCATCGGATAAAGCGTGCTGTACGGATGACGATTAATTCAGTTTAAGAAAGAAGAAAGATTTTAATCGCGCAACTAAACCGACCGTCGCTTACCTGATCTCGTCTTTAACGCCTCGTTTCGCGAGGAAAGTCTTCATGCTGTTCCAAGATGTGTCCTTTATGCCCATTAGCCGAAGAACGCCCTCGAGCACGTCTCTCACTGGCGCCGGAGGTGCTCTCAACGAGCGAACCTCAGCCAGCGCGTCGGCACTTATGCCAGCCACTGCTTGAGCAGCTTGTTCCACCAGGGGCTTAACTTTCCCTAATTCGCTTTCTATATCCACCTAAGCAATCAGTTTTCATTACCTCAAAATGCACACTGACGTTGATCAATCTGTCTCGTGCGAATGGCTATTTCAATTTTCGAATAGTTGTACCGATATAGTTAAATTGATGCTTCGTAATGGCTAAGAAGAATACCTTACGTCGCGCGAGCTCGACGCTCTCTCGTTCCGTGCTGGCCTTCAAGTTCGTCATCTCACCTCTCTGGGTGGTCGCTCCTCTCATCGTCGCAGTGATTTGCTCGAGAGCAGCATTGGCTCGTCCCTTCTCCACCTGGAATATATAATCATTATAATATCATAAGTCCAGCGTTATCCTCACTATTGAGTAAAACAAAGGACCGATGTATCGCTTTAATCGCATTTTTTAGACATCTTAAAATAGTCTGTAAGTAAGACGTTTAAGATGTCTTATATCTCAGTTTTAGGTTTTGTGCTGGATTTTAACCTTATCGTTAAAGTAAAAATGAACAAAACAGTTATGCAAACCTCGAGCTCCTGACGCTGCCTCGACACTTCGTCTTCCAGTTTAGCCACCTGTTCGCCGGCTTCTCTCAGCTTCCCGATACCCGCTTCGAGAGTCTGCAGCTTCCCTTCGACTTCTTTGCTCCACGTATCGCGCAGCTGTTTCCACGTGTGCACCAGAGCCAAGAATCTCGCCGGCGCCCGTTGACGGCGAGGTGCCTGCAGATGAGACCCGATCATCACTTTCGCGCCAGCCGACAGCTCTTCGAGCTCGTCCAGCTGCAGAGTTCCTTCTTGGACCGCCAATTTGATCAACGAGCTCTCCCAAGACCACCACTCGCCAGGACCAGGCCCGGAGCCGAGCAACGCGCAATGTCGAAGGAGATCCAAGTGTAACAGCCGCGACGACTCGATCTCTTCCGAGTCCAAGATCACCGCTACCTGGAGATACTTGCGCAGCCCTGCGGAACGTTATCGATCGTTGCATCCTTACAACATTCCGAGAATATTATATGAATATCATTAAATATTGAAATAACATTTTTATAATATTTTATTTGACTGCAAAGGAAAAAGACCGAGGAAGTATACGCACGATGATACAAGTAATGTTCCAGCGTTCCTTGGAAATCTTCTCGGCGGGCGAAATCGGCCAACGGTGCGACTAGCGTGTCGAGTTCATCCGCCGTGAAGAGACCCGGAACTTCCCCCTTGGATACGATAGCGCTCACCAGCACGGCTAAGCTCTCTTCCCTGGCGTGGTGTTCCTCCAGCAGAAGCAACGTCGGTTGGCTCTCGATACCTGCGGCTTGCACGGCACTTTTTATCGCCACTCTACCGCGTTCTGCGGTAGAGAGAAAGAGAGAGCGTTACGACAATATGTGCTTCGCTTCTGTGAGTTAAAGTGCATTTACTGTACCAGGTCCCGAGTCGATCAGTCGAAGGGAAGAGAAGGTCGCAGCCAGTTTAACAGCCGATCTCCGACCCGCTCCAGGTCGTCCAATGAGAATCATACCGCGGAAATTGCAGCCCACAGCCCAGCTCAGTCCTAAAAAAAATAATTGACGATTGTTAAAGCCAATCTGTGCAGAAAAAAGTGCTACTTTCAGCAAATAAATAATTACTGCAAGATTCCTTAGCAAATTTTTATTTAGATCAAGTAATATTTACTTGATCTAAATAAAGTATTTTTCAAGTAAATTTTGAAAACAGGAGGATCTTTTAAACAATATTATATAAAAATTAAAAAAATTAATTTAATCAGGTTATTTACCAGCTACAGTTTCCAAGAGGTAAGACGAGATCGGCGCCTCCACCGGTTGGCCTTCTCTGGCGCATCTGGCTGCTACATTGATTGTTTCTTCCCGCCATTGTTCTTCACTTAGAGGATACAGACCGACGTTTGCGTTCTTCCACACGAATAAATCGTTGGCGAAATCTTTCACATCGGACTCCTTTGACAATAACAGAGACTCCCACCGTGTCTGCGTTTTGGGCGCTAATCTGGAAAAATGAAGTTATACGGTAACTTCACGCAAAAGGCAGAAGCGTTTAAGTAAAATTTCAATTTAGATTTATTAAATATATTTGCGATTTCATTTAATTTTCTTATCGATACAGCTGAAAATAAAAATTACGCGAGAACACTTTCAATCTTGAAACACAGAGGATTATTTTTCTCTCCTCCTTTTTTAAACACTGAACTTATATCGACAGTCTTTGTAATATTTTGATATAATCTTTATATTAGAAGGGAATAAAAGTGATGACAAAATTAAAATATAAATATAAATATAATACCCTGCACGGAATAACCGATGCCCGATATCTAATAAATGACGAGTGATGTCCGCTTCGTTTTCAGGGGTAGGATAATACTTCAAGCGCGTAGCCCAGGAGACGATATCCTTGAGCGTCCAAGCAATAGAAGATTCCTGAGAGGAACAGGCAAATCGGAAAGCATCCAAGATACTGGGCATCATTCGAGCGATCCAAGATTCCGCCATGATGGAGTCAACTTGCTTCAAGGAGTTTCTTAAATGAAGCTCGAGGATCGCTGCGATATCCTTTTGACTCGGATACCTGTTGTGGACAAATTTTATTTTAATTAATTAATTAATTAATATTATATTTAATTTTAATAGTGTTCGCAAAACTTTCACTCTAAAAGTTTCAACATATTTAATTTTCTAATGGAAAAATGAAAATGGATACATACTCTAGATAATAAGTTGCGAATAAAGCCTCAAGTCTAGGATGTAATCGAGTGCTCACATCGGCGGTGCACAGGATCGTTAAAGAAATTTTGGAGAATTCAAGATCCTCCTCGAGGAATCCTTCCTCTTGAAGCAACTCTCTCACTAATTCCTGAAAGCAGGTTGATCTCGCTGATTTATTGATTTATAAATCCTTATTTGGAAAGAAATTATTTCATTTTAACTTTTCCTATGTTTAATTAATGCTTCAGATATTATTTTCACGAACAACTCATGAGGCGTCTGTATGACTCAACTGATTGAAAAATTAGAGGAAAATACACCTGTGGGTTGTACCTGTAAATCTTTAGCGGCGAGATGCATGTCTTCCAAGATGAGAAGCACTCGAATCCCAATTTTTGGTTTGTACGTTCTACCCTGTGAGGAGGACTCCAGGCGCAAACAAGCCTTTTTCACACGCGCCACAAGATCGTCAGATCCGTAAAGCGATGATGCTCTCACCACAGTCATGCTATCGTGATTTTTAATTGTCCACAACGCAGCGTTGATTAAAGTGTTCTTTCCGCTGCCTTCGGGCCCACGAATCATGATCGGGTGACCCTCTTCTATCCATGGCAAAGTGGCTGCCAAAGCTCTTCTGATGAGATCTACGTGAAATATCGTGAATGAGATCTCTTTATACTTTGTCTTCATTTATATAACATCGAAAATTCCCATCACACCTGAAATCGAGACAGGTCCGTAATCACTGTCGATAGATTCATACTTATCGTTGAAGGGCTCCAGTCGGTCAGTTTCATGATCGTACAAGACGGCGCTGGGTTTTTGTGGGTCAGGACACCTGAAACAATTAAATCATCGAATGAATTAAAAGCTTCAACGTAACATTAAATTAAATCTATATTAATATTGTGAAATCTTTTCAAAAAGATTACGTTCGATTTCTCGATTAAGATAAAGTCAATCGAAGATAAAGTTGATTTAGAAGTTTTGGAATCACTGTAATTTGTAAATTTCCGTGATTAAAATTAAATATATAAAAGTTTTTATTGTCGTTATTTAATAATCCCAGTAAACTTGGGGTTATTAAATAACGACACCGTTTTTCAAACACTTACCAACTATCGGTCGATCCATAGATGGACTTCGCCAGATTGTTCCTGGATTCTTGATCTTTCACTTGGCCGCATAATGAGAGCAGAAGAGCCTGGGTGGTTTGCGTGAACGTCTGAGCCTTACTCAGATGACACAACGCGGCATCCATCAGACCAGACGCAGACGACTCATCGACATTGATCTTGAGAGTTTCATCGATGCATGAGCATAAATGGGCGCTCGCAACTTCCGCAGCCGTCGAAGAGAGTAGTTCTATTCGCCGTGGCGTCAACAAGAACGTCGCTCTCGTTGATCCAAGATGCAGAACGCCCAACCGCGAGACAGTAGCCGGGCTGGCACCGGCTAGCTTGTGAGTCTCGAAAATAAACCTGTTTTACAAACACGCATATAATAAACGCAGATGATCGAGCGGTTGAACGCTGCGATTATGAGATTCAAATTCCAAAGTACCAAACTCTAACATGCATTTAGCTGCGTATAACAAATGTTACGCACTTTGTGAAATAAATCTTGATCACGTATCTTGATAAAAATGATTGAATGAGTCAATGATACTCTTAACAGTAGTAAGATCGATCGTACGTTATATCGCTGTTATGCATTACGGATGTTGTCGGAGAAATATTTGATTGATTAATTAATTGAATTATTATAATATATATTTGAAGAGCTATCTACCTTGTGCCGCTACCAAGTCGAACTCCTATTCCGTTTGGCAACGTCAGTAATCGATTATCATCCAGAGCAGAGTTCAAAGCCTCCGCCCATTCAGGTTCAACGTCTCCGTTGAAAACGATCCAGGTCGTGGTGTCTCCAGCCGACGTTATCGTGCTCGACAAAACACCTTCCTTCCATTCTCTATCCACGCGTGAACGTACATATAATTATAATTAATTTGAATAAATTCTATATAAAAGAGAGAAAGTGATTACGTCTCGACATTTACCTCGTCCGCGGATTCACGTGACCCAATAACGTGCTCTTCGGTACCGCACCTGGATAAACGATAATCTGCTGCACGGGTTCTCCGACTTTCGCCATCGCCTCGGCTAAGCACGACCTGATCGACGTTTTCCCGCTGCCGGGCGGGCCGACTATAGCAACGCCGGTTCTGCTTCTCAACAGGTCGTTCAATTGAACGCACCTGTTGGCGATCTCTTTCGTCAAGGCTCGAGCCTCGCAGATCTTCGACAAAGCGTTGACCAAGTCCTCGCTCTCGGTGGAGACGGATAATGAAGGATTAACGTTCGGGAAGAGATCGCTCAGCAGTGACATGAACTTCATCGTGTCCGTCTCCGTCAGTTTCGGGAGCGTGGACGCCTTGATCGAGATGAGCAGCCTAGTGGATAATAAAACATCCATTTCGTCAAATCGAAACAGAACATTTTACGTTCTTCTTCTTTGTTACGTCTTCGAAAGATAGCACTCGCTGTCCAACATCGTCATGAATGTGAATAATCATTTCCGACTTACTTTCGCCTGATGACACGAATCTGTTGTTCAAATTGGGCTATCACGTCACAATTTTGTGAAAAACGATGTTAAAGAGATTAAGAACGACGATTTTCATGTCGTAGCACCGGAAGAAAATTTTTTAAAACTTCATTAATATCACGTAAAAGTATTGACTTTTAACTTTAAAATGTGTTTCGTTTCCGTTTCGACATAATTTGTTGTTTTCGAGATAGAGCAATTTGAAAATAGCTCTGCGTGATAGACAAATTTGGATGGCAGATTCAGCAGGTAAAAATAATTTAGAAATGACTACTCGCACTCTTGGTGCGAGGGAATTTCGTTGGACAGTGTAGTCTATCCTGAGGAGAGCAAACGTACCTGGTAGTCTCGTCGACGTCGGCGGCCGGGCGCAACGCGTCCAGCACGGACTTGAGCGACCTGAGCCCCCAATCGTAATGCGGCTGCTCGGAGAGCATAGTTTCGGCGATCTCGAGGGCCTCTACAAGCCGTTTGCCAAGAGTAGCAGCTTCTAAAAACCCGGCGCATTCCAGCAGAGTCCTGACGATGTCCGATTTGTCCGGACGCGCCATGTTAATCGGTCTGAACAGCCTCGCCAGGGAATCCGGCAGTTTGCGCCGGCCTCCGTACTCGCTCCCGGCTGGATTCATCGTGATGAAGATGCAGCAGTGAGGATCCAGCTTGATTCTCTGATCGCCCAGTAGGATGTCGGGCGAGCCGTTCTGTATCGCCTCTTGAAGAGGCCTCACCAACATAGCTACCGCGCTCAGGGTGTCCTCCTCGAGACGGTTGAATTCGTCGAAGCAACCCCAGGCACCAGCCTGCGCCAGTCCGCCTAAGATACGCTTCATACTGCCAGTATCCATTCCTACAGTGATTTAAATATTATAGATCTTTCAATATCAAGCACTGTGTTTGGATTGAATAGAACTGCTCGCAGAGTTGACTTTCAAGTCAAGAAATCTATTTTCGTCATTAAAAATTTAATTAATTCAATATATTTATCCGAAGACTTAAAACATTATAAACTAAGTGAAATTAAAGTATGACGCGGAAAAGTAAAAGACGAAACACTCTGCCTGCTCTGACACTTACGTCTGTTATTATCTTACACTTGTAATTAGCTTGTCACGCAAAATTAATTGTAACATCCTCGTATTAACTTGCTATCCTAGTGCTCGCTTAACGATCGGAAAATAACTTTCTCACCCTCATCACAGTTGAAGACGAGGACGAGTCTGCCTAAAACAGACGCTAACGCTTTGACGCTTTCGGTCTTCCCGGTTCCAGCGGGACCCGTTGGACTGCCGCCTAGGCCGAGTTTCATAGCTTGCGTAAGAGCCAAGAAACACCTTTCCGTCAAGGGAGTCCTCACCAAACCGATCGCTGCTCCTTGGTACTCGAATCGGTAAGGTAACTCCGCACCGGCGCATCGTACCACGTACGTACCTTGATTCTTGAAAACAGAACCACGTGTAAAATAATAAAAAATTATTCGTCGATTTTTTATTAATAATCGAAATAAATTTAAACGGTCTCTACGCAATAAACAGTTTTTAAATAATTTTATGTGAATAACGATCCATTGAAATGTGAAATTTTTATGTCACTTTAACATGGGAATATGTTAAAAAGTATAAAAGTACATGTTAAATTAACGCCTTGTTAAAGCAACGCAAAAACTTCTGTGGACTGTTCTTTACACAAGCATTTTTATTCTTATTACAGAATCAGAACTTACGGTCTTGTAACTCCTCAATTGCTTGTACCACATCCAACCGGCATTCTCGCCAGCTACCACGGTCTTCAGCAACGTTCTGGCTACTTGCAGGTGATGAACGGTGTCCAGAAGAAGGCCGCGCGCTTTCAGCGCGGTTAGTTTGTCACCGGCGTCTTCCAATCCTCTGTACCTTGCTCGTTGCGACTCCAAAAATTCCACAAGCTTCTGCAAGGCCGTACGACCCTCTTTCAAAGCTTGCTCGCAGCGTTCGGTGAATCGTATTCGCTCCGAGAGTAATAATACCTGCAAATTATTTGTATTACACATGAGGGTAAAAATAGATGTACAAAATTCGTCGGGTGAAGAAAACTGGTTAGTAAAATTTTTGATTCGACTTTTCGAATTAATTATTGTTGAAGTATCGTTTAAAGTCGTTCAACTTTTGGTAAAATGTAACAATATACATTACTTGGGTAGGATAAACAGACGGGTCAGGTGTGGAACTGCTTAGGCATTTCTCTAAACTGTGCCGGAGAGCCTTCTGCATGCCTTTCTCGAGGCTATTCAGCCATTGTGGTAAAGATTCCGTGAGGTCGACGACTTCCGGTAACTTCAACATTTCTCCCTCGGGCGACACAATCGCCGTCAACGTGTTGTTCTCCTTCACTACCGAACCCACGCCGTGATACAACTTCGGCAGATGAGTCTCTAAGCCTTTCCCGCTGGCCGATACCAATTCGAAAAGATCCTCGTCGCTGAGGAAGTACAATCTCGGATAAGCCGCTCGTTTCTCCTGCAATTTCGAAATCACGTCAGGGATATGTAACAACGAAAGGATTCTTCGCTGCTGTTTTGTTATGATTGTAACGCTTCGAACAGACTTTTCGATCGTTCAATCTTACCTCTAAAAATTCATCCAGACTTTTCTGGCATCTATCCAGCAGATCCTTCAAATTGATTAAAGCAGGCAGCGGGAGTCGCCTCAAGGATGGCACTCGAGGATCCCGCGATACGTCTCCTATGAGATGTCTAAAAATTCGTGAAGGTACGAATTAACGTTCGAATATAGTATGGAGAAAATCAACTAAGTTAAGTAAGCTTTTCGTTCTACAAATCGCGCGTTATTGCAAGTTACCTGAATTCCTTGTCAGCTCTGGACCATCGTCCGGAATCGTTAGGAGCCGCGCCACTTCCGTAGACCGGGTCCAGGTAGACCCACTTCCTCTGCACGGTGCTGAGCACCTTGATCCTCTCCTCGAGTTCCGTTAAAGCCGCCTCCCAGCGTGCGACTCGGGACGCGAACCTATCGTGTCCTGATGTACCTTTCGCTCCTTCCAGCAGGAGTCTCAGTTCCTCTGCGGCCGATTCGATCGTGTTGTTTTTTTTTAATCGAACAAATTTCATCTTCGTGTAAGAAAATGACGCGTCTCACTCGTCAAGTGACGATTCTTAAAAAATGGGAACGGCACGAATCGGTCGCACCTGTTTTCGCTAAGAGGCTGCCATAATCTCCGACGAGTTGGATTGTCATGTTCATGCTGTCGGTTGTCTCTTGCAACGGAAGCGCTGCGGTACCTTCCCAGATCTCCAGGTCCACCAACGCTTGCCGAATCCCTAATTCCGCGATCGCTCGTTTCGTTATTTCCTGAATGAACACGATGTCGCATTTGGCGTTTCGAAGAATTCACGATGCGTGAAAGGACGATTTTTGCTATCTCGGAAGTAATATGTTCTCTCTTACTTTCACACGGTCCTCGTTTTCCGCTAATGCCTTTGTGGCGCCGAACAAATGACCCAAAGTGATATCCCGTGGATTCTCGACTTTCAGACGGAGGATGGGTATTAGCTCGGTCCAATGCTCATCGGCGATCTCGTCTCCCCGAAGTAGCTGAATAGACTCGATTGCAGATCGAACCTCGTTTATTTTCCTGCCGGCGAAGGTGTCGGCTTCCGCGTTGTCTTGCAAGCGGATCTTGCTCTCCCACGAGTCAAGCCAATCGTGGAGTCTCGGTAACCTCCTCCTAGCCACGGCCCACTCCTCGATTTCCTGATTCTTCAGCTCCTCCAGAAACTCTGCTTGGAACCTGCGCACAATCGTATTTAATAGCAGAAACTGTACAGATTTACACATATAATTTATTTGGACATTTATCTGTTTAAACATTTATTACATTTTTAACGTTTGCTTTAAATAATTTACTTGAGCATTTAAATTATAGATGTCTGCCAGATATTTTATGCAGATGTTTAATTCGATAAGAGAGAATAATTATCTATTAATTATACGGAGACCTGTGATTCGACTCCTCGGCCTCCAATTCTCGCTCCAATTGCGACAGATTAATATCGTCATCCTCCAGGACGCTTTCGAGATCCAAATTTATTCGTTTGCAATCCGCTTTCAAAGAATCCATTTGCTCGTTTAGATTAACCCAACGTTCCTTCATTGATAGGAGCCAATCGAGCGACATATTTTCCGACCTCGTAGACCACTTGGTCTGCCATCTTTCCCTCTCGTCTCTCAACGCTATCGCCTTGTGACGGAGGTTCACTTTGGTGTCTTCTAATAGTCGCACCATAACGGCCTTGTGCTTTTCTAAACGATCACCCAGATCCTGCCAAGCGGCGTAAGCCGCGTTCACGCCTAGTAAAATAAAAGGATTTCATAGATGTTAGTTCAGCAACTAAATGAAGATATTAACTCTTACATCTTATCGATATCAATGTTTGTTTCTTAATGCTTGCATCGGAAGAAAGGATAAGATTATTATGTGAGAAGAAATAATTTAATACATTTAATTTAACTTTTAACTTTCAATTCGATAAATTTTAATTTTATTTAACATTACCGTCTAGCTTCTCGCTGGTCCACGCAGCCATAACTTTGGCGAGGACAGCAACAGCCTCCATCTCCTCAGCTACGCCCGCCGATTGTTGCTCGATGCGCGCGTGAGCTTCGTGAGCTAATCCGACCTCTTCCACATCACGTGGTCTACGTTCCAGCTCTTTGGACGCGAAGGACAGGAAATCCACTATGGCCACCAGACGCGAAGACGCTTCCGCCCTTAAATCGGAGCACAGACGTTCCCAGTAATGACGAGACGCCGTCTCCAAGTCGTTCCTCGTCGTCGCGGTGTCCACGCATATGCACAGGATCTTCACGTCGCTACCTCGCAATTTTCCAACCTACGTTGCAAAAATTCAACGTTTGGACAATTATTTCATAAGAGCGATACGAAGAAAAGAGATTGTAGAAAGTATTTTATATATATATATATATATATATATCGGAGAGCATTTCTATCGGTAAATAGCAACAAATTTCTCTTTGTTACTTTTTATCGCGCAGCTCACTTTCTAATTTACACTTGTCGTAGATTTGACATAATTTACCTCTTGAGCCCATTGCTTGGCCTCTTTGAAGGCTCTCGCCCATTCTTGAGGAGGTTTGCCTTTCAGTCTGGGAATTTAAACAAGCTTGCGATTAATTTGCAGCTTCGAAGGATCGAGTACGATACGTGAATACTTTTTAAATGTATATAATAAAGAGGCGCAATAGCTAGATCTGACTTACCGTTCTCCCACGTCGATATTGGCGGGCGTCGCTAAATTCAGCCACTTCATTCTGAAGAATTCGAGGGTGGACAGAGCGATTTCAATCTGCTTGTACACGCCGCTGAAGAGATACGCGTTCTTCTGCACCAGATCGCCGAAGTGCGCATCGCTTATGTCGCCGACGCCTCTGAAATTTATCGGGATGGAGAGCGATCGGCGAATAACGGAATATAACTTCGCGCGAATATCCTCGAGCGGCGGCCTCCATTGCAAGGACCCGTCGCGAAAAGTGAGCTCCACTCGGATCTCAGACAGCTTCCTCGACATGGACGGCAAAGCGCTCCTGAGCACAAAACGCACAAGTATGAAAGTATTTTATCCAAAATGTTCCGGTGAAAAAGATTCTTTCCAAAATAATTGTTATCAAAAGCAATTTGCAGTAATTAAAAATATTTAATAGTAACTGTGTCATCGCACCTGTACGCTACACCCAGCGCCTTAAGAAGTTGTCGATCCCAGTGCAGCTTCCAAGCCTTCGCGTTACCGTATTCCGAATCCACCGCGTCGACGATCGCCCTCATGCTCGCCAGCGTCTCCTTCCAGATGCTCTGATTCCCAACTAGGTGCACAGCATCGCCTTTCAACAGGTTCGACACGTAGTCCCGCAACGTGGAGTGCTTCGAGATCAGTTCCGAGTTTTGTCGGGCAAACTTCACCACCTAAACTTACAAAATTCGTAAGAATTAGCAGCGAGGAAATTGATGAAAATCTCCAAGTAATTCATTGTTTCTTTCTTCAAGTAAAAGATGATCCTTCTCGTGTGGAAATTGTCGCGGTTACTAAGGAAAATACGATATGCGAGTGTGAAATAGCCCGCCTCCCCTGTCCAGAAGCCCTCTTCTTCTGCGGTATCTTTTTTAACTTTAATTATTACCATTCGTTAGTGGTCGCTTTTTAACGCTTGGTAGTCCATCGTTAGCCGTGTATTTAATTATTCTTACCAACTCCTTCAAGCGAGTGGTGTACACGTCGACGAGATGAGGATCCGACCAAACGACACCCGATTGTTCCTGAACGGCTCGCGCTAATTCGAGGGCTATCGCCAACATGAGCGGTCTCTGAGAAGGCACCATTCGATCGCCGATCGTGTTGTGGAAGGTAGCGATCTGCTGAAGAGCTCTGGCTCGTCCGGCCAAAGTCGCAGCTCTGTCCACCAGCTCTCTGATCTCCCTCGGCAGCTCGACACCCTCGCCGGACAGGGCTCTGGCTTCTCTGATCATGGTCATCAGTCGAGGATCGTAGGTCACTCGCATCATGCTGGTGCCGGTAAGTTCAACCACCGGCGAATCAGTGCCCAGACTCAACTCCTTCCTGGCTATATCGTTCTTGGTGTTGTTCACCTGCACGAGTGAAAATGTTGTGCCAAAAATGAAGACCGATGGATCAATCGTTGCGCAGATAACTTGTTTAGATTATAAACTGATCTGACAGTATCTGAATTTTTACCAAGTCATCTTGTCTATTACTTTATGTTATGGATTCTTTTTCTTTATTTAAGATTATAGAAAGAGCAAACGTAATATCGTGTTGAAAATAAAAGTGGGTGGTTGAAAATTACCCATGACTCCACTAAGTCTCGTTTCTTCTCCTCGACGTCCTTCAACGCGCTGGATAACTGAGCCGCCACGTCTTCGTAGCCCGGCAGATCAGCGAGCAACTCTTTTCCTAATTTAGCCAGACTCTCTAATCGCACCTCCGAGGATCGAGCGGCTTGAACCTCTTGTAACACTCTAGGAGCGTCCAGGAGATTTTCCGTATCGGGGCCAGCCGAGCGACTCTCTGCAATTTCGAGGGAATATTTCATTAGACGATCGAGTCAAGCGAATCGAATTATATGATTCTCGTCCTCAATATCTACAGAGAATACGCGAAACTCATTGCGAAAATCGTCCGTATGCATTTTTCCACGTTTACGCGACGTAATGCTTGAAATAACGAATGTTGAGGACGTTTCGATGTTTGGGTGCTTTCTACCGATTAGATCGCGATATGCAGAAAGCAGCGATTCTCGTTCTCCACGTAAGGCCCTTTTAAGACCTTCCCTCTTCATCAGTTCGCTGTATCTCTCGAATTCGGTTACCAAGGAACTCGGGGTGTCAGCGTCGGCGATCTGAGTCTTGAGCTTCTGTGCGACGCGTTCCTCGGCCGGCACCAAGCCTTCCTCGATCTTCAGTCTCAGCCGGCCCCACTCGTCGTCACGTTCCTCATCGTCTAGCGCGACTGAATCGCAATCATAAACTCTCGTTATACGAAATAATGCGACTAATGCGAACTGATTAGGGATTCGTTGAGTTTCGATTCTGACTTTTGCCACTTGAAGAAAAATAATTTGCTGTCATAACGAATTTTATGCAACGAAATCTGTCAGTTACTATATGGACAATAAGACGATTTGTTAAGAATATTACTTATCACTCGCTGGATTATTTTGCCGTAAGAACAAATTAATAAATGTAAGAAGACACTACTTTGTTCCAACAGCAAATTTACATGTCTTAAGGACAAATTCACCCAGCAGACCTTTTTTATCCTAGTGACAAAACTATCCCCGTTCTAATTGCGAATAATCTCCGTGCAAAATTATTTTTTTCCTTGCACTTTGAATTCTCGAGGAACAACAGTGTTCGAACCACAGATTTGCCGATCACTCGTTAAGAAACCGACATAAAATCTGTCTAAGACAGATCAACAGATACCTTTCGTGTCATCGAAGGCTTGCAGCAGCTTCTCGATACCGAGGCCGGATCGCTCGCTCGACGTTAGGAGTCTGCTCAGTTGGCGATGCTGTGCGCGCAATCCAGAAATTTGCCTGAGGACCGCGAGTGCGTCTATTAATTATTCCCGAGCGGATTATCGTGCGCATCATCGCCTACCTGAGTCTTTTGCCAAGCTTCGAGCATCTTCCGGGTACGAAGATCGGTCCACGCCAAGGGTGAAGCGAATGATGCGGCCAGAAGAGCTCCGTCAACTTCTGCGTGGCGTTTATCCATTTGTCGCACACTGTCGCACCGAGCGCGATAGTCTCGTCCTTTGCACGAGCATCGGTTGTGTCGATCTGAAGAACAATATTCCATAAGTTGTTACACATATAAATCTCTCTCTCTCTCTCTTTTCTCTCTCTCTCTCTCTCTCTCTCTCTCTCTCTCTCTTTTGTATCTATCTTTGTACTTTGATGAACAGATACTACGCAGAGATGGTACAATACAACTGACGACAATCATAAACATCTAGAAAGAAAGCGCAAGAATTTCACGAAGGAATATGAAATATCTACATGATTGTAGATCAATAATAATAATAATAAAATAGAAGAAAAGATAGTATATCATGGCTCTCTATTAATATTTTGTACAATAACTTTAGCAACAATCAATATTTTAGATTGAGAACTGAACAATTATATTCGTCAGTGTTGTTCAGTCAATTCTAGATCCAAAGTTATGGAATATTTATTACTCAGGACGTTATTTAAAATATGGCGACATTGCATATTGGGTTGAAGAGAAATAGAGGTGGTAGTAATGTGACCCATAAAATAAAATAAATTTGAAAAACTAGTTTTATTTGAAATAATACACGTGTTTTGTTGCAAAATTATATATTCAAGTTACGTACTCAAAATAAATTCTTAGAGGAGAAATAACAGGGAATATAATTGTGAATTTTTAATGTAGATAATAATTTATTTGTCAGAAGATATAATCAGTCAAAAGGATAGAGTAGTGTGGTGCAAACAGAAGTACAACGGTAAACTATCGACTTATCGAACAACTACTTCGATAAGAAAACCTTGAGAAAAAGGTCATATTATCAGCGCTGTTTGGTGTCTATATTAGCATAATAGCTTGCTATGCTTTTGTTTAACTTTGCGCAACTCGAAACGTGTACAACCGAATGAAATATTAAATAATGAAAAAAACATTCAAATGTACATATATTTGTGTGATAATACACTCAAGCTCAATAAGAATGGAGAAGTATGTATAATCAAAATGTACTTTAAAAACGTCTAGAAATACTCAAAAGTAAAAATACGTTGTAACAAATGCCGGTTATTGTGTGTAAACATATTAAAGCCACTACGTAACGGCAGACTACTAAATAAATAATTCCATAAGTAATCGCTAGAATTCATCACGATAATAGTGGAGACTTTAAGAGAGGCCATAATATTTACAAAGCCCATAATATATTACCATACCATCTTCTCTAATAATAATATAGTTAAAAAAATAATAATTTCTTTCACTTTTTCCATAGATTTTTCCGATTTTTCTCTAAGAGTAGAAAAATTCGTTTAGAAAAATTCACGTGTGTTTAATTAAAACTTGTATAAAATAATAACATTACATATTATATACTTCATATTTGTTCATATTTATTCATAATATATTCAGTTGTAATTCTTTGAAGACAATTTGTTATTATTTAAATTCAGTTAAATGCAAGCAATTTTCTTCTTTACAGAAAGAAGTAAATGTGGCATATTTTAACCGAATCCACGCGAATTTTTCTAAACGAATTTATCACCCTTGGGAAAGAAACCAAAACAACCCACGGGAAAATCGAAAAAACTCGGGTTTTTTCGGGCCTTCGAAACCATAAATAATAATAATAAGAGAATAATATAACAATAACAATACACTTTATTAGACGCACAAGTTGTACACAGTGAGGATTAGGTATCTACTAAAATGTGAGCAAAAGTGACCAAAAGGCTCTTCAGCAACAGCTGACCAGGTACAAACAAGCAGAACGCAAGCTAAAAATATACTACTAAGCAGATCAATTTTCTCGTTAGAAACGTTCACGTGAGTTCACGTACCGCGTCGAGATAATTCTGCACCAGCTCGACCACTTCATTCCCGACTACATCGAGAAGCGACTTCATGCGTTCCTCGGTGTACGCCGGTCCTCCTAGCTTCCACAGATCGTCCACGAAGACGGAGATGGCCTCGCAGGCCTCTTCTACAGCGAACAGTCCATCTCTGTGCAAAAGGTAACAACGATATATCAGAAGAAGCGAGAGTGGTGAAAAAATTCTGGACGCCGGGCGAGGTGGGGAATAAAAGAGTTCACCTCGACACCGCGGCGCTCTCGAGTTCGAGCCGGATGTTCTTCACGGACTTAGCGGCTTCCTCGCAAACCGTCTTCTCGTGCGACCGTTTCACTTCGTCCTGCCTCCGCCGCCAAAATTCCTCCTCCTCGGCTACGGTGCTCGAGAATCCAGAGTTGAGCAGTTTCTCCTCCAGCTTCTTCAAGTATGACGTGCTCAGGCCGGACGAACGGAGAGTCGGCGCCCATACCTGTCGGAGACCCTCGATCAGCACCGAGCCGTCCCCGCAGCCGATCGAAGCCACCTGCACCACGTCGTGAAAGTTCTCCTCTGTGACCGCCGCCGCTGTCACCTGTGTGCGGCATTTTTTGCAACATCAGTCGATAGTAAGCGGCGGTAATTTGGCAGTTTGCACGGTGGCTTTCTAGAGTATATACTTTCTATCGTCGCGATCGTCGTCACGGAGGAGGCCTCCGTGACGAGGACTGCGGATCATCAAGATCATTAGAGATCAGCGTCAACGAAGAGAGACGTAGAGAGAAGCGTTTCTATACACGTCTAGGCGTCGTCGCAAACACGCGTCGGTTTCCCCTGTTCGTCTATCTTCGGTGCCGACGTATATTTTCCTTGGCGAAGGAAGATTGTATACCTTGAAGAAGACCAGCGTGTTCTTGCCAGGTGCCAGCTCCGTGCTCAGTTTCAAGCGCACTTGGTCTTGATCCGCATCGATCGGTCGGGCGCACAGTGTCCTGCATGACGACTGCTCCAAGAACCGGTCGAGGATCTCACGGTCCTCGACGTCCTCCTCGTCCTGTCGCACGGACGCGCTGAAGAAATGCCCCGCTGTGGAGACTATGAGGTACCTGCGTTTGTCGGCGACCACCATTTCGACGGTGACTCTCTTTTTTTCGACCCGTGTGTGATCGCATGGAGAGCGGCGCGAAGAGGTCCGCCAGGAGGTGCTGCTCGACCAGGTCGTCACGACGACCGGCGATCAACACACAACAGCTGTCGCTAACGCTGCATCGCTGCACGTGCGCGTGACGTTGCTCGCATCTGTCAGATTGCTTTCTAATCGTCGTATGATGAATTAGAAAAAGCCTGCGATTTGTTTAAATTTCTCTCACTCAATCACGGACGCGATAACATCCGACAATGCAAGAACGTTTCGAGCGCAGAGAAAAGGATTTCTTTGGACTTAATAATATTGCTTCAATTGAAACATCCAGACAACACAAATGTCCAAAATCGGGAGACATTTTTAAGTTGTCTTTAAGATATCGTAATATAAGATCTCTTTCATTTTTAAGAGACATCGCCCCGATTTTATATATTGTACTGTCTAGGAAATTTGTCTTTTCGAATAGAGCAAACAAACGAATTGATTTGATCCAATAAATAGGACTGTTCAGTTTCTCAAATAAATATTTTACGTCAAATAACATATTTCTTTTGTATATTCATCGAAACATTACAATAATTATCAACAAATTATTTGAAAGAAATAACGCTATATTAGAAAAATTAGAAAAACTTCTTTGTTTCAATAGGACAGTAATTTAATATATAATGAAATACATTTTTTTATGGAAAATGAAATATTAATTCCTTTATATAACATCGTTCTTTCCATCAAACAACATAGTTTACTCTGGTGAAACAACGATATTTTCACTCATGCAAAATGATATTTGATATTAAATTATATTGTTGATATTAAAAAAAAGAAGTCAAATAAACACAAATATATTAAATCCAAAGAAATCTTTTTCTCTGTGTGCTGACTCGACACGAAGCGGATTGAAGAAATGTTGATATTTATCAGCTAACTGATAAGAAAAGCTACGTATCTAGTAAATCTAAAAGAAGAAAAATATTTATACATCGTTTGTTAATTAGAGGGAATGAGTAATAAACGTCATCGTTGCGGGTATATTAATTTCAGTGAGATTCCTTGCTCGGTGCTGGGTTAAATAATTAATCGATATTTTTTCATAATAAAGACTTAGGCAAAACATTTATATTAGTGTATATTATTACGCTACCATTAAAGTCTCTGCTTATCATTGTTATTTATAGCCACAGATTAGGGACAGGATTTGTTTCAATGGCGCGCGATGCAAATGTGTTCCGTTTAAGCGGAGCAATACGTTATCGGGCAACCATGTGCTCCTCTAATCAGCTTTCGCCCACGACTTCAACGAAATTAGAAAGACCACACGTACGCTGAAACGGTGGTGTTCATATGAATAAATTACGCATGTGTGCGATCATTTCAAATGTTAATACGTTATTAAAGAACGTCACGAGCGGGAGCGACTTCGTTTCTTTCATACTCAAGGAAGCATTTAAATCACCAGAGGCAGAAAAAGCACACGAGAGGAACGAACTTTGACTTCTTCGAAAGAAGTAGTCGGAGATGCGTCCGAGATATCGATGATAAGTTATGTAAACCGTGTAGGATTTCCTTTAGTTTCTTTGGTTGCATTACGCGAATACCTCTTAGATTTATGGAGCGCGCATACTTGCGCCTTACGAGCGCTTATGTGTTCGGAACGCGCGGGTATGTTGCGATCGCTTGTACCAAGGCCGCAGTGTCGGATTGAGTCTCTCGCAGACCCTCAACCAGCGAATTTTCGGGGATTTTCCCTCCCCTACGTAGTTCCTGTTTAATATAATTTTCCTCATTTCGTCGTTATTTGTTGTTTTTCATGGTGAATTTTTCGTTTCTGCACCGTTCGGGAAATATTTCGCGTTACTCCTGAAAAAAGTCGCTTATTCAATTTTACTTTACTAAATAATCCGTTAAATTGCTTGATAATTTCCACACAATTGCACTCTGTTATTGCGGTAATACATAATGGTTACGAAAAGACGGCACGTTTCATTCACGATTCAGCTTTTTACCGTGAAATCTCAACCGGGAGGTTTTGGAGCGAGATCTTTCTGGAAATTTTTTGCAACGGATAGCAGGGACTGTGATCTTCGTGAAGAAATTTGATTGCAGTGATCTGGCAACACTGAGTCCGATATTACAAGGCCGACCGCGAACACGCCGATGTTTCCTCATCGGCCACCGACGCTACGATAATGATCGACGGATCCACAACCTAGATCGCCATATTCCTGCCGCTCAGTCGTGTCACGAACACGGTCGCGCGCTTGTGTGCTCGATTTGTTTTCGTAGCTGGATCGTACGTGGGAGTGGGAGGTGACATTTGGATCTTTCTCAATTTCCTTTTTTTTTTTCGACGTTATTTTCTCTTTAAGGCCAGCGGAGACTTTATGGCGTAGCAGTCAAGCAGTGCTCGCGGTGAGTTGAAGAAATATATTCGTGTGACAAGCTCTTCGTAAGAGACATATCCGTGGTGCAAAAGCGTCTTCTATCTCGTTCCGAGAACCATGGTGAATAATAATATTATAATGAAGTTAAAATTCTTTTACCAAGTCTGACGTATGCACGCAGAACAACTTTCAATCCCAATTTCATAATAGTATTGATGGTTTTCGGGTTGTAAACAATTGAAAATTAAGAAGCTTCTGTGAATGACATAACACTTGAGCGCGGATAGATAATACACAATCTCGTTCTTTAATTGATGCTTTTTACAAGGATTTCACACTGATAGAGTTTTTATAGAAATATATAATTTTAGAAACTTTTGATATCTAAAGTAAGGTACTTACTGTCGGAGAAATAGACGTCCAAATCAAATGTTATCAAAGGAAAAATAAAATTTAAATTGTTTCATCAAACTGCAATTAAGATAAGAGTGTGTGTATGCTTGGAGTTAGTATAGATTATAAAAGTGACTTGCGTTGATCCGCCCATTTTTCATTTGTCAGAAAATTGCTTTCTGTTTATTAAAACATGCAATTAGGATATATTGCTTAATTTAAAATGTACGTTTTTACTTGCAAAAATATCACAACTTCGTTGAGCATTGCAGAAGATAGAATTCCTCGAGAAAATGCAAATGTCTAAAAAGTATGTCACTTTGTGGCTTGCAGTGGCGAACAAGGTAATACGATACTAATCAGATATAATATACGTCATCATAACCAATACGTATCGGTAATTTAATATCACTATTGTGTGTCTATCTTCGTTTTATGTTTTTTTAATTTCTCCGACATTTCCTATAAAGACAATAAAATATTACCGATATGAAAAGAAATCGAGACGATAACAGAAAGAATGTACGATTTACAAATACGTCTAAAGAATAACAATGTTGTTAAAACAAATTTTTTATTTAATTTTAATTTACATTTTAATTGTATTCAAATGAGGAATATTATTAATGAAGAGTTATTTATATTTTTCGTGTAATTGAATATTGTTTATTTTCAACAAAAAATGTGATGAAACGCAGAAAACCGATTCTGTAAATAAGTGATAATTTATTTTTCTCCCGGAATGTTTTTTTAATTAATGAAATGGAAGCTTTTTCGTCAACCTCATACGTTAATAGATTCAGAAGCTTATATGATTTATTGTTCGACAGTCAGAAAAGCATTTCACGGGTCTCTCCTTTCTTAATTTCAATATTTGCGCAGCAGTCGGAATACAGGGACATTACAGGTGCATTCCGCGATTAGCGGCACGGACAGAGACAGAGCGGTATTTTTGCGTCGTTGTTGTTACCCACCGTGCGCTTCTTATCGGCGATTACTGAGTCGTTAACGAAATGCACCGTTCCGAGGACTCGGATGTTATTGCTTAACTAGTGCCATGATCTTTCGTAACTACTACCGATCGTTTAGCTCACCGCTTATTTTTGCCTAACTATAGCGTTAACTACAGGAGTGCAGCTTCTTCAGTTAATTCGATTTTTTTCATCTGTAATTGCAAATGTCTCAAAAATCGCGCGAACCGTCACAATGAAAAACACGCTGTAATATTAATATAATAATACAATCTCAATAGTAATAATAATAATAACGATAGTAATATTATTTTAAAATCGTATTACAACATATAAACTTGAATTACGACGAAGGTCATTCGATACTTTCATTAACTCCACAAAACACGTGTCTGTCATTGGAATTAGTTGCGCTATCTTCGCACGTACGATCGATAAAGAGATTCGTTATCACCTGCGAACGTTTATAACTGACAATTTTCCCTCTCCTGTGCGAGAGATGTCATTTATATACTTACATATATTTGCGTATAGATATAGAGATTAGTCGAGCAAATTAAAAGAGCATAAGAGTGGAAGATAAATGTATGCTGGAAACGTGAGAAATCGTGCCGCACAATTAAGGATGAATCACGCGTCATGCATCTGAAGCCACGCAGTAATTACGAGGAATTACATAAAAAGATACGTACGGCCTCCGTGGTGCTTCACGGGCGGTATTATGCTCACACTTTCCACACAAGCTAATACCTCTGATGATTTATTCGGCCGAGATTCGAACACCTCTCGTTTTGTAACGTTTAATTGAAATGTTTGCACTTGCCTGCTCATTCAATAGTCATTTTCACACGTTACTATTGCCATTTCCCTTCTTTCCCATGAGAGATTTCCCTATGCGATTTCTTGCGTTTTGACGCAATATTGTTTATGAACAGAATTCTTTCTTTTCTCAGGTGTCAAAGGGAATTTCTCGTTTTCTTCTCGACATGACTACCGAGGCAACAAGCAACAAAGGATCGCCGAGCGTCATAACGCTCGGCTTCTCGGTACTGACGCACTTCCTCCTCGTGGCTCCCGTGATATACATCTTGGTACTCGCTTTCAGCATCAACTTCAAATTCTTCTCATGGCATCCGATTTGCATGTCCGTCGGGGTAAGCGAAGAGTCGCACAGACGAAACAACCTATAGCTCTCTTTTTATAAAAATTTCCAATAATCGAACAAGAACGTCAGTCCGCATTACAGATAAATCGTGATCATTAAATTCACGCTTCTCTAACGATGTTTTTTTTTTTCCAAAACTGAAACCGGAACTGAAATATCAATCCAACGTTCGATAATATTCGCACAATTATTCTTATAATATTTCGTTCACTCTGTTTGCCGATAAAACAAGATACATTTCGGGTCTCTTAGCTGTTATGTGTCCTTTAGTTATCTCGTCTACCACGATATGATAATACGCCGTGTTTCTTCATCTCGTGGCAAAGGTCGGTCTTCTAATCACGGAAGCTGTCTTCAGCGTCTCCGGCGAGGCGTACCTCGCGTCGAAGTTACCCAGGCGTAACAGGGTGACGATACATTGGATCTTACACACGACAGGCCTGGCTATAATCGGGATCGGCCTGGTTATCATCATTGTCAACAAGATCAGGTTCAATGGACAGCATTTCGTAACGGCTCATTCGAAGCTGGGCCTAGCAACGATTATATTATCCGTCCTGGTCGCGTCCTTCGGAATTCTGGCGAACAACACCGCGTGGTTGTACCCGCGTGTGAGACCGATTCTCCTCAAGATAGCGCACGCTTTCGGCGGCACCGCGGTAACCATTCTTCTACTGGCCACCCTTATCAATGGGACTTACACTCATTGGTGGCCCGCAAACCATGTCACGGGAAGGAACCTGATCTTCGCCTCGTTGTTCATTGCGGGCTTCCTGATACTCGTGAAACCGGTCCTCGGAGCCGTATCGAGGTGCCGGGTTGTTTTTGGACCACCCTCGAGCGATACATAAGGTAGCACGCTGGCGCTTCTGATCAAGTCCGTCACGTCGAGATACGTACGAGAGTTACTCCGGAAATGAGGTACACACGCACGGAGAAAGATTTTTTACCGGCACAGTAAATTGCTTGTTACTATAGTGGTGGTGAAAAAATTTGATAAGAATATTAATTGCTAATTACGCCCACTAAATTTTATTGCCGTCGCAACGACCTTTTCCAATAGCAAACTTATTTTTTCCGCGTAACGAATCTTTTCGCCGCTGTAGTGTCTATTTGCTCACTATTGAGCGGACAAAAAAATTTTCATATATAATTATATACAATTATATAATTATATACAATTATATATTATATAATTATATAAGGCATTACGTATGAAATTTATCCATATATAAAGTATATAATTACATATAAAGTGGTGACACAGAGAATTATATATGATCATATATAAATATATATATATAATGAGTTATATATAATTATGTATAAACATATATATTTCAATATATAATTATATATAATCATATGTAATATTTAATGTATTAGACAAGTTTTTCTAATACTGAGACAATATCTCTTTCTAATCGGTGAATCTATTTGTACAGATTTACCTGAAACCTCGACAACCTCTCCAAATTTTCGTCGACTTTGTCGAATTTCCTCTTGGCGAGAGAGTACCTTATTTCCGACGTAATTCTCGTTGAATACCAAACGCAGCGGTGAAAAACCAAAGATCGATGTATTAACTCTGTTATCTGGACATTGTCCCACTTAGGGACGTTGTTTGTATTGGTCATAGAAAAAAAGAGACATACCGCTGTGTCTCTCAGAAATTAGTCACAGACAAAAGCAGAAAGATGCTTAGGCAGCATATTGTTAACCATGTATATCAACACTTTATTGATTACACACGCATCTCATATACATTTATTACACATTATAAATTTACATATATACGCGTACACACGGGTACGTACGTACGTTTTTGTTGAAGTGCCTCCAATATATATATATACATATATAATATATATTTTTTCATAATGCAATGTACATATACAACGTAACACAACGTATTTATTTGGTATTTTTATATATCTCGTACATTTCATCTTTATTTATAGACTCTTGTTTACACATGTTAACACGCAACCAACGTTTATCAACTGCCGTCGAACCGTTATTAATATCTTTCTCGCAGGCCCAGCCCTTTTTCATTTTTATTTACATGAGAACTACTTAAGATTACGCAACAATGTCAACACACGCATACATTCTCATAGATCTATTTAGAACATATACGTATATGTATACAATAGAATTATTCTTATTTTTGTCTCTCTCTCTCTCTCTCTCTCTCTCTATCTCTTTCTCTCTCGCTGCTGCGACTCTCCTAATTCTATGGTGTGTGTATGTTTGTGTGCATGTTGCGTATGTGTGTTTGTTCACTCAAGGCATTATTGTGTCTTGATTGTATGCCGTTCAGCATGTTAAATTGTTCTACATTAAAACATCAGTATGTCGGTTCTACAATAAAACTGCTTCTTATCTTGACGATATAATCGAGTTGAATTGCTAATATCCTATACGTATTTTCCCCGGGAAAAAGATTTATATATAATTTTATAAAATTATATATAATTATATACACATAATTAGATATGATTGTTATATAATTATATATGTTTACACAAAATATATAAAAATATTATTGAATGAAAAACGGAAAAAAAATAGTTTGATTCAATTAAATGTTTACATCGTGGGCAGCCATAAATATAAGTATTTACTATAATCATATTCGTATAACAATATTCTTTTTTAGATTTGGACGTATATAATTATATATGATTATTTATTTATAAACACACATATAGAGACGAAATTCATATATAATCATTTTTTCCCGGGTCGAGAGAACTTGTTTCGCCCTTTGCGGAATCCAACTCCTCGAATGACCTTTAGTAGAAGCTCCTTTTTTCTATTCTGTTGTTCTACTATAAAGAAAAGGAGCTTCTCTTAAAAGGAAGCTCCTGTTTCTTGTTACATCGTTACGTTACTAGGACACGTTACTTTGTACTGTTCGCTCTACTGGTTGTTCGTAGTGACGTCGGGACTGTAACACCACGCGATAATTGCAGTTAGCTTTTCATATTAAGTGCTTGACACAATTTTAACCAACACAACCGTTTGCAAGTCTATCACTTTTAATTGCGACATTAATTGGACGCAATACAGAAAGTTGCGCGTCGAATTTTTGCATCTAAGTTTAACCGCCTGTTCATCATTCTGTGCAAGAATCAAGAAGAATGAACGAGCTACTAATTTGAGAAATTACGAATTCTTCCAGTTAGCAGTCATCACCGTTAATAATCGTCGACCTCTAAATTGAGGTGATGGTTTTCGGAAAAAGTTTACTGCGGCTTACTCCTTCTTTAGAATGCACTTTTGTAAAGAATCGTGCGATGCTGATTAAACTCTTAGGTGCGGAGCAACAGAATTCTTCGTTGCTCGAGGTTGGTTAAAAGAAACGATTCCAAGCTCGAGCAAAATATGAGATCGCTATTGTTAAGCTGCTTCGTTACCGTCGTGCTGTTACCCGTTCGCGATACGTCACTGCTCTTAATTCTACTTATTGTTAGGACAGTCAACCATTTGACTTGGCCGGTACGTGAACCAGTGACTAACATTATATCAATTATCATTACTTTGTACGGCGAGCTATATACTTTTTATACAATCTTTGATGAGGCCGCGCCATACATTAGGTAACACTCGTGTAGTCTATGAACATTAAATTTACTGAACATTTAACCGGCATGATGGGAAATCGCCCGAGAAGAAAGCAATCGTAGCAATCTAACGGCACTTTCATGATGTGACGTGCTCGGCGTCAAGAACTCACATACATGCGGCTTACGGGTTTTCCTTCCTTCACTTTCCTTCCCGCTCTTCGTGATCACAATGTGAACACCTTCGCAACAGTTCGCAAGTTTCAATCAAATCGATTTTGATTTCCAGTTGTCAAAGTTACTTAAGTTTTACTTTCGCTTCGGCCGCTAAAATTTGTATACAAGAAGACCTTCTCGTAACTTTTCTTCTAATTATCTTCAACTTCAGTCGCCAACGAAGGTTTTTGATTTCTGATTCGTCTACTGTCAATTCACAGGCAACGTTAAACGTCTTGCGGTTCGCTCGGACTCAAATGAGGTAGGAATCTCGACGTGCCCGATATTTCTCTGTGTGAGAAGATGTCACACGGAGGAAATATTAACTAAGATTAGAAAACTAAGTCGAGCCATATACGGCGTGTCGTGTGGGTAAAAGGTTAAACAGTAAAGGCTATTCCTCCAAGCAAGACACACTTTGGATAATTGGTATATCGATATTCATACGTATATGCTGCAAACTCTTTCAAAACTAAGGCCACTCTCTTTGTTCGCGTATTCTCCGACTTACATATTTGGGGGATCGGAAGTTTCTTTTCCTTTCTTGAAAAAAGTGTCAAGGCATCGGTAGTTTTCGAATGGTAATTGCGATCGGTTGAGATAAAATTTTTCCCCTGGGTCTTATCACACGTAACGTTATTTCAGAAGTATTTCGCAACAAAAATTAAAGAATCGCGTTCTCTCCTGTTATTGACTATTACGTATACTCGTTCGTGAAAATATAAGCTGTTCACTTCCATAAATTTATTAATTACAAATGTACCTCTTGATTTTCTCCGTCTTACTCTCTTTCAATTGTTGTAATTTTTGACACATATTCAATGTATGTAATCGTCGGTGGAAGTATTTACATACTTCAAAAAGACACGTAACGCAGCGGTGGTATCTGAGATCATAGTCAATAGTTTCGGTATCTTTATATTTGCTCTTGATACATATATATATATATATGACACTTTATATATAATTATATTTAATTATATATAAATAGAAAATTTTTCCTGGATAATAAAAAAATAATGTGTACAAGAAATAAATTAATCTTATTCTAATACTTATTATATTTTGATCAGCAATAGTTACGTCGATTGTATGATCAATGCCACTCATCGTTTATCTTGTGATAACTGTTCATATTTATAACTTAATACTTGCGGATATTGATATACAAATATTAATAGATAAGCGATCAGATTAGTTCCATCGCTATGATCTCAGATCTCCATCACTACTTAGAACTCCAACGAAATATTTACTGCAAGAGATTGGTATACGTTGAATTTATTAATTTGGCGTTTTCGCTTTGCTCATTTCTTTATCGCTATAAATTCTTTTTTCCTATTTGCTAAATGTGTCTAGATATAAATCCACCTTCACGGGCAATAATCTATACAGACTTCTATCTTTTCTCACAGTAGCAAAAATAATTAACGATCTCGAAAAATAAATATTCGCCTATTGTGAAATAATTATTAATAGCCTATGTAATATTCCGAGAATACGGGTGAGATATCGTCGTTCCTAAGAAAATATAATACTGTTCGTATTGTTGCATGTGATTCTCTCTTCGATTCCTTTCAACTTCCAACGATTTTCAATAGATTAATTTGCAACATTCTTTGGCCATTAGAAATTTAATATTAACATCTGTGTGGGGTTAAGGTACACGCATTACTATCAATATCGAGCGGTTATTTGATCAATATGGAAGAACGCGGTGATATATTTATAAGGGAAAGTCTGAAAGTGTCCCTCACCGATTTTGATGAGTCTTGAATACATTGCAGAGAATCATAAATAAGAGGAACGTACTTTTTACATGTGATTTTCTCCTATCTTTCCTTATAAAAAGATACATGTATCTTATTTTTAGCTTCTTTACGATATATTCAAAGCTCATTAAAATTGCGGAGGGGCACTACCAATCCTTTTCTTATAAAAACCCTGCAATCTTAAATAGTACATTGTGAGAAAGGAAACAATGGATTTTTAAATATCGGTACTCTGCACACTTGATGGCAGGCTCATTTTTTCCACTTTTTCCTGAGCAACCGATGATAGGAACCAAATTCGAGAAAAATTATGTAAACGTCGACAGAACAATTCACGAGAATTTCACATGGAAAATTGAATCGAATGACGACAAAGTTGCTTCGCAGCTGTCGCGCTTGAAGATGCGCAATTGCCGACGTTACCCAGAAGAAATATTCGTTCATTCCGAAGATAGGCTCATCTTACATCGGGCGTTCTATCTCTGGCATGATTCCTCCGAGGATTCATCGTTGGACATAAAACGAACGTCGTGTCACACTTGCTGCGAGGTGATCAGGTCGGTCTTGCTGGAATTCTTGAGGATCGACGGCCCGGGGAGTTTCTGCGTGGTGGCGATGGCGTTGGGCGGCTGCACCATCATCGGTTGACCATTTACCAGGACGATCGAGTCGTAAGCAGTGCATCCTGCGAAACAACGAACGATATTGTAATCCATTGTTTAACACTTTTCCCTATTCGAAATAACGGAAAATTCGTTACCTGGCGAAGGTGTAGCCAGAGTCTTGGAAGGTGTCAAGGAATTTCCCGATGCCGGACCCCAATTGGATGTCGGTTGCAGCAGTATCTTCACACGATCCCACACATCCTTATTCTTCCCTTTGCCCTTTCCTTTATTCGTTCTTTGACAAGGCTCGCCGTTATCCAGCTCGTCATCGTCGTCGTCCTCATCGTCCTCGTCATCGTCGTAGGGTGATCGTTGGCGACGTTTCTTCAACTGATTCTATGTTTCAAATTCAAGGAATTCATCTCAATCGAATTTTCTTTTAAAGTATAGTCTCGAAAATCTCGAAATACATACAAAAACTATAAAGAATCCGTTGACAAAGGAAGCAATATTATTTTTAAGGATTTGACTTAATATCTCAACTTTTGCTCTACCTTCTATTATACATAAATAATATATTTACTAATTATTAGAGAATTTGTGGAATTTAAGAAAGCGTCATCACTTACTATAGCTAGCCCGACGATGACTAAAACGGGAAGCATACTAATGACCCAGCCCAACACGTCCGCCCATTTCGGATAGATGTAAGTCCCGTATCTAAGTGGCTCATATTCCACCCAGTTGAAACAGAGAATGAAGAACAGCGCAGCGGGTGTAATGACCTTCCACATCCATGTCCAGAAGAATCGCCAGAGACCGCCGTGGGGTCCGATCATCTGTTGGACGTCGTCCAGAAACCGATTCGCTCCGTACACCCACGCCACCAGAATGCATTCGCTTATGGCAATCAACAAAACCGACCAGTTGGCCGCGTACTTGTCCATCAGCTGCAGCCAGTACATGCCGGCCTGCAAAAAAAGAAAGAATGATCGTTACGATATTGGTACCAAAGAAAAAGTATCAATCGAATGATCAAATTTCTTCGAAGAGTTAAAATTTCAAGAGATTATATTAATCAGAGATAACAGTCAATCTTAAATAAACGTAAACGCTCTCTGAAGAGTATCGATGTGTATCAAGAATAAATATAAAGATGTCGATACTATTGACTATTTCAGATACTATCGCTGCGATACGTGTCTTTTTGAAGTGTGTAGAAACTTTCGCAGAATAGATTACGTATGTTGAATATCGTAATCGACGTATGAATGAATGATTTATGCGAAAATGATGTAAATTCAGTTTAGGAAAAAATTAATAATTCAGTTGCTATGCTTATAAATCCACGTGAACGGAAAAGAATGGAGCGCAGGAGAAAAATAAATGGACTCATTTATTGTCAAGAAAACAAAATAAGAGCATCGTAATATTTGAAAATAAGCTGTTTCCTTCTATTCTCGAGTGCGAGTTCTAAAAATTGAGCTGATTAAATTTCTCCGGTCTCTTTTGAGGAGACGCGACGGCGATTTGATCCGAAACTTACGTTGGTGGTGAAAATGATGCCACCGGCGTAGCCGACCATCGCAACTCCCAGAACGACCCAGATCTTGTAGCTTCTCAGTGCGGGGACGCCGTCGAGTATCGCCGTGGTGACCGTCTCCATGAGCGCAAATTGAGAATCGAGACCCAACGTGAGCAGCATGATGAAGAAGAGTAGCGACCAGACGGGCGCGAACGGCAGACGTGCCACGACCTGCCAATAGTCATTCTCAGATTACCCTTCGGAAATCCTGGAAGACTTTTATATTTACTTGAACTCCCACGCGAACTCTAGCGCGCGAAGTTGAACGTTGTCGCATTTATCGCGTGTATCTCGTCCAATTAAATTTTCTCAATATACGGATGCTACATCAAGCGTTCAGGGTAAGAATGGATCAATTTAATTTAGCCCTTTCCTTCATTTAACATAAATTTAATCTACGATTAAAAGTTAATTATGCAAAAAGGCATACACATATATATATACTTAGTTTTGTATAATTAACTTTTAACTTTAATAAATTAATTTCATATTAATATTTAATTAAGTTAATTTCCGTTCAGGCAATTTTTAATTTAACTAAGCAAATTTTACGAGCTAGTAAAATTAACTTTAACTTTTAACTTGGTCGAAAATCAAAATTAACTTATTCAAACCTGTTATTAGCTCTCTCTTATTTGATTTTTTTCCCATTCGTAATTTAATCTTATTTCATATCAATGAGAGATCAATGAATTAGATTCAATATTTGGAAGATACCAAAACTCAAGAAAGATCGAAAGATTCTAAGCTCTCTCAAGCTCCAAATGATAGTTAAGACTCACCTCCGGATAAACGATGAACGCCAAACCAGCGCCTTCATCCACCACCGATGCTACTGGCACGTCGAGCTCGTGAGCGAGGAATCCGATCACCGAGAAGATCACCAAGCCCGCGAAGAAGGACGTTCCGATGTTGCTAATTGCAACGATCAGAGAATCCTTGTAGCAATTGTTGGTGAACTTGTTGTACGAGCTCAATGTAATTAGACCTCCCCAGGCCGGGCTCAAGGCGAAGAAGATTTGCACCGCGGCGTCTCCCCACACTTTCGCGGACATTAGTCTCTTCCAGTCGGGAGTCAGATAGAAGAGTATTCCTTCACTCGCTCCGGGTAGTAAAATACCTCGGACGAAAAGTGCGACCTACGAGGAAGACGTTTTCGTTTCGTAAAAACGTGCTGAACTTTTCTACACCTTCGGTAAGAAGGGAAGAACTAATTGAAAATTCTTCTTTGAACGCTACGACGTCGCGTTAAACAAACGCAGTTCCTTGCAGATATATATTTTTGAACCACAACTAATTGTATTTGTCGAAGCAGAAATCAGTGTCGTAACGGTCAGTTATCGTTAAACTCGATTGAATATTAATTGTCTGTAACACACCAGAACGACGTATGGGAAGAGAGCGGTGAAATACACGACTTTGCCCGAACTCTTGACACCCTTGCTCAAACAGAGGAAAACGATTGTCCATGCAAGAAAGAGGAACGTTGCCATGGACGGTCGAATCGATCCGGTTTCTTCGATTCCGCTGCTGATCCTCAAGACATAATTACTGAACAAGCAGAGAAATATTCTCCATATGTCTTCTGTCCCTTCAAATTAGCGTCCTTAACAGCTAACAGTGATGTGATTAATACTTTCGCAAAACATAGACGCTCTTGATATTTCAAATCGTAATTAAATTACGACTAATCATTCGTAAATAATGAAACGCGGTTGAATTAATGAACGGGCGATTCTCGCGACGACGTGTCAAATGACTGGACTGGCAGAAATTCGTTGAGAAAATAAGAGATATAATTTATATGCATTTATATAGCGTTACTTGAAATATTCTTCGGCTGGCGGCCTCCTGATAATGCTGGCCACGTCCTCAATAGTCAGACCCATTGCGGTCATTTGCGTCGAATTGAGGCATCCTCCTTTGAAGTAAGAAACGTTTTTAGAGGCACAAACCTCGGCAGCGTCTGGCTTAAAGCAATCCTCGGTGCTCCACTCCTTCTCGCATTTGCTCCAGGGCAGCTCCCAACCACCTGTACCAGCTAGAATTTTAATAAGCTTCCCGCGAAAGGCAGAGTCGGTCGTCTTCAGCGAGCCTTCGCTGTCTGACCATGCCACACTTTTGTATTTATAGCTTTTCGCATGCGATAGATAAAAAAGTTCCGCAAATTGCAGATGACAGATTCTTTAGAACATTCCAACATAAAAAATAGAAAAATATCCGGGCATCAATAGTTTTCAAAATACGAGCGATCGAAAAAATAGGTCCGTTCGCAAACTAAACTTCGAACGACCGAATAAATAACAAAATTCTCTTCTCCGATCAATTTCAAGTGCTTTACTTTTACAGAAGTTTACTTTAGGCTTTAGTTACAAAGATATATTATGTTGAAAATTAAAAAGTCGCTATGAATAAAGATCTTCCACGACATTTTCGTACTTGAACTTTGAACTTAAACTTTCGTCTTAGAATGTCCCAAAGAATCTGTAATATTAAGGATATACGTTGATTCTGGGGCATTCTGTATAGAGTGAGGCAATAACTGTAACCACCTTGAGAAGATCTTTAAAAAATAAAAATATATTTTATTGACGACTAGATAAAGATGAAGAAAGTTTACATTTACAGAAGATGTTCGAAGTGATGATCATCGGTATCGTTTTAATTTTTGTTAGATAAATTTTTCGTCTATTCTCATATTTCGAAGATATTCAAGGTGGTAACAATTGTAGCCCCACCTTGTATTGTCACGAGTATTATCACTGATATTATTTACCAAAGACCGACGCGTATATGTAATACAACGTCCATGCGATGATTAAATTATAATAGAGCATAACAACGGAGCTAACGAGGACCATCCCGTAGCCTAAGCCACAGAGCAAAGGGCAGAAACGTTTATAAGCCGCGACCGGTCCAAGACTGGCGTATTGACCTGTAAAATAAAGAGACGTCCTAATTGCGAACGGTCCGGCTCTCACGAGCGACGCTCAATATCGGACTCGTTCCGCTAATGCCGCTAATGCCGCTAATTACCTAAGGAAAGTTCCATGAACATGAGCGGCAATCCGGCAATGATGAGCATCACGGTGAATGGTATCAGGAAAGCTCCGCCGCCGTTGGAATAGCAAAGATACGGAAATCTCCAGACATTCCCGAGGCCTACACTGTACCCCAGAAGGGACAACAGAAAATCGAATTTCCCCGTCCACGTCCCGCGTTCCGGATGGTCGTCCTCGCCATCCTGTAACGGCGCTTGACTATTCGCCACTGAGTATTTGTCCTCGTTCTATCCACAAATAAACACCGATGTCTTTCTCGTTTTCTTGGTGTCGCAGTTCTATTTAAGGAGATTGTAAGGCGAAACGAATTTAATAAAAATTCCACGAAACTTGCATTATATATGCACTGAAATTTTATGTATTATTAAATATCATATAACTGCTCGTGCAATTGAAAGAAGATTGACCATTCGAGATGTTTGCTAAAATATTTGCAATTAAAAAGTTGACACTTTTTATAGCGTGCTAGTTTTAATTTGTATTTTTAATGTCTTTAAATTAAAAATAATATTGATTACTGATATATACATTATACACAAATTTCAGAATTATTGATCATTTTGTTTTGAAAATACAACGATGTAAAGTTCATAATTTATATAAATACTATCCGTGTCACCATTTCATATAATTATATATAGTTACATATCTAATTATATATAATTATATACGAAAAATTTTTTTAACGGATGACCCCCCTTAATGTGCCATTGGAAATGCAATACTGAGCCTTAAAATCTCCTTAAACAATTTTATAACGCGACGATACAAGATTGGACAAATATTCATCGACATGGCCGCTGCGTTTTTCAACGCAGGATAATTTTCTTTTTGAAAACACGTGTATATTAACGCGACAGACATTTTCGGATTGTACGCAATTACACGATAGATAACCAAGTCGGTTTTCCGGCAATGAGCGTCTCGGGAAACGTCACAGGCAAATCTCTACTCTGCGCGCCTATTCTGTAACTTTCTAACGGTAATATCATTTCCGTTACGCGTCGTTACGTACATATAACGTATCGCGTAATAGCCGTGCAGCGACGCGTAACGATAGCGATATTGTCATTAAGAGTTATAGAATAGGCGCACTTTGGCATTGTGTGAAACGTAACACGACTGAATTATAATTTATCCCTCCAGAATAGCGCGCCAGTCGAGTTGACTTTTCGGAATGTTTGTGACACGTTTGTAAAAGCAGAAGCGTCAGTTTCATTTGTATAATTGCGTCCAAACACTGTCAAGTGCGCGTAAGATTGATTATATGGGTCTGACGAAAATTTTTTCACCCAATGCATTACACACACATAACACACGAAGCCGGAAATCAATTAGGTTTCGCTTACATCCCAGTCCAGATAAGGACGAATTCTCGAAGACGGCTCTTCCATTCTCTACACCGATATGGTTTCCCGTCGCAGTATCAGTCGCTTCGTCGTCTTCTCATGGCTACCGAATCGGATCCATTGGAGTCCAAGATTAATTACTAATTCCGGCTTGGTGAAAGAACTCTCTACGCGCTTGCCCCTTCGAGATTTTCCTGTGTACAAACTCTCTCATTGTACACCGTTACGTCAATACGGTCGTTTATTAATTACGCGTTTATTTAAAGTCGAGGACCATCACGTTTAATCCTTCATTCAATCTTTCAAGAAATCGAATTGCCTCAGTTTTTTTTCGCTAAATCAAGCATATTTCTTTAAATTGAAACCTCTCGTAATTTCCTTTTTTTTTTTAATTCTGTAACAAACGTAGAATTAAAAATTGCACCAAAGAAATTTAAATTTTAAATTTAAATCTTAAATTTAAATGAAATTAATTCAGAATAAATGTTAATTTCTTTTGATTGTACAAAAATCGCAAAAAATGGATCTCCGAGAGAGTTGAGCTTGCGAAGAAGAAAATCACGATGCTCTTCGTAAGATTAAAGAAATCGCATCCCCGTCAGATGTAATTACTCTCCCCGATCGAAAAACTCACGAGAGAAACAGAAAAGTTATCTAATCGACCGGAGCTCTCTGTACACATCGTCTTCCGCGCTTTCTTTGTGAACGTAACACTTGAATCTCGACGTATCGCCGTCTTTGCAATCGAAATCCACCGTACGTCGCTAAATAACAATAACTCAAGCCCTAATTATTATTATCGTGTTAGCGCTACATGCACGCTCACGCTATTATGTAATTATTTTTATGCCGTGATTCGCTCTTTTTACTTAATCTTTCCGCGATCGAACTAGAATAGATATGTCAAAATAATACATCGATTTTTTTCTCTTTTCGCATCACTCTTCAGAAAAATGAAGAGAATCTTCTGCAAAGGTTTCTCCTAGTGCGCAGAATCAATGTAAAGAAAGATTTGCAATTTATAATTCTATTTCTCAATTTGACTGTGAAATTCAGTTTTCATAACATTCGGGACAAATTCCTGAGAAAACATTAACAGATCGTCGGGCCATGACTCCGTGATATCCGATCCGGGACACAACTTACCGCCTCTCAGCGTCGTCCTTACCGCTTGAAATCACTCGCGTTCTCATACAGCCGCCTCAACGTGCCGCGGGAACGTAGTCACCGGCGAATCAGCTGACAACGGACACCGTCGACCTACCTAATCAACCTTGACAGAGAGGAACTCGCCAAGGTCAGGCTCGCACTATCACTAGATTTCAAGGTCGCTCTCGGCAGGACCGCCGCGATCGCGAGCAGGCAATGAGTGGGGTGGCGATCGAAAAGGTGAGTGGCGGGTGAGAGATGAGAAGTGAAGCAAGAAGAAAGGAGAGATCAAAGAAAAAGAGAGAGGAAAAGAGAGAGAGAGAGAGAGAGAGAGGAAGAGAAAAAAGAGAGAGGCCAACGAACAGAAGCAGACAGGTGTGGAAGACCGATCGGGCAGAGCGATCCGTGCCCGGGCAACTGGCTGACCTATCCGGCAGTCTGCTTTACGGGAGAGCTTTTCTACTTGTGGCCCTCTCCTGCCTCTCCGTGCAAGCTCGACCCTGTCACACTCTCCTCTCCCGTTTCCCGTTCTCACTCTCTCTCCTGTTTTCTCATTCTCTCGCCCCCGCGCCCACACCGACCTGTCGAGCCTCGAACTCCGCTCCGGATCGATCGATATTACTGCTCCTGCGAGCTGTGTTCTGGCCTAAACCTTGCACCCTCTCACCCTCTCTCTCGGTGCCACCTCGTATCAACCATTTACTCCGGCCGTTCCATTGGCCAGGTTTACCCTCCACTAAAGAGAGGTGTGCATGTGTGTGCGTGTGTCCTTGTGTGCACGTGTACATGAACGCTTGCGAAAGGAGTTATAACACGGGGGGTTCAGAGGTGATAGCAAAATCGGCTCATCTGATATCGCTTTTGACATCGTGTTCCTTTCTCGCGTCACTTTCTCGTTATTAGTACGCAGAGAAAAATATTAATCATTCCGCAAGAAAAAGCTGTTTATTTCTCTTCTTTTAAAAATCATATTTATCTTGAATATTTTTGATAATGGTATTGAAATATATTCATCACAAATATTAGAAAAGGTATCATTATCATTCGCTCAAAAGAAGAATTTGTCCACACTTTTCAAGAACATTATAAACTTTATCGAAGAAAGATTAAATTCGACTAATTTGAACAAGCAAACCGAAGTTTTGGTGTTTTAATTTAATATTCTTGACGGAAGTATTCAACTTACTAAGATTCAGAATATATTTTGAATCAATCTGATGCTTATGATGAACTTATGATATATCCGCGGATATGTAAACTTATGGAAAATTCTGAAATACTTGAAATAAGTAATACTCATTTTAATGCAGTATGTATACATGCATAGATAGCTCGTGGATACTGCTTTTCGACCGAGACTCGAGCGGTGAAAATTTTTGAGAGAAGGACTACAAATCTCCTGTTAGTTGGAAGTTATAATTCCTCCTTCGCAAATCAGCCATCGATATAATCCCACACGGGACACTTTATCTGGGGAACATCCTGGGAATATCCTTAGGACGTAAGGCAACCCTTGGAGGACTTTGCTATATGGTACATGAGAGGAAGAAACGATTAATTTTAGAATTGAAGCTACATCATGAAATCACGATTGTTTGCGGAGAGCTTATATGAAGCCTGCCCTTAACGAGTTCGTTAATTAAATACAGGGTTCGGAAAACTCGATTTCGCCCACGTGAAAAATTAATCCGCTAATTATCCCCGCATCTCATCTCCGCAAGATACCATTAGGAAGTTCAATCAAATTTCGGAGATGCGTCGTCTTCCCCTCTGCCGAGAGTACAAAACCGTTTTATACGAAGATGAGCTTGTTACTTACTTTCCGAGTATCACCCAGACGTCATTAATCATTAACAAAACATCCCGTCGAGTCATTCTTCATCATCCTTCATATGCTTCATTCAAATTGCAACCGGAACAATTCTATTGTCGCTCTTAGGAGATACAGACAATAAAGGGTAACACGAATCCGTATTGTAACGTCGGACATACGTAACGTTAATTAATCGAATAATTGTAAGTTGTTTGTCTGCATAAACAATGCGTAGCTCCGGAATACCAAACGCGCCATTTCACATCGCGGCGCGTCGTTACATCGAACGTTGTGTAACTTTGCAGCAGTTTACGTGGACGTCGTCGATATGCGTACTTGCATTGATTTCCGGCGGAGTATTAATTGTCACCGCCGTCAATAGGGACTATTGTTCGCGCGTGCGATGCACGATCACATCCTTCTCATTTACAAATTGATACTCTCTCTCTCTCTCTCTCTCTCTTTTTCTCTCGTCATGATCCATCTCTCGTACGTATACGCTTCCCTGATTTCCATCAAACACGTTTCGTCCTTCAGGACGCTGCGACGATCGACAATCCACTGTGTGTACACAGTCGATAGTTTTACGCTGGGAGAGAAGAGAAGAGCTGCTCAGATAAACAAAACAGACAGTTGCTCTCGTTGAAGTATCGAGGTAACAAGATAGATTGAAAACGGTAGGTAAAACAAACTCTTTAATTGATTCAACGACGAAGCGGTAGCATTGAGAATTGAAGATTGATTGTTACGTCAGCGCGTAATTTATTCGGTCATTAATGTCGTAATTGTCTGAACGAGGGTGACGCAGTATTTTTTCTCTCTGATGTATTATTTCCTTTTTTTTCCTTTTATGAAAGCTTGAAACTCATCGGTAAAGATTAAAGGTCTCCACGGATGAATGCGACCGCAATAAAAGTAGGTATCGATTAAATATGTAAAAAGGAGAAAAAAAGGAGACAATGAAAGTATTCGTGCGAATCGAATTTGAATCGTAGTTGTATCCCCAAGCAGCACGTTGGAGGAACGTTCGCTTTACGTTCACTTGGTTTGGTTATATTCAAACATTCACAAATTATTATATTATTAATATATTAATATCTTTTACCGATTAATATATTTTTTTAGTCATTTGTTATAAATAGATATAATCAAACTTCAAGATGTATATATTTTAAATAAGAAATGGAATTGTAACAGAGCAGAATAATTGTGATACTGCGACACTTTTGCTACATAAGATATATATTAGTTTCTAAAACGTATGTTTTTCGAACGTTCTGACTTTGTTTGAATATAATCAAACCAAGTGAACGTAAAGCGAATGTTCCTGCCGGCGTGTCTCGGTGCCGATTCGCGTCGGTCTTCGGCGGTGCTTTTGCGGATCGGACACCCTGTATATATTTCAACTTATAAAATATACATGTGGCCAACACGCTATGACCCAATACGCAATGATGTAATAACGACGTTAGTACGTCATTAGTACGTCACTCGGCGTTCTTAATATACGTCATCGCGTTTGCTGAATATATAAAGCCTCTAATAATTATCATATTCATAATACATGCAATAGGATTAAATTTATAATATAATATCGAACTTACTGTGTTAAATAATTTTAATTCGCGGCAGTGTGATTTTCTCTCCTTCTATTTCCTATGTTTCCCTGTTGTCTTGCGTAGCTCTTCCCCTCTTTCTCTCCCTGTCTGCCTATCCTCATCTCTTTCTCCGTCTTCTTCTTTACCAACAATTTTTTTTAACTTTATCAACAATTCGAGGAGACATCGTTCATTAACACACATTTTTGCTGCTGTTTTCAATATAGAACGTATCGTCAATAATTGATCTTGTATCGCGACGACGAAATTATCGGAATCTCCCGAAAAATTCGAGCTCTTTGTCGCGGACCAAAGTAGCCGGCGTTCAGTCCGTTGTTATTTCGTCACGCTCTTCGCGACTCGTCGGTTTCGCGTCTCCCCGTTCAAAACCCGCGCACACGGACACATATTTGTTCATTTCACAACGAACGCGGTGAGACGCGGGTAAAACGAGCGACCGAATGATCATTTTCGCCGATTGTTACGACCGAACCGCGAGAGACTTGTCATCCGCCATTGGCGCGAGGCGTGCGCGCACATCGATACATCGAGCGACCGGTCGATCAATCGATTCCACGCCCGATCACGATTAATCGAGAATCGAGTGCGCCGCTGCGATTACTCGAGGTCTGTCGTGGGTGCTGATCGCGAATTCTACGACGACGACGTCAGTAAGCAGAAAGAGCAAAAAAGACGACGGCGCTGTTTTTTTTCCCTATCTCGATACTCTCGCTCCGCTCGAGCCGACTTGTATAGATTCGCCAATCATCGATCTCCCTAACCTCCTAACGCACAACGGAGAGAATATAATTCTTCCCTCGCGCGGCGACGAGTCCGAGAATATATCACACGTCTCTCTCTCTCTCTCTCTCTGTCCGTCCTACTCGTTCCCTCCGTCGGTCCGGCTGGTTCCTACATTCTATTTCCTATGTTTCCCTGTTGCCTTCGGTAGCTCTTCCTCTCTTTCTCTCCCTGTCTGCCTATCCTCATCTCCGTCTCTTTCTCCATCTTCTTCTTTCCCCTCGTCGCTCTCTCTCTCTCTTTCGCTCTTACGACGTACAGAAGTGTACAGCGGTGCGGGGAAGCGAGAGTTCATTCGGACACGCGACGTTTAAAGGACGATTCGGCGTCACGGGGAAAATTCAAATAAATACGAAGCGACGGTGATTCGGAGTTAACGAGAATTTTCCGCGTGGACGACGGACGTGCGTTGGCCGGTGTGTGAACAGTTCGGTGGCAAATACACACACACACGCACACAGTGTGGTGCGCGACGCGAGGCTTCTCGATCACGATCATCCCGTGCAAGCGGACAAAATTCCGACGATTTACGGTCTATGAGCGCCGAGGGCCAGGGGGACCCTGGAGAAGACCACGCTTCCAGGTACGACGAGTGCATGTGACACCGCACGCGGTGATAAGGCAATCGTGTCCTCGCGCGTCGACGGTGAACTCCGCAAAGTCTCGAGCGCGCGGCCACGAACGCTCGGTTTTTACCCGTTGACCCTGGACTACCTGGATCGTCCGGTATCACTAACCGTCGTCTTCTGAACCGGGATCCTCCCGCTTGGAACTGATGACAGTTCTCCGGATGAAATCGCTCTTGAGAAACATGTAGGTGCTTGATGGTTAGGGTAATCCAGGAGTGAAGTGAGTCGCGCACGCCAAAGAGCAGCATCGCCGATGAGTATGCGGAAATCAACGTCGCCGTGCGATTGAAAATCGCGTTCGGGGGACGAGAAAATTGTGTAATCGCGCGAGGAGGAGCGGAGATCTCTCTCGTTTTCTGCCTTTTCGGCTCGATACATGCGTGTCTCTCTCTCCCTCTCTCTGTGTGTCTCTGTCTTCTCGTCATATAAGAGATTTGTTTACAGCGACGTAGTAGTACTCTACCTTCGTCGTGAGATCGCGAAATCGCGAGGATATCTATTATTAGCACTTTGTTTTGGTGCAACGACACTGTATCCGACTTGGCGAACCGAACGCGACGACGTGCGATCTTGACGACGACGACGACCACGACGAGGTCTTTTCGTCGCTCGGCGGTTTCCCGTGGCATGGAAAATGACACTCGAACATTCAAACGACTCTCGAGCTCCGCAGACGCTTTGTTTCCTAACCCGATGACATGTACGGTTTTGTCGTGACCTGGAATCCGGTGTGACTATTAATTTCTCTCGGTGGATAAAAATAAAGACGAATAACGAAATATTGCACGATCAGTCAGCATTAGAAGTCGTTTTGTACACACGAGTGTTTTCTTCTCGGGTTTATTTTTTTCATTCGAAGTGTTTTCCCGCACTCTCGTGTTTTCGCAATTTCTGCAAGTAAGAAGTAGTAATTGGCAGGCACGAGTACATACGTGTACATTCACCTTGTTGTCGTTCCCCACAGGGTAGGAGCAGAGAGCCCTTGCAGCGACATGAAGCGCGCGGCTGCAAAAAAGCTTATTGAACGGTACTTTTACCAGCTTACGGATGGATGCGGAAATCCTCACTGTGACAATCAAAATTGTGCCTCCAGTGGCAAGGTATGCGAATTTGTCTGTTCAGCTGTTGCAGTCACAGAAGCAACGTCCATACAGTTTCACTTCTGCATTTTATTCTGTCTCGCATCAGGTTAGTAATCTCACTCCAAATCAGGCAGCTGCCCAGGCGATTCAATTATTCTCACAAGAAGCGAGACTTTGCGATGGCACACAACCTAGCAAAGTTGCTCGGACTACTATAGAACCAGGACAAACATCCTTAGCTAAGAGTCTACCTGTAAAAAGCGTTAATCCTCCAAGCTCGGAAGAAGGTATTTTATAACTAGAATATACGAGGTATGAGAAATGTGTGAAAAATCGAGGAAAATAACACCGTAAAGAAATCCTCCTTCCACGATAATTCCCCCTTCGAAGTCGTTGAAAAATGTGTGTGAACATTTTTTATATCGTCAAAAACAAAGGAGATATTTAGATGTTTCCCTTATTCCGAGACACTCTGTATATATTATCGCTAGAGAAATTTGTATTGATGAAAAATGGCACTCACACGCAGACATATGAATAATCAACGCATTCTGATTTTTTTTTTTTAGGAAAACAAGAGCCATATCTTACGGAAGATAAACTTCTGGACATAATAGAAAGATGTAAAGCCGAAAGTTCGTATTCTCTATTAATTCGTACTCTGGGGGAAGTGTTTTCCTCCGCAAAGGCATTAAGTCTCAGCTTTCAAAAGACTGAGAAAAGCAATTCCCCTCTGGCGGCGCTTCTCGATCGAGCACCGGACACTTTGTTAAGGCCGCCTGCCGATCTCAATAAGGAGGCGGTACGATCTCTTCAGGGAGAGGATAAAGATGAGGATAGCAGCGATCCGTCACCTACAGTTCCTAATAATGACGATACCAGTGTCGATTTACCATCAGTTCGTAGAGCTTTCGAAGCACTTTGGTCCTTGCCTGGTATGAAAAACATACCATCTCGTTTTAGATAATGGCTCTCCATTATTAATATGTTCGCTGGTAAGCGCGAAATGCTTTTAATATCGGGGACAAATTTCTAATTAGAAAGAAAAATCAAGATTAGGTTTTTTTATTTTCTATGAACCATTTTCTTAACGGAAAAAATTTGTGTGCGAATGTTGCGCGTGAATATTTAGTTATAAACTTATACATATGCAAGATACACGTGCATACAAGCATATATTTAAACATATATATATACTTCTTTCTATTATTTGTGCATTTTTATTAGATCGATTATGCATAAATACAGTATTATGCAATAAGAAAAGTAAAAAATAATATTCTCGTGTCTGTAATATTGCATATATATATATATATTCTCGTGTCTGTAATATTGCATATATATATATATATATATATGCAATATTACAGACACGAGAATATTATTTTTATATATATATATATATTTACCTCCGCTTCGTTTCAAATTAACATTTATTATTTGTCAATGAAGTAAATGTATAGATAAAAAAATGTGGCTTGATAAATAGTAAATTTATGAGAGGATGCGCCACTGGAAATACGGTACTTAGCGTTAGAACCATCTTCTTAAGAGAATTTATCAAGAAAAGAGAGTTTATCAAGAAATAACATACGAGATTATAACCGCCAGCGAACACATGGGGATTGCGCCATCACGAATTGAATCGATATTAATTTATCAGATTTCATAATTCTCTGGAATGAACATTTCATAATTCTTTATCAGGTGAAGTATTCGAGTCAGCTCTGGTCAATGCGCTAGTCACTTTGGCAGACGACATAGAATTAGACTTGAGGGTATTCCGTATAGTGCGCTGGGAAAGTATGGATAGTCTATTAAATGTATTTCTCATTGTCTTTGAAATTCCGATGCTCGGGAATAGCGAATACTTGGAGCTGGCGCTTCATATGCTGTGCAAAGCTCTGAGCTGCTTACCGGTCGTGGCGCAGGCAAAGTTAGCGCACATATGGGCCAAGCATTGCAAATCGCGGCTCCCGAGTCTTCTGCAAGCGCTACAAGAACTCATAACCGTCAAGGTGCCATTCACGGTTATCTAGATATGACACTGACTTTATTATAATAACAAATTCTATCATAATAACGAACTGTATTGATTAATTCGTATTTGACTCACCTTGATTGTGGATCAAAAGGGATTCACCGTTGTCTCGTGTTGTAGGTGATTGGAGGATCCTTCACGCGCGACTATTGCGTCCAAGATGCGGACACCATTACCGCACCTACGAAAGTTATGAAGATTCTGTATTACGCGAGTATGTTAGCCGGTGAATTAGATGATCCCGAACTGATGTTAGGCGACGAGGCCGAGTCGGCTGGTAATGACAAGACTGCTTCGCGTTCGGCGATGTCGCAGGTCCCTCAAGTGAGTGATTACCATCGCGGTATTCGGCCGTGTTACTTCGTAGGTTGAAACCTTTCACTATGCGGTAAAACATTTTGTGTAAACAACGGTCCGTTGAAATGTTTTCAACATGGGAATATAGTTTTACCATTATTCACCTTGTTAAAGTAAAAGAAATTTCAGTGGACCGTTATTTACACGAAAAAAAAATGTTTACTCCGTATTGCGCAATTTTTCGCTTTTCTCATGCACACAGATTGAGACTATTTTTTATTTATTTAATAAAATTATAATTAGAGCAATTATAATCCTATTATTATAACTAGAGTTACTTCTGTGATTTTTAACCTTGTGTATTATGTGTGTAGTTGAAAATCGTGTAACTTTCTGTCTAGGAAATGATACGACACACCGATTACATCCGTCACATTAATTATCCGCGGCAAGTAAACATGTAAATGTGTTTCCAGGATCCACTAGCGACGGAATTAGGAATCACCGCGTTAGACGCACGCAAACCTTTCATACCGTTCACCGACTTCTACAATGAGCCGCTCAGCGATGCCATAGAAATGGACAAAGATTTTGCTTATTACAAGAGCGAGGAGCCAATGAAATTTAGTTTTATGAATTATGCTTTCATTCTCACGCCTGCCACGAAAACTCTCGGTCTCTATTACGACAATCGCATCAGGATGTACAGCGAACGACGCATGAGTTTCCTGCAGACTGTTGTCGGCCAACCCACCAATCCATATCTTAGATTAAAGGTTCGTCGAATCAAATGAAAATCAGATTGTTATGTTTAGAAGAGAGGGAGAGAGAGGGAAAAAGTGTGTGAATTTATGTAAATTTTATACGTGTAGGTCCGAAGAGACCATTTAATAGATGACGCGTTAGTGGAATTGGAAATGGTAGCTATGGAGAATCCGTCTGATCTGAAGAAGCAGCTTGTTGTCGAATTCGAGGGAGAACAAGGTGTCGACGAGGGCGGTGTATCCAAGGAATTCTTTCAATTGGTCGTGGAAGAGATTTTTAATCCTGATTACGGCATGTTCACTTCTCAGGTAAGAAGTATAAGTGACTTCTTTCCTACTTTTTTTTATTTTTGTGTTATTTCTTTTTTTCTTGTTTCCAATTTTTCTGCTTTCTCTAGCTGACGTAGCGTTGTCTCTTCTGATCCGTGAAACACAGGCATCTCTTTGTTCATTTCAGGAAGACACGCAAATGACGTGGTTCAATCCGACATCGTTCGAGAGCGACGCACAATTCACGCTGATAGGCATCGTCCTTGGCTTGGCGATCTACAATAATGTAATTTTGGACGTGCGCTTCCCGATGGTGGTTTACAGAAAATTGCTGGGCAGGAAAGGTGCTTTCGCGGATCTGGAAGATTGGAGTCCGACGTTGTACCGAACGATGCGCGAGTTAATGGAGTACACCGGGGACGACATGCCGGAAACGTTCATGCAAACCTTCCGGGTGGCTTACAGGTATGTGCTTCTCTGACGACCGATTCAACTCATACGCGAGTAATTGGTCATCGTCAGTTGTGTTGGTCTTCATTGTCGATCTCGTCGTCTTGCAGAGACGTTTTCGGATCGATATCGTTCCACGAGCTCAAGGAGAACGGCGACGAATTGTACGTCACGCAGGAGAACAAGAAGGAGTTCGCCGATCTCTACGCGGATTTCTTGCTCAACAAGTCGGTGGAGAGGCAATTCAACGCGTTTAGGCGTGGTTTCCAAATGGTCACGGACGAGAGTCCGCTCGCCTTGTTGTTCAGACCCGAGGAGATCGAACAGGTACACAATAGTCGACGTGTGATCGACGTTATCGTCATTTCGGATGAAACGTTAATCTGGATATGCGCTGAGTAAATGAATACAGAACGAACAGTGAATATACAAACTTTTGTTGTTGCGATTTGGAAGATGTGTACGAACAGAACGATTTGCTCACAAGGTGGTTTATCAAAGAAATACAATTTTATAAAAGGTCTATAAGTCCTTACGCAAGTAAACAATTGTGCAAAATTCTCAAACGTTGCGCTTCATTGAAGAAGGTCGTAATAAATGGCCGAAACGCTTGTTTCGCTTGCTTTTGTGAAAAGAATTTCGCAATTGTTTACTTGCGTGGGTTGTTCCTTTTGGAAAGTTTTATGGTCGTATATCAAGAACTTGAAATAATTTATCGTAAATATATCAAAGAAAGTTCGTGCGCGTTTAGACGTGAATCATGCACATATATTCATGTATTCACATTAAGGACTGTGCAATAAGACGTGAGCAGTATTGGTCAACTATCAGTCGATTATTCTTGAACCGTAAAAGTCTAATTAGTCAGTTAACTTACTATTTACTGCATACTTTACGGCTATCAGAGACAATCCTTCACACACTCGCTGTTCGTTTCTCGTCCGTTCGCTCGGTGTGCATCCACCTTTACACCGTTAACTAACACGTTGTTTGCAGCTTGTTTGCGGCAGCAAAATCTTCGACTTCGCCGAACTGGAAGCGGCTACAGAGTACGAAGGCGGTTACACTGTCGATAGCGAGGCCGTGCGTAACTTTTGGCGCGTGGCTCACTCCTTACCGCCCGAAAGTCAACGGAGACTTCTTCAGTTCACGACCGGCAGCGATCGTGTGCCGGTCGGCGGCCTCTCGAGACTGAAAATGGTCATCGCCAGACACGGTCCGGATTCTGACAGGTAACGCGTTCAGCACGCGGCCCAATCAATCTCCCGTTCTGTCACGTCGACGTTCCATTTTGCAGATTGCCGATAGCGCATACTTGCTTCAACGTTTTATTATTACCGGACTACAGCACGATAGAGAAGCTGCAGGATCGGCTGTTGAAGGCGATTAACTACTCGAAGGGTTTCGGCATGTTATGAACGTGTCGCCGTCGCTCCTCACTCTCTTCCTCAGTCTTTCGAATTCTATTCGAAGAACGCAGATAAGATAAGATTCGACTATTCTTGTCATTTTTATTGCAGCTACGCTAATCGGAAGTATTTATCGTAATAATCGGTAAACCGTGCCAGTGCGCTTGAAAAACCATGAGAAACATCGCTTTTGTGCTGAATCTGAATCGTCAAAAGGCTCCTCTCCTAACGGTTCTAAAAATTCCAACGAATCAAAGATCGAATCCCGAATCGAATGTACAAAAGACGTATTCTTAAAAAAAAAAAAAAAAAGGGAAAAAAAGGGAAAAAAGAGAGAGAAAAGAAGGAGAAGGGAAGAAACGGAAAGAACGCTTCGAAACTGTACCACCGCAAGAGAATCGCTTGTACCATACTATGTGTACTTTTTCTACTAAAAGTAAAAAGATAGCGGAGATCGATTTTCCTTTGCCATTCCGAGACGATTGAGAGAAGAAGTAGTGCGCAACAGATGTCACACGAGAGCTACGCGGAGGTACGCGGATGATTGTGAAGAAACACGGAGGCCAAAACGGAGAAAGGGGAAACCGGATTGTGGAGATAAGTACGCATCATCAGCAAGACGTGATCGACGTAAAGCGGGACGCGTTTCCCGGGGAACTCGACGGTCACGCGACTGTTGCATAATTTTTACCTTGAATGACGATTTCGTTCGCCATTATCTTCTCATTCCCAGCAGGTCGATTGAATTTTCTCGTCGTTATTTCGTATTACTTGTTACTCCCGAGAAATTTGCCGCTAGAGTTCGGACAGTCGATTAAATCCCGATTAAATCCCGATCGATACATACACGCATACACGCGCGAAATTCACACCGAAGAAGAAGTACTCCAGATGACAGTGAAACTTTTTAAGCCACGCTCGCAAAGCATTTGAGTATAGTTATCATCGCGTGACTTCTACCGTGCGAATCGCGATGTTTAAGTTGAGATACATCGTAAGGACAAGTTAAGATTGATGTATAAAAATTATTTGCTCCGAGTTTGTTGTGTCTGCGAACGTAATTTGATATACACGAAGTAAGGATTTGATTGTATAAAGTAGCAAATTTGCAGTACGTTACTAATGATACTTTGTTCAAGCCGCTTCTCGAATGCATTTGACGTTGTGAAGCCGAAGATAGCCCCCTTTGCGCGATATGTATTGAACATGATTTTATGAACACGGACTTTTTTTTTGTAAAATAAGGCGTGAGAGAGACACAATGGCGCTTTTGTATTTACTTTCCCCCTTCAATTTCTAACATTTTTTCCTCATGCATCATGTGTCCACGGTGATTATGTAGTACCGAATAGAAATTGAATTTGTATAAACATTTATAATAGGCAGTGCTGTCCAACGGCTGCCAAAATTCAGCCGTTTTATTGTTATTCACGTGACAATAAAGCTCTCAAAAAAAAAAAAGGACGAGTGTGCAGTGACACATTCTCGGTTCATTATTTGGGAAAATGTTAACGGTAGATAGAGGGATGAAGGTTTATTCTACCGGTATTCGCGATGCATGCGGAAAACGGAAAAATGGCCCGTCCGATTCGAATTGTACTACGAATATGCAAGCTTAGTGTTCGGGCTTACAATAGGTGTAATAAGCCTTAAGCTATAAGAAATCGACCTATCATCACGACCGATTGTTCTTCTCACATTCGACTGTGACTGGTCAATTTCTTTCTTCTAAAATATTTTTGCTGAAACGGGGTTGCCGCAGATCTGGAAAATCGGGAAAAATCATGGGAATTTAAAATGTCACGGGAAAGTCGGAGAAAAGTATGAAAGAATCTGGAATTTGGAACTTTACTTACAATTCCTTTAAATGCTCTTCATTGTATTCTTCTTTCCAATACACTTTTTTTTTTTCTGTTGACCTGAACTTGCATTCAGGATTATATTGTGTTAATAAACTTTTAAGTTAGTGTTGCTTCTAATAATATAAACAACCTTTCTTGCAATCCCCGCTTCTAAACGTTAAAGTTTAAGATTACAATATTGCTCGTGGAAAATTCTCCACTGTCTGGAAAACATGAAAAATCGGGAGATTTTAAAATTCATCTTTTTTATGGCGACCCTGTGAGAATACTATGAAATCGATGAAAAGTGTAATGAAAATGACTGAAAAATTACTGAATATATTTCAAAATGTATCATAATATTCCTTATGAAATTTAGCGTAATACCGTGAAATATAAGGTAAGTTAAATTATACTGTTGAAAAGTGAAAACTCCAAATGTTTTCAAATTTTTTTAATTTACACTTTCCACGAGTTCACGCTAGAGAAGAAGATTCACGATCTCTTGGGATTGAATCTTTTCCTTTAACATGAACCCATAAAAAGTGTAAATTTTCAAATTTGAAGACGTAATTTTTACGTTTCCGTCTTAGGGAAAACTTACATGATCGATACGCTGGACTAATCTGCCGTTGACTCGTTGACCACGACCTCTATTATCTTTTTTCCGTATTCACTGAACACTTATCGATAAGGGTGCTTTGAATATGTGTTCTCAGCCAATCAGATATTTCCTAGGTCACTTAAAGCTATCTTCACGAGTAAAAGAGAGTTCACAGGATACCAAGGGCCAAAGTCTCCGCTACGAGTCGCCACCGTCTATTTCGGTAAAAGGTGCCATATTTTCAATTAACCTCCCAACCTTCCAACTACAGTCCTCACGGATCTTTATATATTTCCGAGTAGTCCGACTCGACGGCCGAGAATCTGCTGAGCAATTCACTGGTGCTATTTGGTGATTCTGATTGGCTGTTACAACAAGAATTGCGTCTATGCGTTCGACTTGCAACTAATGTAGAATGATCTTTACAGGAAGTTTACGTACAGTGCAGCTTGTAAAGAAGCCAATGAGAACGTAGCAAATGCCACAGAAAAACTTATACGCATTATAAATGACGCAGAAAAGATCAAAATGTCAATGCAGAATCAGTGGAAGCTTCTGTCACAATTGAGGGATTATTTAAACAGAGTCAATTACGATAAAAACCAACAAATCAATTTCTCGAAAGATTGGTTAGACACTTTGCAAAAATTAACCTACTCGCAACTTGATACTATACGAAAACTATCGTCCGATTCTATTAAATCTATCGAACCGAATAAGAGCTCAGATACAAAGCGAAAGGATAACAATGATCCGGAAAATGCAAGAGTATCATTTCTATCTGATCAAGCGGAATCTTTTATTGATGGCTCCACAGCTGTGCAACCAAAGGTAAAAAAAATTGTTGTTTTGAAAATTTGGGAAAAAAATGGTTTTTTCGTCTATTTTTCCACGGACTTTTTCGGTTTCGAGTCTTCTTTACGGCAAAACGTAAATGTGGTAAGTGTTTTAATCGAATACACATGAATTTTTCTAAATGAGTTTTCTATCCTTGGGATAAAAACCGAATTAATCCATGGAAAATTTGGAGAAGAACGGTTGTTTCCGAGCTCTCAAGACTGTAAAAAAAAAGTTATTATTTTGAATTTAAGATCAATCTCAATATTTTTATGCTTGATCCGAAAGCTAATTTCTTTCAGCAGCAAATTCACGAACAAGACGCATCTACCAATAAAGTAGAATTGAGAGAAAACCTGACTGTGCCGCAAATTTTTTCCACATTATTTCTCAAGTTATCTGCCAAGAATAAACAAGATGTTGTCGTACCAAAATGGAAGATAAATATTCGCAGCAACATACCAAAACACAGCATCGTGTCTCGTACACGTCATGTATTAAACAGTATCCTGTCAGCTGAGTCGAATGCATCTAAATGGCGACGAATTGAAGACTTGCTATTGCACATTGATCAATATCCAGAAGCCAGACATTATGCGATCAAGGAGGGAGCAATCAGGATTTTGCTTCGAACTCGTCAGAAGACGAAGGACGAGCAAATTAAAGGTAAAAAATATAGGTTAAATATTACATAAAACAAAGTAGTTAACTGTAATTTTTATTTTTGCGTATTATTCTTATAGTATCCATCAGAGAAGCGCTTGCTGTAATGGGTTACGTTGATCCTCTGCCTAGTCGAGGTGTCAGAATCCTGTCGATCGATGGCGGTGGTATTCGTGGAGTATTAGTGATTGAGATGCTGAAGAAGCTGGAAGAACTTACAGGAAAGAAAACATACGAAATGTTCGACTATATATGTGGTGTGAGCACAGGTGCTATCCTTGCTGCTGTGTTAGGTAATTATACAGCATTGAAACACATTGTGGGTAACATGCGAGATAATATAGCATTAGATCGCGTTATCTTTTATGCTTGACACATGTGTATGTCTGCGCTAATTTTATATATCAACCACACGCAGTGCTACCGAAGGATGGTATTGAAGGTAAGCTTCCGGATGGATTTACAGCAACGTGTTGCATATAGTTTAATTACACCAACGAATTGAACACAAAGACTTTTTCCTTTATTGTGTGTCTTATATCGGTTTTCAATATCGCAGGGGGACACAAGAGAAAATCACTGGAGGAAGTTTCGGAATTGTATAAAGATTTAAGCACTAGAGTATTTACGCAGAGCGCTATAAAAGGTACGAGCAGCTTAGTCTGGAGCCACGCGTATTACGACACAGCGTTATGGGAACAATTATTGGTAGAACATTTGGGTGACAAAGTTCTTATCAAAACTACGCGTGATTCAAACGCACCGAAGGTGTGTAACTTTCAGCATATGACTGATTGGAAATGATATTCGCGATAGACAAGTGCAAATGTACGATTTGTAATATCGTCTTAAGCTTATATCATTTGAATAGAGAAGGCACTCAGCTTCTTATTTTTTTCTAGTTTTCAGCAATATCTGCTGTGGTAAATCACGAGCGTGTTATGGCTTACGTTTTTAGAAATTACACATTACCACACAGAGTGGAGAGTCAGTATATGGGATCTCATAAACATAAATTATGGGAAGCTGTAAGAGCGTCAGCTGCTGCACCGAGTTACTTTGAGGAATTCAAGTACGGTGAATGTCTTCATCAAGATGGCGGTGAGCTTTATGTAGAAAATTTTAATACAGTTTCATCAAAAGTTCTCGAAACTATTGTAAAAACTATCGCGATGTCACAGGTATTCTAGTGAACAATCCGTGTGCGGTAGCGATTCACGAAGCCAAACAATTGTGGCCGGATAATCCGATTCAATGTGTTGTGTCCTTCGGGACTGGTCGGACTCCGTATCGTATTTGCGAAAACGAATCGATACCTACGCAAGTGGCAATTTCGAGTTGGAGGGAGAAGTTTTATAAGATCTTAGATAGCGCCACCGATACGGAAGGTAAATATAAAAATTTTATTTTATTAAAATAAAAATCGTTGTAGAGTAGATCAAGGCCCGACGTTCTTGGGTAGCCATATCGGCGTCATAAACGAGAAATGATACACAGCAAGTTTCTTCCGTTGTATATAGCATTATTTTTTAATTAGTCTAAAAAACAGTAGTTTCGTAATCCTGAAACCTGTGAAATGTGCAGAAAACTAAGATATTTAGCCGATATATCCTAGTCCGGAATCTTACTTTAAAACGTATGCAAATTGACTAACCATGGTCATTTATTAGAAAAATAACCGATCATGGTTGGTCAATTTATTCATTGCTTACGTTTTAAAGCAAGATCGTGGACAAAGGAATACTGATTAGTTAGTCAACTTCCTTACTATTTAAGTCATACTGCTTACGCGATCCATATGTGAAGGCCTTCAGAGTTCTTCATTTCCATCCTGCAGATAAAAACGAAGGATTCTGACTGGTTCATTTCCTTATGCGTTATGCATTATGCAGAAGTGCTCCTCATTTTAAGAAGACAATAATTGACGTTAAAGTAGAACAGTTTAATACCGATTTTTCTTCTTTAGCTGTGCATACAATGCTGAATGATCTGCTGCCTGATCACGTCTACTTCAGGTTTAACCCTTATTTGACGGAAATGTTATCGATGGTGGAGATACGACCTGAGAAAATCGGTCAAATGGAGCAAGACGCGAGGATGTATATTCGTCGAAATGAAAATAAATTTCAACAGGCTGCCACAACTTTACTTGAGAAACGGCAGATTCGGCAAAAAATTGCCGATTGGATTACGTTGCAAAAACAGTTATCTGGTCTATAAAAAGCGAAATCCTAATGCATTAATGCGCATTCCATAACATGATATGTATAAATTACATGGAAATTTTTAGTACAACATTTTTATTTCAATGCTGCAGCCTAAAATATGGGTTTCTTTAGATTATGTTGTTTACTAGAAGAGTGCTTGCATAGATTTTATGGCTTTTCAAAATTTATTTATGTAATTCTTTGTTCGTAATATATTATTAAATAATTTATTTATTTATTATTGAGAGAAAAATATGAGATATATGTTTTATTTGTATTAATATTTAGATCCAAATGGAATCAACTGTAATTATTAGCAAAATTATTTAACTATGATATCTTTTCGACACATAAAAATTTGTTTAAAAAGTAAACAAATCTAATTCTTTATTTTATTATTTTATATTCTATGCTCTGTTTAAAAAGTTAAATAATGGATAAAAATGATAAAGATTCTCAAAAAATGTATGATAATCTATGCGGCCTATATGAGGCTGTTTTCATGATGAAAGAACATTTATCATGACGAATATAATCTTATAGTAAATTTTCCTAGTCTAAATAAAACAACAGAATCTATAGTTTTTTATAATAATAACTTCCAACGCTTATGATGACTGCACGATAGTGGCGGCGACCCGCACTCGGTGGTTCGCTCGCCGCCTGGCACCCTGCGATCATTTACAATTCATATATATATCCGTTGTATGTCAACTGCTTATGCATTGCTTTTAATATCTGTCAATAAATATGTTATTACATGTTTGTGAGCACAATAAGAATAAATTATATAAACATAAGTCACAAGGATATCGTCAGAGTCGATAGAATCAGTGATTCCGTCGAAATCGTGAGAGTTTAGCAACGGCGAAGCAACGTTAGTAGTTGGGTGGGTGACCGACCTCCGGTCAAAAGAGAAATCACGACGCGAACGTATAAATTTGCTTTTTTTCTCTCGTATATAATAAAATTAAATTAACAATACTAAAAAACAGCAATTTATCACTGGTCAATTTGTCACAGCTAGTAGCACTGTTTTGTAAGGGAATATAATTGTGAAATGTCAATGTAATATTACTGTGATTCGTTTTGGCGGACATTTTAATTGTGATATCTCAATAGTATTGTAGCAATATTTTTGCTATATCATATTGTAACGTTGCAATAGAAATATGATATTGCTATGCTATGTGGGGCAGATAGGCCGAAAATTAAATGAGAGCACTTTTAACTCCGAAGGTACAGAGAAGTGACATCGACATTATAAATATTATTTTTCTTTTTCATTTATACCAAGGCCGGTATTCGTAGTCAGATCTTATATTTAAGACTGTTTTAGTTTATTTTCAGATGCATCGTAACCAATGAAATGAGTTGTACAATATCTGAAGATAAACATAAAACGGTTTTAAATATATGATTATGAATACCGGCCCAAGAAACACTGTAGAATTAGTTTTTTTCATTTTAGGGCAAATTTTGGTCATTTTTATATACCCTTCTTTTTAAACTATTGCAACAAGTTTTACTAAAAAGAACAGATCAATAACTATACAGATTCAGTACAGCTAAGAAGAACAAATCTACGTATGTCACATCACATGTAACAAATGGTCTGTTTTTTTAACTGCATTGTTGAACTGGCATGATAAGTTAGTGAGACAAGTATATTTTTTCTCGCTCTAAGAGAGAATTCACCCCTTGACAGAAAAGCAGAAAGTAGAAAAGCAACAACCAATTAGAACTCGCGCTGGTGGTCGACGGTTTCTGCTTTATCTATTACTTATAACCAGCGTTTCTGCTTCATCTATTACTTATAACCAGCGTGAGTTCTGATTGGTTGTTGTTTTTCTGATTTTCTGTCAACGTGTGAACTTCTCCTAATCTATCGCATTAGTTCAGCAGTGCAGTTAAAAAGAACAGACTAAGTGTAATGTACCTATTATAAGGTTGTATTCTGTGAATAGGCCAAAATTAATAAATATGTCGCTCGCTAAACATATTATATGAAGATATTCTTTGAAGAATTGGGCAAAATTTCTGAATCAGTATGGCTCATATTAATAACGTGTTTAAAGCTGTAGAAACATTAAACTCGTTGCGAGAATCAAACATCACGTCGGATTCTGGAGCAAGGTATAAACAATAAACAATTGTTCATGATTAAAAAAGTTATTTCAACCTTTTTTTTTTTAAATGAATTTCCATTAACAATAGGAAAGAGAAAATATCATGTTGTACAATCATCGTTGATGGAATATGTTCTTCAACTGTCAGACAAAATCTTAAGTTTCCACAAATTCTTACTGTTTCCATCGAAACATTACTAGCATTGTGTAACGATGAGGAGTCAGACGTCAGGATGGTTGCTGATGAGTCCCTCAATAAAATTATAAGGGTACAATATTATACTGATATATATGTTTATATTGGTAATATATTTGGCCTGTTCCTTTTAGCTGAACTGGCTGTACTAATTCAAGAAATTTACATATCATTGGAACATACAAGATTCTTATGTTTCAGATGCATAAATTTCTTGAATTAGTATAACCGGTTTAGTTAAAAAGAGCAGACTAATTATCTATCATAATTTATGACTCATCGTATAGAGAAATTTATAAAAGTATAGTACAAATTAAAGAATTAACGAAAATGACATATGACAAACATATATATATATATTGCTTGCTAAATATGTTCTTGTTAAATATTATATTATTTATTTAGGCAGTTGTTGACAGTAATATTGTTAAAGTTCAGATAGAACTTTATAATGAAATAAAAAGGAATGGACCTGCACGTATATTGAGAGCTGCTCTGTGGAGATTTGGTCTGCTAAGTCACATGATACGTCCCACAAGGGGTAAAGCTTATGTGTCAAATTTAATACCATGTATAGTGATCATTGCGCATCGATCTGAAGATATTGTAATTGAAACATTATCGCAATCATTACCATTTATTTTAAAAGTATTAGGGCCATTTATGACAGACAAGGATGTCAAGGTTAGTAATCTGACACAATTATGAATATTATTCCATGAGTTAATGGTAAAATTAAATTTATTTCAGACATTACTAAAAGCATTCTTTGAAAACATCTCCTCTACTCAAGCAGTTTTTCGTAGAGCAGCAGCAAACATGATCCTGACGACGTGTATAAATTGCAGAAAACCACAGTTTTTTTTAAATTATGTCTTGAATTATTTATTAGGTATGTTAAATATTTTACAACTGTGAAAAATTATATTGCATAATGGTATTTATTTTATCAGATGTAATAGTGCCTGCAAGAGACATTGAGGATTATTCGTCCACTATTATAGGCATATTTGGATGCCTAAAAGTCATCCTATCTCATATATGTAAATCATCGGAATCTCAAGATATTGAAACACAGCAAACAGATAGTTTATTACATATATATGAACTGTGTTTGCACTATGCAAAATGGCATTCCGATCATAATATTATAAATGCAGCTTTAGAGACTTTGGTGCAACTTTTAAAAATGCCTCCAAAGCCTTTAGTGTCTGTCTTATTGTCATCACAAGGCATAACTGAAAGAAAGATAACATTAAATCAAATGACATCGTTATTGAACGAAATGAGTATTTCCAGTACAAGTACTGTTCATGGTGGAAATTTCGACTTAGTTTCGAACTTGCATGAACTGGATGTCCCAAAAATCACTCCAAATATAGACAATTGGATTGCAGAAGCGGAAACTGCATCGTCAGTTGTGCATAATTCAGCGCTACCGAATGAATATGTGAATGATATAATTGAAGTGAAAGGGAAGATAATGGAAAATTACTGCGGTCTGAAGATCGGAATTATTAATAGTAAGAATAAACATGTAAACATGGCTCATATAATAATTTTGCAAATACTAGCTCTTAATATTTTTAGATGAAATTGTCGAGGAAGATAGCGATGTCGGGAGTGTGAACGAAAAGCTGGTGAAAGCACCGTATTCAAATCTACCGAGTGATCAATCAAAAGAGGAGGATTATTCCGAGGAAATTACTGTATCATTCGCCTCTCCTAAGAAATCTTCGTTGGAGTTCGCATTGTATGAAACGGATATTGGAAGTTTTACAGACTCGGATATGCCTGTCAAGTTTTGTTGTCGTTATTTAGTATCGTCCTTCTTATTAGCTGGCAAACCCGGGCACTTAATGCCAGACAAGTTATTTCGTGTTAGCGTAAAGTCTCTTGCTCTAACATGCGTGGGTTATATCTTAAAACTCTACCCGCATTTGCTTACGATGACCGTGGCCAAAGAATTCAGCTGCTGCAACGAAAACAATCAATTGATTGTAGACATTTTGTTATTTGCCAATCACCCAGATCCTCAGATTAGGGGCAATATAGCAATGGTGATTGGAATATTTTTAAAGTCTGTCTTTGTCCAGTACGGTGGCTCTTTCCAAAAATTCAGAGCTGAATGTGCAGCGCAGAAAGGACACGAAAATATATTACTAGGAGATATGATAAAATTACTTCTGAAAGTGAGTATGCATGTTTTAAAAAGTTTCCAATGTAAATAAATAAAAATATTTTTAATTTGTGCTTGCATATATATATATTTTTTTTTCTTTTTTATCAAATATACAGGGCTTGAATGACGATTCCGCGACAACGTGTCGTCAAACTCTGGACGCGTTAAACCTTTGCTTACCGGAGTTGTTAGATTCTATTAATAATGAACACGGTCTTACCATTTTAACTACGTTGCCAAAACTTGTGAAAAATCCATATTTTCTAGTGAAGATAAAATTAGTCGATTTATTAAGTAAATTATCATACATTACGATAGAACACATAACAGGACAATCATTATTTCAAGAACACTTTATCGATGCTATAATAGCGTTATTAGGCGATCAAGACCAAAGAGTGAGGCATGCAGCATCCGATGCTATTGTTAAGTAAGACATAGTTCTAATTTCATTGTTTTATTACATCATATTACATTTAAATTAATGCATATTACGTTTCTTGTTATATTTCAGGAGTATTCCTTGTTTGTATTACCGGCATCCTCAAGAAGATACTATTACAAAGAAAGCGTCGCAATATACTCAACAGTTTTTAAACAGCATAACATTAAGTATCTCGGAACTTTCGTCGTGCCAAGACAAACATAAGCCGTTTGTGAACACGTCTATCGAGCCATTTGTATTTCTGAGTCACTGTAACAACGGAGTAAATTATGATTCTAGCGTAGAATATTCTTTATCTCGCATAGTCAACGTTCTAACGGAAATATTGACGGTGCATTCGTCGAAATATTTGATATACGGATGCTGCGAGACCCTCTTTTGCTTGAGCGAGACTTATCCCACGACGATTTATGTCCGAGGATGGGACTGCATTCTGCCAAAGACGATGTTGAAGAAGTCTAAGAAAAATAGCGATCGATCAGATGCGAATGACGCCAATTTCACAAACGACATGATTTCCTCGCCCGTAGGCAGTGGCCTCCTGTCGTTGATACTGCCTCTTCTATCGTCCTCTACCATCAGCTTAGATCTTTCCACACACCGACACTTGATCCTCCTTGCCGGAAATCTGGCTTCCGGATTAGCCATCTGTAACTTCAAGACTGGCGATCCGACCAAATTGTGGAGTATGTGCAAGGACAAGTACATGGAAATGTTGCTGACGCATATTATACGGGTTTTGAACATATTTGTTCACGTGATTGAGGAGGTACAGCTAATACAAAGCAACGTCAAGCCTGTGCTACCGTCCTTATCGTCTGCGCAAACTTTATCACCAAAGAGGAAGATCGTGCCGGAACAGAAGTCGAGGGAAAAGGCGGAAAAGATCGGAGGTCCGAAGAGCGGAAAGGACCAAATAGGAACGTTCGTCGGTACTCCGCATTATATGAAGATATACGATATATTGAAAGCGGCGCATGCCAATTACCTGGTCACTTTGGAGTACGAAGCCAGCGAAATGTATCTGTCTCTGCTGAACGCAACGCTGGACGTGCTCTCCCAAATACTCGAAGTCGCATCCGTCAACGAAGTAGGCAGGATAGCGGAAGAGGTGCTCTGTTATCTGAAAAGCACCGTCACATTGTCACCGACCGCAACGGTCCAATGCGTACAGCAACTGTTGAAATGCTTGTTCGGTACGAATGTGTACGCGCAGTGGAGCGAAATGGATATGCAGAAAAGTCTAGATCGATGTGGCGCATCGCAGGACGACGTTAAAGGTTTTTACAACCAATGTTTTCAATACCCCGCGAGACAAATGGCGAACACGATCAAGTGTATAGGGAACAATTGCAGGGGTGAAAACGAACCAGATAACGGGTAGGTATCATTTTGATACTTCAATAGCGTCGATGCGATAACATCTCTCTCTCTCTCTCTCTCTCTCTCTCTCTCTCTCTCTCTCTCTCCATCTATCTATCTATCTATCTATCTATCTATCTATCTATCTATCTATTTCTCTCTCTTTTCAGATGGATAGGATTGCTGCGCAGAAAAGGTGATCGTAAGTTTTCGTCGGTGTTTAAGAATTTGGCGCGATCATCGGATCAGAAGGGATCGGTGGCTTCTTTCATCCGGCTCTTTGAGCCGATGGTTATAAAATCTTTAAAACAATACACCGTTACCAGCAACGTCGCGTTGCAATGCCAAGTTCTCACGCTGCTGAGCCAATTGGTGCAGCTGAAGGTCAATTACTGCCTACTGGATTCCGACAAGATATTCATCGGGTTCGTGCTGAAGCAGTTCGAATTCATCGAGGAAGGTCACATACAACAGACCGAGGAACTCCTGCCGAAGATATTCAATTTCCTGGTGCATCTGTCGTACGAGAAGAATCATTCCAAAGCGATAATAGGTATACCAAAGATAATTCAATTGTGCGACGGTCTGATGGCGAGCGGGCAACCGGCGATTACGCATTGCATACCCGCACTGGCGCCCGTTATCGAAGATATATTTCTCATTCGTAACGGGAGTTCGAGCGTAGCCGAGCAACGGGAATTGGAAACTACGAGGGACGTGCTGATAGCTATGCTGTTGCGTCTCGCGGAGTATCATCAAATCGTCGAGCTTCTGGCGCTTTGTTTGGTGGAGTCGAGATTTAGCGGGGACGGTAACGGAGAAGAGAAATGGCGCAGATGGTCCAGATTAACCATGGATACCGTGCTGCCGATACTAGCGGCCGGCAAACTCCGAATAGAATCCGAGAAGGCTCACGTTGCATTAGTGAAATTATTCGCGGCTATCTCACCGACGGTGTTCCGGCCGGTGGATCCTCTCTTGAAGATACTGTTCACCGCGTCGGTTTCCGTGACGGCCTCGACTCTGAAATTGAAGCGTTGGTTGGGTATGGTCAACGTCGTACTCCTCTCGCTGATCTCCTGCGCCAAAGAGGAGGCGATGCTGGCGCGCCTCTCGGATCTCAGTATATGCGTAACGGACGTATCGCACCTGTTCTCGCTGCAGGAGCCCTCCTCCGAGCATACGGACCCCCTGAACGTACTGGGGGCTCAGTCCCACCAGATACCACCCGAACAGACATTAGCCAGATTCATATTCAAGGTAATCAACCTGATAAGCTCGAAGGTGTTCAATCTCCTCGGCTTGATAAACCACAAATCCGCGGATCCTCTCGTCGACTTCTCCGACTATACAACCGACGACAGCTACTTGGTGCATCAGTTTGCATTTTTCTTACAATTGTGCATCCATATGTTCGAGTCCGGTAGCCACTGCAAAGTAGCGAACGCGACGATGCAGATGATTCAAGGACGCAATGTGTCGGAGGAGGAACAGTTGCCCATCGATCATCTCAACTATTTAATGCTCAGTATCGGGAACGTCTGTCCGACGGTGACGTGTCAGTGGGCTTACTTGATGATTTTACTGGGATACAACGAGATGTCCTTCTGGTCGAAGATACTGGACAGCAACGCCGACTGTATCGCGCGCAGTTGGTGCGCGAGCGAGAAGAAACGGGGCGACTCCATCAGTAGCATAAATGTACAAATTATTCGGAAAGGAGGCGTTATATTATTCTGTGATTACATATGCGAGAATCTGAACGACGTGGAACCGCTGACGTGGTTGCTGGTGAACCACATAGAAGAAGCTATCAACATCGCCACTGAATCTCCGGTCAGAGATTTGTTGAGTACGGCTGTACACAGGAATCCGGCGGCCAGCGGGCTTTTGGTACAGGCCATCGCGACGAAATGCACGGATTTATCGCAGCCCAGCTTCATAAAGCGTCTGTTGCAGAGTATCGAGGGTGCTCATCACTCGCAAAGCGGCGCGGTCATAATGACCTTGATACCGAGATTGTTGTCCACGAAGTATCTCGCCTTGTCGAGGATGGCGGCGAAAATTGCCAGTCGCAGAGTGGAAATATTGCTGACCATGAGCTTGGAGGACGTGATCGGCCAATTGTCGAAGGACGATGTCGTGAGGATCATGGACATTCTGCAGACGACCAAGCTGGCGAAAAAACACGGCGGTTTAATAAGCTTATTGAATAAACTGGCTGTGCAGTACTACGACTTGTCGCCGTTGGAGCTCGACCAATGCCGGCCCTTCAATCCGTCTACCGTAAAGAGCATTCAGTTAGATCGTAATTGGTTCTTGTCCCAAGTGAGATTACGATGTTGCCACGCGAGCGCCGGCAACAATCCGATGGAATTGGCGCAGTTGCTGAAGGACTTGGACTTCGACGATTGTTTGAGCATCCTCTCCTGCAAAGAGTTTAATCTGAAGATCTTGAAATATTGCATAATACTGGGGGCAAGACTCAGTATCGAGAGGTGTCAGAAGTTAGAGTTCGGTAAAGCGCAAAGCGAGAAGGACTTCAATTTCGACGCAAGCCCTCTGTACGTCGCTGCTAAACAATGCCTGCTGGAGCATATTCGTTATACCTGCGAACTCACGCCGAAACCGCATCAGATTTACAATCCCGAGGCAGACAGCGGGAAGGAGCTCAAGTACGCGGTTCGATTTCACGAGCTGTTGAGCGATTCTCTTTATTGGGAGATCCTCTTCATGATAATCCCGACGGTTAAAATTTACATGAAGACGTTGCCGAAACTGGCCAAGTACAATGTAGCGAAAATCGACGTCAAATTCGAGGAGGATATCGCGAAATTTTCCATCCTGTGTCTCGAGCTGGCGCATTGGATGATCCATTCCGACCGAAGAAACGCGAAGAAATCGAGACCGCACGACATGGATCTCGCGTTGAGTTGCGCGGCGGAGATTCTCAGGCACGCCGCACCGAGTAAGATCTTTGGCGACAGTGCCCATTATACGTGGGTGTGCTCCGCGGCGATCTCTCTCACGAGAGTCGTCGAAAGTGTATTGATGACGATGGACCCGTTACCGGTCGTGAATTCCCAAGCGTTGGAACCAGCCCTGCGAGACGAGAACACCAAGGACTACGCTCGTGCGTGCATTCAAATGGCATCGATAGTCGCTTGGCTCGAGAAATGTCAAACGGAAGGCCTCACGAAGAATATTCCACCGTACTTGTTCGACACGATGAAATCGCTCATTGTTAGCACGAGTCGGCAACCGTTAGTGAACTCTTACATCTTGACACCCCCGTTGGTGTGGCAACGTGGCTGGCATATTATCGGCTCCGGTCCAACCAAGTGCTATTTCCCGCTGCTCTCGTCGGAGTCCAACCTCCTGCAAGAAGTAGATATTCTAGAACAGTTCATTTATCGGGTAAACCTGCTAGGCTGGACGTCCAGGTCGCAATTCGAAGAGATCTGGATGGCATTTCTGAGCGTTCTTAATTTCTTACAAAACGAGAACACCCCGTCAGAGGAGGTGGTGAGCTTGATTCAAGCCAGCAGTTTGACGGTTCAAGCGATCACGAGATTATTATTGCAGACTCTTCTGTTACCGTGTCCCGGCAGTCCCGAAGCCAGCACTTTGATCCATCATCCCAGAGATCCCCAGCTTTCCATGCATAAAGTCAGCTCCCAGAAATTGTTTGCGATTCAAGAGTTACTTTTGTGGAAGTACGAATATATGAACGAGGAGAATAGATATGGATTAAGACTGGATCACATTTTTCGCCGTGGGAACGTGGAAAGAATCGGGACTACCGACAGATTCACGTACAGTCAACTGTCGGTCTCTTACTTGTGGTCACTCTGCAATTTGTACGAGGATAAATTAAATGTGTCTGTTCTCGACTTGAAGAACAGACGAAACGACGCACTCATGTCCGCGTCGCTCGATTTGGACTCCTGTCTACGTTTCCTCATTGAACATTACACCAGCTGGTTGTCACCGCAGGCTGATACACCTGTACAGTTGCTGACTGAGATCATCAAATCGATTTTGGCGATATCGGAACTCTTTCTCGAACGGTCCCAGTACCAATGGATGCTCGACGTATGTCTGGAAGTATCGAGAGTTCATCCAACGGAAAATGCGATTCTGCATCAATACCTGGCTGTTTCGATATGTAAAGCCGCTGCCGTTTTAACGCCACTGGTACGAGCGAGAAGTTTAATCAGGGACTTATTTGTTTAATATCTTGCTTTCCTTCAACTGATGTTATTTCGTAGGACTTTGATACTTTGGACAAAGTAAAGCGCATAGTGGATATCAATTTAAAGGCAGGATTTCTACCCGCCAGAGTTTCCGCACTTCATGGCTCTCTGTATTTACTGCAAAGCGCAGTACTGGCCAAGTGTGAGGAAACGATGAATATTATACATCCGCTAGCCATTGAATACATACAAAAACATATTGACTCGCAAGATTCGAATGGGTAATTTAATCGAATTTCATTTCATTTTATTTGTTAGTAAAACATATATACAGACTGAATTATTATATCTTAGCACCATTTGTATACAAGATTAAGGCCCGGTTTCACCAACGCAAGTCATTCAAATCGGTCGAATTCAGCTTTTCCGTTGGAACTGTCCAATCGCATCATTGTCGGTCAGTTCCGATGGATACATTGAATTTAATCGATCAATTTGATTAACTCACGTTGGTGAGGCCGGGTTTAAATTAAACTACTAAATATTTCATAAGATTAATATCATTAAGAACTATTGAAAATTATTATTAATTATTATTAACTATTATTATTAATTATCAATATGAATTATTAAGAACAAATGAAAAACTTCTTTAAATTATTTCTTTAGTTTGTTTAGTATTAGAAAAAAAATGTTCCATGAAAAATATGTTCTATTCAACACATAAAATAATTGAAATTTATTTTTTGTAAGTCACATCTTATGACTCCAAAGTTATTCTGATTTGATATATACAACACAGTACTTTTCTCATAATCTTGTAACTAATATAAAAATGAGTTCAATGATCTGCAACATCTTGAGATTAATTTAAATCCGAGAGAATATTCATACTGGAATTATATTTTATAAATTTCTCGTCGTCACGAGTGGATCGTACTAGTCCAACTATCGCATATTTGTGCCGCTGGACTCTACCTTAACAGTTAACATGTGATATCCAACTTGGTCTGGGAATCTTTAAACGACCCTGAAGTTGGCTGAAAAGAAAACTACGTAACTCTCTGGTGGATTCCAAGATATGAGAGAATTGAAGGCAACGAACGACGGATGGGCTAGAAAAAAAGAGCAAATTCGCCATTCATAGAGCCTTGCTGCGGCATACCGAAAAGTCATGTAAGAGAGTATATTCATAAAAGAACAAACGAAGGTATCAAACTGGAACAGTATATCAGGCCGACGTCAAAAAGTTTATCACCTGGTCTTTCGAGAGGAAGAACTTAGTAACGGGCTTATATACAAGCCAACTGCCGTCTGAAATATTATCTTCGCAACATTGGTAAGACAGAGGATGCCGTGTGCCGCCTTTACAACAAAGCAGCAGAAACGGCAGAACACATATTGTACTGTATATTATACTTGTCTTACTAACTGTTGCCGAAGATTCATTTTTCTCGGTAAAGTGATCATCACACCATTAAAAATAAGATATGTAGATCCTAAGGTTTTAAAGTTGACTAAAGGCCTGAATCTACTAAATTTTTTGAGGAAAGGCTGTGTCACAATCTGTTTTGTGACCTGTTTTGTTGCAATGACAGTCTGTCGCCTTCTTAAGCCCTTAACTTTTGTAGTAATAATAATAGTATGAATGAATCATGCGATACACACGAGCCGTTTTACTTATCATTCATCCACTGTACAAGAAATTATTGCAATTTAAACAGTCAATACTTGGAATACATATTGCGATAAAATACCCCACGCATTGGAAGTAATGTTAAGAATGTATCCATTCATAGTAGAAACAGGGAATTTGTAAAGTTTTTAGTATTAATTAGTATTTATAATTTGTATATTTTTAGTATGAATATTCAAGTTCAAGGTTATGATGTCGCAGATCATCGAATTTATTTTAAATATTAACTGCAAATTTATGTTAAAATAATACCATGTTCCTTATCAAATAACCAAAGTGACCTAGAATTAAAAGAAAAATAAAAGACAAGAGATTCATTCAATTCGATTATTTGACGTGTCCTGTAGAACAGAACATATTTTTCCGAAACACTCTCATAATACAAAAACCAAAAAGTTTATTTAAGAATACTATGATATAGTAACTCACCCTGTACACCGAAGATTTATCGTTTCATTTGTCTTTGTCTATTCCATATAATCGCGTAGTTTTTCATCAATTCATTCTTTTTCTTTTGGTACAGCATTTTGAGCCAAAGCGAAGAGCATCAGGGGATAATATGGGCTCTGGTATTCTTTCTGCTGGAGCATGCGGAAGACACGCCGCCAGACACGGAAGCGCCGGCCGTGCTAGAATTAGTCCTTTCTCTAGTCACGCTTCCGAATATCTCGTACGGCTTGCATCAGACCCTGCTACAGGTACGTTACGCCTTTCACGTAATCGCTCGAGTAACGTAGTATGAAGACCGTTGATTTGCCGGCAGGGTCTTGAAAGGCTCGTCGCAACGAAAAGCGTAGTCGGGAAAGTCGCTGAGCAAATTGTTAAAGTTGCGATGGATCGGTTGAAGCAACCAAGCCCGTTGCTGGCATTACCGGCTCTGCAGCTTCTACTGACATGCATGTACACGGAAGCGGCCGATCGACTGAATCAACCCGGTGAGGAGGAACCATTGCCGGACGTAGAACCGGAAGCGTTAGTCAGATCTATAGAACGCACTTCCGCGATATTCGATAAAATTCGGAAGGGACATCCTATGGAAGTGGAAGTGCTATGTACTGTTCTCTCGGGCATCCTCGGGGACTTCTTCCCACCGTCGGAGATCTTAACGAAAGTCATAGGAGAATTTCTGTCGCCGCAACAACCGCATCAGAGATTACTCTCCGCTGTTGTTTTTAAGGTTTGTGGAGCGATCAAAACAAATGTAATAATGCTGCACCGCAACGAAAAATGAGCGAACATTATTCGACCTGATTCGTTTTCTTTCAGGTCTGTGAAAAAGCGTGTACCTGTACGGAAATGGAGCTTCTTCAGGACTGGGTAGTCTTTAGTTTACCGAATTTTATTCAGAGTTTACCAATGGCGATGTCGACTTGGTGTCTGTCTTGTTTCTTTATAAGCGCATCGACAAATCATTGGTTGAGAGCGTTGTATCCTTTTCATATCGATGTAACTTTACAATTCTGTACGGAGAAATAATGCGTTTCCTTAGCCATAACTGGCAGATTTCCGTATGTTCAATCGAGGATCGGCAAGTACGAGTACGAAGACAAGAAGATGTTGTGTATAGCCGCTTCAGATTTTTATAACAAGGTAAATAAACATGTCCTATATTATATTTTATATATATATATACACATATTTCATAACTTACGTTATCGTTTATGATTTCAGTTATCTAAGGAATCTCAAAAGGAAGCGTTTGTCGAGACGTTCGAAGCAGCAGCGAAAGAACCCGGAACTCCATTCAGCGACATTTTGGCCTCTTTTTAATTAATATTTGACTATAGTTAAGAAAGAAAGAGAGAGAGAGAGAGAGAGAGAGAGAGAGAGAGAGAGAGAGAGAGAGAGAGGAATTTAACTATAAAATAAAAATATTCTACAGAAGTGTCGTTTTTAATTTTCAAATTGTAAAAATCGATGTACATTCACTCGTGCGTTAGCGAGTTGTGTTTGCACGTGTGTACATTTGTACGTATGAAAATATTTATTTTATGTCACACATACATAATATGCGCGCGCGTACACACACACACACACACACAAAAGAGATGTGCAATTTGTTTTGCAATAAACAGTATTTTTTAAATAAATTGATTGTTGATTCAGACCTTTATAACCAAAATTAAGAAATCATCAATCGCAGAACCTACTTGTTTATCTTTCGCAAAATTTTTAGTTATTAGTTGTACGTACGTATTATTTATTGTCTTAGTTGTTTTTTGCTGTATATTCATATGTGTAAAGTAATATGTATAAAGTAATATTCATATATTCATATGTGTAAAGTAATAGAATATTTCGATGAACGATAGTACCAAGCAATAAAGGAACCTGAGGACACCTGAAAACTCTTGACAGAGTTAATCCCTAGCCATTATTTCGATAATGAAAAATTTGATTTTTTCTCGTGTTAACAGCAGTTGTTCCGGCAAGAAAGTTCCTTCTATGACACCTTCTTTAGTAGACGGGAATAACGGCATGCAAAATTCGATACAGAGAATGGTGTCAGTTTTTGAGTTTATTTTGAAAACCTTCACGAAATCACTATCACCGATGTATAGAGCGGTAACGATGATAGAGTACACACTAGGCGATGGGACGTCACGACAGGAATCCGGAGGCATCGATATAAAAGGGGAAAGCCGCTACAGGAATCAGGAAGCGGCGACGTAGGGATATTTTTTTTAATGTCCAATCCTTTTTTTTCGTAAATATTCAATTGTTCTTCAAGTTGTTAGGTTTCATAATTATATTAACATTGAGTAAAAAAATTTGTTACTGCTTCATATATAGATAGAATATTGTCCGGAACAATGGGAAGAACTTATGTTAAATGACAAGCAAATAAAGATTTCAATAATATCAAAAAATAAGTAACCGCTTAAGTACAGTCTTTGGATGTAATTGGACTTAAAATTTGGAAAAATTTATTCGAAGTATATTGAGTATTATTCTAAATATTATGATATAAATTTACATTTATGTAATAATATAATAAAACTGCAATCTTTAGTATATAATCAACTTTCTTCTCCAAGATTTCGAAATATATTTAAATATAGTTAGTACACACAAAAGTGGTTATTTATCAACATGGTCTGAATATTTTGAAAATTCAATCAATTACTCGAGCTTTGACGAACATGCGTCGAAACAGATACACTTGCCCCGGCCGCTATGTTTCTGAAAAAAATTGCGTACATAGCGTGCTCGCGATTACCGTGTTTCTCATTTTGTCATCAACCGTCCGACAATTGGCATGTTGTCCTCACTCTGGTTGCTCGGGGGAGTGGAGTTTCGGTCTTCCGCTCCCCGTACTTTCCCGGAGCCAGTGGATTGGAATATACATAGGACAACTATTATCATTTGACATTTTTTTAAGATTTAAAAAATTTTAATAAATGCTTTGAACATATTTTAAATAAATTTTAAACAATATATAATATATTCTTATTATTCAGTATTTCTAAATTAAACCAGACTCATACGTCTTACATTTAAAATTGGGGATTAAAAAGCGAATGTCGATACAAATTCGACATCTCAGAAAGTTTTATGGCCAAACAATATTCTCAATCCAATCAAGATATGTACTAACTTTAGTATAAATCGCAGGCATAGATTTAAAAGCACAAAACTTGCCGAAACTCGTCACACCCACAATGCTGTACATGCAATAAGGTTTCGCAAGAACTCTTTGTAAAGGACCGCCGCTATCACCCTGCAAACAAAGCAGAATTAAAACACATAATTAAAAAGAATATTAAAATTTTTTTTCTTAATTAGATATGTACTGTTCTATAAAGTTGATTACAATCTAAATATAATATGAACGCGTATGTGTCTATGCTATCAATATTCAGATTGAAAAATATTTTTTTCTAAAAATCTAAGATTTTATTCAAATATCGATTTATAAATGAAAATTAGAATATTTCTAAATTTTTTTAACAAATAGATTGATTTTTTTATGGTCGTTCCAGATTCGAACGTTCGGCCGCGCGGAAGAAGTGGTTTCAGCAGTTTAAGAGTGGAAATTTCGACCTTCATGATGAAGAACGTCCAGTACAGCCAAAAAAATAGAAGATGAAGAACTGGAACAACTTTTGGAAGAGAATTCTTGTCGCACACAGTCAGAGCTCGCAAAGGAACTCGGAGTAACACAACAAGCCATTTCTAAGCGTCTGCATAAGCTGAGGAGGATTCAATAGAAGAGCCGTTGGGTTCCCACAAACTCACAGCTGAGAATAAGATTAGACGCTATGATATTGCTGTGTCGTCGCTTTTCAGATTTAAGAAGAAAGATTTCCTGCACAAGATTGTGACCTGCGACGAAAAATGGATCCTCTACGATAATCCAAAGAGACGAAAATCGTGAGTTTATCCATGGTGAGCCTTCGACTAGTACCGTAAGACCGAATATCCACACCAAGAAAGTGTTGCTGTATATATGACGGGATCAGCAGGACGTCGTACACTGTAAGTTACTCACTGCTGAGCGTTATCAGCAGCAACCGATTCGTGTCAATGACGAACTGGAGAAAAAAGGCCTTATACCGACAAGGAAAAAAAAAAGTCATGTTGCTTCAGGACAATGTGTGGTCACACACAGCAAAAACGACTTTAGAAATAATCACCGACTTGGGCTAGGAGATTTTATCGCACCCGGCATATTCTCCAGATTTCGTTCCTTCGGAGCTTATTATCACCTCTTCAGATTCCTGCAACATCACCTGGCTGATACCCACTTCACTGCTGCCGAGAATGTCGATAAAAGTATTGTTGAGTTTACCAACTCAAAACAACCCTCTTTTTTCCGAAGTGGAATTCGAAAGCTCCCCAAAAGATGGAGCAAATGTGTAGAAAGTGATTACTTCGGGGGATTACTTCGAAGATTAGGTAACTATTCAACTTTTTATAAATTAATATCAAAGTTTAACGAAAAAGGCTGAAAATTAAGTTGCGCATCTAAAATTTATTAATGAAATAATAAACAGAAGGGGCGTAAATAATAAAGAAGTAGTAGAAATCCACTTTTGGCCAATATCTACGGGTTTTTCTTAACCCTTTGACATACAATGACGTCTGGGAGACGTCATTCATTTCATGTACCATTGTAGACTTTGACGTCTCCGAGACGTCAAGGACTGTCTCCGGTGACTCCGTGCATTATTAGATTATTAAATTATTTCACTTGTGATTATTCAATTGTTTCACAAGCTTGCACATAACTGTTCATTGAGCAAAATTAAATAGTATTTTTCGGACGCATCAAATTCCGTTTTATTTGTATGTCAAGGGGTTAAAAAAGTTCTATAAATTTGGAAAAATAATTTATCGTTAATACGAGTAAAATGGAATAAAAAATTTAATTATTTGTTTATTAATGTTATTTCGTAAAAAAATATTATGTTAGTCTACCTTTTACTTTACTAATAACAAATACGTATAGTCAAATTAAAGAAAACTAGTTTTTGCAAAAATAATTTTATTGTATTAAATTTTTACGAATGGACTACGTACACATTGTTGCTCAACGGAAACCGCGAGAAGGTGGGGATTTTTTCCGTCAAGAGGAAATTTAGAACATTTATTTTGTTTAATCTTGCAATAATTTTTATATGTACAATATATGGGTGTTGCATTAACATACGACTCATTGCGACAGGTTGCCTGCTCAAAGACGCGCGCGTCCAGATGATAATTATCAATATAGTCGATATAGTCGATATACTCGCATACCTTTCCAACGAAGTTCTAGTTTTCCTAATTATCATGATTTCAACGGGTCTGCATCATGATCGGTTAAGAGCCGAGCAATATTGTATGTATAAAATATTTAAAAATATAAACATGAAAGAGCATGAGGTTAAACGGAATAATTAAGATTAATAAGTAAATAGATAAATAAAATAACAAACTTTACTTTTTCATACTTTATCGTTTTTTGACGTTGTCACATTTGACAGAAGTTACAGATTGCAAAGAGATGAGAAAAAAACAGTTATAAGCCTAAAGCAAATATGCAAAGTTATAATTGAATTGCAATCTTAATCAATAAATAGGCAAGTAGCACGACACAACTCTCAAATATTTAGGAGAAATTTGCATATGAAGTTTCTCGCGTAAGTGTCACTAATGAAAAGGAGTTCATCAAGTAGCAAGCGTGCAAAGCTCTAATGAAACCTACAAATTTTGTCTAAAAAAGAATTTCAGAGAATTAAACCAAAATATTTCCTGTAAAAACAATTAAAAATATTAAAATATTAAGCTAAGCGCGAAAATAAAGCAATTATATTTTAGAAGTAATGTTTTGTACACAAAGTTAAGAAGTTAATACTCATCGTGATAACAAAATTCGTATATTAGTGTTAAATTAAATAATACATAAGCTATATTAACGTATTACAATTATTTTTTAAGAATAATATTAATAAAAATATAAATATTTCTATAAATTATAATAAGAAATATTGATTGGACATAGAAACAGCAACTCTGAAATAATGAATTTTCATCAAAATTTATATATTGTGACGATTTCTACTATCATAGAAAAGAAAAGAATAGAGAAACTAGAAATATTATAAAATATCTACAAACGATATTATAATCTGCAGAACAATTTAACTATGTGAAATTTCTTAAATGTGTTCAGAAAAAGGGTGTGTAAAATCAACATAAAAAAAGGCACAATTTTTAATTATATTTTACCCATTATTTTAAGCAAAATAAATATAAAATTCTATTATGAAGAGTGTGAAATTTAAAAAAATAAGACAAGTTTCACAGACCTGACAGGTATCTTTACCACCTTCCATTATGCCGGCACAAAGTAGATTTGGTATAAAACCTTGAGGTAAGCCTTGAGAACCGAGGTCTTCGGCGAAACTTTTTTTACAGTCGTTCTCAGGTATATAATTCAACTGAACTTTCATTAGTTCGTTGCTGCCGGTGTCAGCTTCTGCAAATATAAGCCTCAATACAAATTGTTACATATACAAAGGAAATTTTTAAAATAATAGCAATATAGCAAATTTTCGATGATCATAATAGTCCGTATAACTATGATATACAACTTAGTACAGTTGTGAGAATTAGAAATATCAAAAAGTGGGGATTGGACTAAAAATCGTATTTTTCTTTTCTTTAACGTATTTTTCACATTTTGGTTTTATCATTTTGGTACAATGTCATATAGGATATTGGCAATATCATTTGGCACACGTCTAATAGGATATCAACACAACTATTAAAATTCGTTTATTCTAAAAATGGAAGGCTAACTTCTGTTGGTCCAATAATAGGCCAACAATGGAGTCAATTCATAATGTAAATAGTTGTTGAAACTGTGACTGATTATTGAATTTGAATTTATTAAATTAATTTTGTACAAAGTTTTTTTTCTGTTAACAAAATAAAATTATATTGCTAATATTCGTAAAACTCGATTTAAAATACTGGGTTGATACAAAATTAATTCCGTCTTTAATCAAAATGTACATATAATAATTATTTATTTAAAAATACAATTAATTAAATATGCGCCGTTTTGTTCAATGATCTGCCATAGTTCTTTGATAGCTACATGATCCCGCACTCGTAGAAATTTTGGAATTTCTGAGGGGAGAACTCGATTAAGCAACGGAACGAACTTTTGCATCGACCTAGTAATTCTTGATATTAAAATATATCAGTCAATGCGAAATACAAACCGTAAGAAGTTTTTCCAAATCCAGAAGCGATGACGCTTTTTACTTGTATTTGTGTGTCTACTTCAAGACACGCAGGACGCACTTGAGAGTTTAGATTTAATGGTTGATCAAGTTTAAACAGCGCTATGTCGTGGTAGTTGATCGCATGTTTATAATCCGGATGCTTTATACTTTTTGCAATATTTCTTTCCTGCATAGAGTCGCCGGGAGCTGATAAATCAATCAAGCCGACTCGCACTTTTGTCGCGGGACCACTGAAGCATGCATTTAAAAAACTCATATTATTATAAACGTAATCTTTTATTTATCCAAGGTTCTTAATGTGGTAGTATAAAACAACGGTAATAGTCATATCATATAGTCAAGTAAAGAAGTCATTACTTGTTCGGAGATACCCCGCAATGTGCTGCTGTCAGAATAAAATTCTCAGAGATAACGCTTCCACCGCATTGCCAAATAATGGCCTCGTTTTTACCATAACCGATCACTGCCTAAGGCGGAAATGTAACTTTGTCGATTATCGTTGAAACGATACACGGAAATCTAGATAGCGTAGCATATAATATAAGGATTCCTCAATTGACATACGAAATATATTTTACTGTGAAATAGATCGTTGCAGATGTGAATACGAAACAAATATTAAACTAGTGTTACGCATGGCATTTGACAAAAGAAACACATTTAATTTATTACTTCTGAATTGCGAAATAATTACGGACATCGTTCTCAAGCAAATATTCAATCGAATTTAATTTTTAAATTTTTATTATGAGATTTGTAATCATTGCATAATTCGAGTAAAATTTTTACTTCCTATGTAATATATTGTATTTTCTAACTGTAACTGTCTATGATTAATAATTAATTCAAATTTCGTTCCATTGCGGAAACCTCAATTGTAACATATCTTTACTAACAAATTGTCTTTTATTTCACAATTTATGATTTAGATTTGTTATCATATTTAAAAAAACATATAAAATATATATTTTTATAAAAATATAGAATATGTATTAGGTGGTTGCATATGAAACCTCCCATTTGTGAGTGAAAGAAAAGATAGTGGTTTGATAGCAAATCGACGAACTGGTTTATTCAATGCATTGCCCATCGGAACAGACAGCTTTGGCCCATCTTTCGGTCAACAAACGGATTCCACGCAGGAAGAATTCGGGTTTTTTGGAGGCAATCTAGTCATCCAGCTATTTTTGGACTTTTTCGTATCTGGAGAAATGTGTGTCCGTAAGTGTGTGTTGCATCGACCGGAAGATATGGTAATCCGACGGTATCATGTCTGGAAAGTACGCAGGATGCGGAAAAAACTTCCCATTCAAGCTGTAGAAGTGTCTGCTTCACGCTTTCCGCAACATCCGACATGCGGTCGAGCGTAATCATGCAAAAGAATGACTTTGCGGCAATTATTAGCTACGGATAGTCTTTTTTGCATCAGCTCGTCACTCAATCGGCATAATTGCTGTTGATAGCGATCAGCTATATCGGTTTCATTTGGACGCAAGAGCTCGTAATACAGCACACTGTCCTGGTCTCACCAAATGAAGAGAATATTCCTCTTCGGCGTTGAAGTGGATGGTTGGTCGAGATGATGATCTATGGTTTCCTCCACTTGGGATTATCAAAATAAATCCATTTTTCGTCGCCAGTCACGATAAGCTACAAAAAACTAATTTTTCTTTGCCTGGCAAACAAAGAAGTTGCGATAGACAAACGATTCAAAATGGTATTTTCTGACAACTCATGTGGTAGCTTATCCCTTTCTTATGAATTTTTCCCACGACATGCAAGCGTTTTGAGACGGCCTTTGGAGTAACATTTAACGCTTTCGACAACTCTAAAAATGTATGAGCTGGATTCTCATCGAGCAATTCTTGCAGTTCGACACTTTCCAATTTTTTCAGCTATCCGGGAAGTTCTTTGTCTCTCACGTTTCGAAAATCACCGTTTCGGAAGCATTCAAACCAAACTCTACATATTCTTTCCGATGGAGTTTCATCACTATACACTTTGGATAATAAGCGATGCATTTCAGCCGCGGTTTTCTTGAGGTCGAAGTAGTGAATAAGCATATGTCGGGAAAACAGCTTATAGCTGTTCATTTTCAATCGATTGGAAAATCTTTTTGGTATCGAGAAATCTAACCTGTGAGGACTGAATCGCTTTCAGTAATGTCTAAACTACACAAGACCTGCGATTTCACCATCGAAACTCGCCAACGTTGGAGCCGGTACCTTCGAGTAGCGAGTGGCAGAAATTAAGTTTACCACCTAATATTTTTCATCGCAATAATTTTTACCAGTGATAATGATAATTTTTGTAATACTTAGCCAAGAAGTGCAAGAAATTAGAATTTTAATTCTTGATTATTTGCACTAGTCCATCAATACTTTTTGTCGTATGAGAATATGCAATATTGTTTTGTTTTCAATATTTTATAACGTGTATAAAACGTATCATCAACTTTTCAATCAATATTTAATGTTAAAAGTCTTGAATAAAGTTCTAAAACAAAAAATACTTTTACATCTCTATTGACCATCTACTGATCCCCGGGAAACACAGTGGATCATTCACATACAAATCGAAAAAGGTCATCGTGAACAAGAAAAAAGATTTAATTAAAAAAATTTGCTATTAATACTATAAGGATTTTTCGATAATATAGCATTTTAATTTTTCAATATCTCAAAAATCATTAATTTCACAGGTCTGCAAAAAAAGTGTCCTATAGTGCTCCGGTTTCCCTTGCATAATAGCTTTTAGGAACTAATTCCAATGAATATATATATGTTTTTTTAAACAAATACGTTACTTTTTGTGATTTATCTTATTCTGTGTTTAAAAGTAGTAAGACAGCATTATCAATAAATGAATTGTTTGCAAAATGTTTCACATTTTATGTTAAAATATGCCAAAATTTTTAAATATTTTTTAAATTAACAGTTGCTAAGTATAATTTCATTATATTTTTCTGTGAAGAGGAAAAACTGTATCAATTAATGAATTTCAAAATATGAGCTCCCATTAAAAAAAATCAAGTTGTCTTTCAAATATTTTTGAAGCTTCATTCAAGATAAAAACAAAATATAGAAATTATAAATTAAAATAAATAAAAATCAAAATAAAATTTATGCTACTTTTTTTCTCCAAGCCAAATAACTTTTGTTGAAAAATTTTTTGGTAATATATATGTTTTCAATTATTTTCAAACCGTATATTAAATCCAATTATATCCTACTCATATATATATAATTTATACAATAAAAATTTATAATAAACGATATTTTTTTATACCAACTTTGCGTAAAATTTGCAAAATTCGTGATTAACCACATTATTCTTTGTAGGTTATTAATTCTCACCATATGAGGAAATTCCGCGGGCTTTGCTCGAACTCCACCGACGATCAGAGGTGTTTCGATGATTGCACAACGGGAAATTTTGTTCGAGCCAGCGGTGATGCGTAAAACTGGCGAATTCTCGGTTTCATAAACCAGTTCGGCATATTCCTTGCATTCTGCAAATGAAATGTGAAAATTATATGTATTAAGATCATAGAGGAAATAAATGAGGGACATGAGCAATGGAATGCATCGTACTATTATAATGTGAGAAAAACCTATTGTAGAAATATATAGTAATTATTAGTTTGCACATGCAATTCTGTGTTAGCGATAGCTCACTTATTTATCGTCGTACGTCACTATCGTTCGATTACGTGTCTCACATAATGCGCGCTCATTTTGATGCTAATTTTAATACGTTATTGTGTTCACCGGAAGGACAATTAAGTTCCACGTAAGAAAGGAAATTTTTCAAAGCATTCCTGCAACTTTTAGTCGGTTGTTGATCATCAGAGTAGATAGTTTTCTTGTGTTTGAATGGAAATATATATAAAAAAAAATTAGACATAAGCTGTTACTAACTTTCTTCGCTTTTTCGCGCTGCAAAATTTCTAAATGAAACAGCAATGAGTAACACAATTGCAAATTTCTTATACATGTCGCGAATCAAATACACGACGCACCGCGACACCTTCTTCAAATGAAAAAGTCTTTAATATTGAGTACTCACCTAACATATGAAGAATAATGTGCATGCATAACGATAACGATATTTCTAATTAACGATCAAAGAGTTAAAGTGTCATTAATACGATACTACCGTACTCACTGCCAGTGATGTATCTGCAAAATCAACTCCGGGGCATATTTCTTAACACTTTGGGAACTAGGATTTAACTAGGAACAAGAATTAATATCACTGTGTAATCAAAACTTGCAAATAGCGGTATTTAAATTGTTAAAATATCTATTCCTAGTAGATCCCGTGAATGAATAATATTTCACATCTGTCTAGCTAGGTCCCTCCACCTTTACTGGAAAACGAATAGTAAATAAATATAATTATGCGCTATTTATGTGTTCTTTGAAAATGAAATGCTTAAATTTTATGCTCTATTAGTTACGATAAAAAACAAAATTTTAAGTAAAAAGGGAGGAGGAAGTTAAGCGAACTGTTAGTCACCTCCCACCTAAAAATAATTAATTATTCAGCAAAATAGATATGTAGGAATTATGCACTAATTATGCGCTCTTATTTCCAGGTAATTTCAATTTTTGCGCTGCAGCCTTGAAAGACTTCTCTTTTGACGCCAAAGACATAATCGCCATAAAATTCCCTTAAAATAAAAGAGATCGTTAAAGCAATTATATACGATATAAACAGTCTTGTATTTAAATAATTTTGACTGTTTTTTATGCTTTAAAAGGCTTCTCTCTGTGCAACTATTTCTTTCAATAAACTCTGGAAAGAGTTAGGATATTATGATTTATGCGTTCATAGATATATGATAAATATATATATATGGTGTCCAAAAAAACCATTCAATATTTATATGGTAGATAGTGCACGCCATACCGAATAAAAAGATATTAAACATATCGAAAACTCAACATTTCTGAGATATAAACATTTTCGTATGTTAGCATCATGATTTACTTACTGGCTTCCGCGTGTCACATACGATGTTTACCTCAGTGTTTTGAATCTCCCCATTCGATATCCATACACACTTCATAATAGAAGATTTCATTGGCAATTGTTGCTTATCTCAATTTCTTGATGAATACATTACATCAGTTCTTAGAGCACATGCCTTTGACTGAAAGATTATCAATGTACATACATGATGGAGCTCCAGCTCATCTTGTGCGTAATGTGAGGGAGCACTTAAACACGGTGTTCAATCAAAGTTGGATTGGACCTGGTGAACAGTTGCATGACTCTTCGATTTCCTGATTTAAATCCTTTATACTTTTTTTTACAGTGATATTGAAAGAGTATAGTAATGTATTCTTCGTCGATAAAGAACTTCGAAGATTTACGTGAATCACTGAATCCAACATGCTTGTCAAATAATTCGACGGAGACCTAAAATTTTCGAGAGAGTTCGCGACTCTGTAAGAAGATACTAAGCGTGTATAGAAATGGAAGGAAGACATCTGGAACATCTTCAGTAAATAACAAGATAAAGATTTAGACAGATTATTTTCTTCTTACGTCACATGCGACACGTAGAAGCCAGTAAGACGATCATGATGCTAACACATAAAAATGTTTATATTACAGATACGGATGAGTTTTTGACCTATGTTTACTAAAGCTTTTTTTACTTATTATGTGTACTATCTACCATATAAATATTGAATGGTTTTTTGGATGCCTTATATAAATAAATAAATAAATATAAATATATCAAGCGATACGGTTGTATCGCGAAGCTAAATGCATGTGGGAAACAATGAGCTCGTAGCCGACCGTATATATTTACGCGACGACTTTAGTTGAATGCAGACGAGTTTCTCATTTCGATTACAACGGCTGAGCTGACGAGATCATCTTAATCGATTCTTTGAGTTCACGTTACTTAATAAAACTGTCTCTACTTTTGCTCTACGTGCTCTAGAAGATGAAATATTTTAGCTTAAAGCCCGAAATTGTGAATTTACGCGTAAGAAACGTCATCGTCGTCGTCGTCTCCTGACTAAATGTCCTTCTACCATTTTCGCCAATAGATGGCGCCATGGTGCCATGGTTTGTTCCACTTGACGCTCACGATCGTTTAAGTGGAACGCACTTCCCAGAAAAGTCAAGCTGTGAGATGAAGACAACACTATTATATGTATGACTGGTATTCATAGTCGGATTTTATATTTGAGACCGTTTTAAGTTTATCTTCAGATGTTTCGTAGCTGATGAAATGAAATTAGTATAGCATCTGAAGATAAACTTGAGACGTTCGTTAAATGTAAGATTTAACTATGAATATCGGCCTGTGTGAAATCAAGAGATACGTTCTCGGCGCCATTTTCAAGCCTCGAAATACGAATTTCGAGGCTGGCTGTGTCTCTTGATATTTACATTAGCGCTAAACAATGTTATTTGCGACAATCGATATAAGGTTAGTATAATAATTTTACGACAATTTATTGGTTATTAAAGTAAAACGGTCCTTTTAGAATATTTTACAAATGTGTTCAATTGATGACAGGTATAATTTTTTATATCGGACCGACACAAAATTTATTAACTAACTTATAGGAAATTCGGAAATAAGTGAAATGAAATTGTTTCTTGATTAATAAATGCCTCGTTTTGTAACTACGCTACTATTGTAGCGATATCGGACCGACAAAAATATAATAATTAATTTTACTAATTAAAAGAACTCAGTTTTAGACGTTTAATATTAATTTTGTAAAAAAATTTTTCTAAAAAAATATGATATCTAAAAAAATTACCTTTTTCAAAAAAAGTAAAAGAAGGAGCTAAATGCACACGCTGCGCCATTGTTTTCCTCATATAAAAATAAACAACAAAAAGAGCCCAGCTAAAAATGTAAAGTTGTATTAAAAAAAATTATTATTGAAACAAACTTATTTAGAACTCCGCTGTGGTCAGTTCCAAGCCCGAATAAGAAAGGAGGAAAGTTTCCGGATGAGACTAGTAACTTGCTGGGGATAAAAAAGGATCTTATTCATAGACTCAACAGAAATGCCTTGGATGCAGGACGAGTTAACGGTGACGACTCGGCGAGGAAGAGGAAAAGACGAATAAAGGAAATAAATACACTGAGATTGGCAGCTTGGAATATAAAATCCTGGAATAAAAAAGACCAAGAAATAATAATAAAATTCAATAAACACCGAGTCGACATATGCGCATATTGGAAACCAGTAAAAAGGGAAAAAATTCAACAAAATACCAGAACTACATCCTAGTCTACAATGGCAGACCGAAGAGCGAAAGAACAAAGGCAGGAGTGGGACTGCTCATACAGGAAAGAATGGAAAATAATATCTGCGATGTAAATTATCGTGACAAACATCTATTACATGTCAAGTTGAGAATGGGCAACCAAGAAACGAGCATAATCAATATTTACTCACCAGACACGGAAACAATAGCTCTGCAATAATAAATTTCCGAAATTGATATAAAATGACAATTGAAGTAAATTTCTTAAATATTTTCTTAAAAAGGGAATAGCTATTGAAAAAAGAAGCAAAAATTTTCTATCATTTTCTACTCAATTCAAATTTTAAGCAGGACTATGTTTCTTTTGAACAGGGAATTGAATAATGGAAAAGTAGAACTTTTCCTCGTTTACGCGTTCATTATTTTTTTACATGAATATGATAAAATATTATAATCGTTGCATTGAACTTTCAAACATTCTCCAAATTATTCAGAGACATAACTTGAAAAATATATGTCAAAGCTAAGGTCATTGCAAGGAATATATTAATATGAGATTTTACCAATTGCTTTTGTTAATAACTTTCTGCTAAATAATGGCCGGCGACTGAAATATTTCGAAGTTTGATTTAAAACACTTGTTTCTATCACTATAAATAATTAAGTGCCTCGTTCTGTATATAGTCCGGAAATTATGTTCTTCTCATTTGACTCACTTTGTTAATAATTTTTCAATAAGCAATGACCGACAGTTAAAATGTTTCAAATATTATTGAGACAATGTCGAGAATAACATATGTCAAAACAAAACTCACTGAACTGTTTACTAAACAAAATAATGATTTTAATTAGTAATATAATAAGTTAATAATATTATAAGATAAATATTATATAGTATATCTTAAATTATATA